ATAATATTATTTATCACAAGTATAAATTCAAATTTAAAGGCGTTTTCTTATTATCTTTACTGGTTTTCCTTAAATTATTTGTTCTTTTTTTAGAATTTACTGTTGTTAATTTATTAATGGTCCCTGTTGCTATGGTGATTTTTAGCTTTATTTTTGAGAGGGAGAGTTAAATTTTTGAATTTTTGATTTTCGAGTTAATTTGTTGATATTAATTTGATTTTGAATTATTATTATTATTAATATGATTATTACTGTTGATCAAGTGGTTGATAAGGTCAAAGTTAAAGACTTTTTATGTTCTTTGTGTTCTAATTTGGCACTTGATCCAATGGTACATGATGGTGGTAATCGTCGCCGATTCTGTACCAAGGTATTTTGTAGTACCTGTTGTTACCCCTTTTCAGATGTACCTGCTAATAATTTTTTCAACAAACAATCAAGAAAAACTGAAGTTAAATGTCCTGGTGGTTGTCCTCATGATTTCAAGGATCCTTATTTCCGATATTTAAGTAATATTGAAAGAAAATTATATGAGGAAACAATGATTGAATGTAAGAAATGTAATTTGGTGTTTAAATTGAGACTTTTTCAACAACATATTATTAATTGTGGTAAAAGCAAGGAAAATTGTGTTAAAATCGTTAAAACTGTGCAGCCAACTATTGATAATTTTGTGGTTGGTGGTTTTGATTCAATTGCTGCTAAAAGGAAAGATTATCAGTTAATATGTAATAATAATATTAACGAGTTTAAATTGTTCTTTTATGATGATTGTGTCGATATGGTAACTCTTAATCTTCGATCTATTATTAATATTCCGGAGCTAAAAATTGACCAACGATTGAGTACCGTCGATACTTTAAAGCTTTTATCTAAGCGTTTTGGAATTAAAACCGCTTTTGATTTGGTGTGGGTCGAATATCGATGCCTGAGCCAATATGAGTCTCTCGGTAAATTCCTACAATCCATTCCAATGGAATCAATTATTAATTTGGTACCCAAAAAGGAGGAAATTGCCATAGCTGATAAACTCATGAAGGTGAAATTTTTGGGAAGCTTTAAGCTAAAATCAAAGGAGAATTGAAATTATTAATATTCATTTATTTACATTCAGTTTGAACTTACGTTTATTTGAGATCGAATTTTATCGTGTGAGAAGAATTTGTTGAAATCGAATTTATTTTCCCTTTTTTTTTTTTTTTTTGATTTACTCAATTGTAATCTGTGTAAAATCATAATTTCTGATTTCAGTTATAAAGAAAATGAAATCATTATTATTATCATTATTATTATCATTATTATTATCATCTTGTTATTAAAGGCAATTATTAATAATTCTTACTTTTAGTTTTGAATTATCCATCGGTATTCATAATTGATCATTTGCATTGATTCCCTGAGTTTCTTTTGATAAATTGGACAATTCCAATCATCAGCTGCATGGGCAGTAGTCCTCGGGTTGTCTTTGCAATTGATGCAACAATATTTTGATGGATCATTAATAATTTTGCATTCACGCCAATTATGAAGCTGAGCACAGAATTTACAACATTGTTGGTTCTGACATTTTCTTTCTTTGTGTTGATATGAGTAGCATCTTGAGCAATTACTTACTTTAAAGTAATCTTTTACCTTAATTTCATTGCCAAGATGGTACAAAATACCTCGTTTGTCATGAATTTTATCTCGAAGAGCTGGAGAGATTGATATTATTACATCAATATGATTTTTCACATTCGTTGTGTAGGCTGAATCAATTGTATATTTGTCCTCTTCAGTAAATCCTGATGAGTTCAAAATATTAATAATTAGCTGTTTCAGCTGATCTTTATCCAACAATGAGCCTTCATAATAAACTCTTGATAATCTGATCTTTGGGTCAAAGACTTTGGGTTTTAGAATTTTCAATTCCGGAAGCCAATCTTTCAAACGAGACATGTTAGTTTTCCTGGTGATTGAATCTGGAGATTTGATTCTTAAGGCTTCATTTCCAGTAATGAAAGTACCAATGATTGGTTGAAGTTGCGATTGTTCAATTGCCTTAATAATAATGTCTTTTATTTGTGTTGGATTGAGCTCTGGGTGTTGAACAAGAAAAATTGGCTCCATTAAATGAGCTGACCAGGGTTTCCAAGTTGATGGAATCGGAGTTTCTTCTTGTTTGTAAACAGTTTTCCGTATCTTTTTTGCTGTTTCATAGGTAACTTGAATGTTTTCTTCATGGAGATTGAAATTCACAAACTGTCTTTTAAGGGAATGTTGTTTCAGCTGAACTTCTTCCGGCATCAGTTGATTCGGTGAGACCACTTTATCATTTACCACTAATAATCTTTGTTCATTTGATGAGGTGCTTGGTTGCTCCTCTCGTCTATTATTAATTGTTTCTTTACCACCATAGTTTCTTGGTTGAAGGTTAGTATCAATTTGTTCCTCATCTTCTTCTTCAATTGTTGTAGTATTATTATCCATCGTGATAATCCATTTAGTCGTATCAAATTGATTAACTTCATCAATTATTAATTTTTCTTCACTTGTTAGATTAGCAGGTGGATATTTTTTCAGCCATGATATTATGTATTTCATTTTATATTGATACGTTGGTCCAAGACTATGTTCTCGAAGCAATTCCGGTGATCTGAGAAATATTAATGATGATTTAGCCAAGTCCAGAATCTCCGTGATTGAGATTTTCTTTAATTGTTCATCGTAGTCTTGTTTGGTGATCAGTTTCTTTGTTAAATCTTGTTTCAAAGATTTTACCATTACTGTATTAACTGCCATTGTTTCACTTTGATTTCACTAACAATTAATAATAATTAGAAATTAGAAGGTAATTTAGATTAAATATTGATTTGGAAGTGTTAACATGAGAAATTATTTGGTGAGGAAGGGTAAGTGTTTCAAACATGTGACTGTTTAGGAAACGGAAGTAATATTAGCCGTTAGTTGTTTGGCTTACGCCCCATTTTTGTTTTCCTTTGTTTTCATGTAATTATTTTGTTCTTACCTTATTATTTTTGATTTTTAAGATGCTCCAGGTTGTAATTAACTGTATTTCACTAAATTAACTCAAACAATTCATATATAATTTAAGATTTAACTTATAATTGAAGGTGGAATTCAAATCATTTTCAATCAACAGAAAACACAACGAGCGCCTCGCGCCATCTGTCGGGTAAAAAGTAAACCATTTGTTGAATTTTGATCAACTCATCAGCAAAAATATTAATAACTTTTCAGTTGATTATTATTAATTTTTAATGATCATTAACTAAATCAATCAGAAATTCATACTACTATTATTATTATTAATAAGTATGGATCAATAATCAGTAATCATATTATTAATTTAACTTTAATGACACACATACTAATTAACTTTAAACTAACAGCTAGACTAACAATCAGTTGAGTAAATTTAGTTTATGGTTAATTGTTAATTTAGGTCAATTAACAATTGGATAGTTTTGAATGAAAATTGTATTGGTAAAAATAAAAAAGCTATTTCTTCAGGTGAATATGAATTAATTAAAAGAAAAAGTGAAACATGATATAATTAACAATCAATTTGAAGGTTAAAACAATTAGTATGTTTTATTTTGTAGACAAAAATAAAGGAAACTTAATCATTTAAATGAATCTAAACTGTAATTAGTGACAATTTATATTCAAATTAGAGTTTTCTTTTCAAAACAAGACACAGAAAACGAGTGGTCAGTTGCAACCCGGAAGTGAAATGATAAATATCGGACATTGGAAGATAAATAATAAGTTGGAAACTTGAAAGACGAGGCAAGAAAAATCTTAGAACCAAATTAGTGACCTAGTTTTCAATGTATATTGACCAGCTCAAGATTCAAGTTTAAAAACTGACCAATGTGAGAGAGAGAGAGAGGCTACTACATATTCACTAAAAATGACCGAAGCTTTTGGTCTTAAAGGTCAAAGGTACTAAAAAATAAGAAGGCAAAGTAAGAAAATTCCGGAGAATTGAAGAGAAAACTTTGCCCCTGGAACTTAAACTCGATGAACCAATGAACAGTCTTGAAAACAAGAAATAGCCTAAGGTCATTTTTACCTTTCTCCATCTTCTTTAACCTTATTATCTTCCTCTGATCTCTCATTCAAGGTAAAGGTTAACGTGTGTACGATTGTGTCTGCGTGTGTGTGTGTGTCCACCTTGCAACTGACCTGTTACCCTTTCCCATTGATAACAATCAATCATCCTAATTGTTACCTTCTCGTGCCTTCCAAGACCACAATTAACTGGCAACAATGAAATTTATATCAACTCTAGTGTTTTTAATTACCCTTTCAACCCTTGGTTCAACCTTGGAGGAAACAACAACAAGTTCCTATCAAGTTTCATCAATTCAAAAGGATCAAGTGGTTACAATGATGTTACCACCACAAAGTGAGGGTGGAAATGGTTTAGATGATGAAATATCAACTAATCCACCATCAGTTGATTCAGTTAAACATATTGTCCAATATTCATCACTTATACTTTCATCATCTTCATCATTCCCATCATCAGCATCCTCTCCCATTTTATCAGCAATCACTGAATCCTCATTGAAAGATTTTATCACAACTGAATTACCTGTTGGTCGAGTTGATTGAAGACAATTAAACATTTCGTTTAATCATCTAAACAACCAAAATGAATCAACTCTCTGATTGTTAAACATTAACCATTGATTAAAAACATTTCCAATGAAACTTGAAACCTCATTTTGTCCTTTTTCATTTCCTGATTCATCTCATGTTTTGTTTTTCTGTTAACTGAATAACAATTAGAATTGATTGTTTGGTATCAATAATAATTTGAAATTGTCCTTTTTTCTCAATAATAGAAATTCAATCCAATATCAATAGAAACTTTTTATTTGGTTGATTGTTGTGGTTAAAACTTTTTTTTTCGCGTTTTCCCTACACTAAATCAATGCATTGAATGTTTGATTGTTGATTATTAGATTGAAATGATTTTTATGAATCAATTTGTTATTAATCATCATGAAACAGCCTTGATAAAGGATATGATAAACTTATCCTCAGGCAATTTAATATTACATTATATTCAACAGACTGTTGAGAAATTATTGAGAAAGTTATTACTAAAGAAAGAGGGAGGGAGGGCGAGAGAGAGAGAGAGAGTATCAATCAGTAATCTTAAATTTCATGAGTGTTTTCATCATGCTGATTGTTTGTGTGTGTGAGAGAGAAAGAGATGAGCAAATTGATGAAAATCGTGATGAGAAACAAGAACAATGGGGAAAAGGTTCAGAAAGATGAAGAATTGATGTGTAAGAGATAGAGGAGATCAGTGAGAAATTGAAAGTCAGAGGTGAAGAGAGAGAGAGAGAGAGAGATACAAGGATCAAAAGGATTCGGAAAGATAAATACATGATAGAACGAAGGAAAATGAATCAATTCATGTTTTTGGTGGTGATAAGAAGATGGAAGGATTTTTGATTGTTATGATTAATTCAAATTGAAGATTATGTTGATGATATTGAATGATGATAATAAAGGAATGTATCGGTAATCAATTGAGCCAAATTCGTTTCCTTGTTTCCTCTATTGTCTTCTCGTGATCCTCTTGTTCAGCTTAACAATAAACAAAAAGTTTTTGCTTCCACAAGGTTATCAGCTGAAATTCATAAACATGTTCATCGGTTTATTATTGACACTGAAATCTTAAATTGTATCTTTCTTGGTTCAAATCATTGGCAAGAGCAAGAGAGAGAGAGAGATCATCTCTCTTCCGAATCTTTCTTACTTCTTTCATGAGGATCCATAGTCTGAAATAAATAAAGATCTTTGGAAAGAAAAAGAAAAACAATCAAGTTGAATGAAGGAGAAAAAAGGGAGGAGAAAATGGCTGAAAAAATCTACCATTAAGACTATAATACAGGGGAAAATGGAGATAAACTGAATGGAGAATTTCAATTTCAACATTTTTCAGTTTTTCTATTTTAAAAATGATCAGTGAAATATATAAGATGAGAATGATAATGATAATGTATAAGAGAAACAGCGAAATAATAGTCAATAATAAGCAACAACGATCCAAGGGGTTAGAGGTCAAAGTGCTTTCGACAAAAGAAGACCAAAAAATCGTCAATGGTTATGGTGGGTTCGTTGATAATTCTTTTCATCTTATCGCCATGTTCTTGATCATGATGATGAGAATGATGGATGATGAGAGAATGAGATGTAACATAAACCAAGAGAGAGAGAAAAGAAAAGGAAGATGATGAACAATGAAGGAGAAAAGTTTTCCTTTGACACCATTGAGAGGAATGAATTTCCATGTTTACAATTACTCGGAATCTATTGAATGATTTCTTTCTTTGTTGATTTGATTGCTTTATAATTAGTGTTGTGATTAGTTGAATAATGTTGAAAGGCCTTCGTTGGAATTGAGAATTAATAAGTTTTTTTTCATTTTCTTTTGATGTGTGTCAATGTCTGAATCATCTGAATGGTTGATTCAAGTTGATTAATCAGCCAATTGTTACGAGAGATTTACAATTACAGGTACATGTACAGTCCAGTCAATTGTACATCAACGTCTTTTGGATTAAACTATGGCACTGGTGTGGCACTCGAATTGTAATTCATTTTTTACTCTCTCCGATGTGATTTACCATATAAATAGATGTGCATCCAACTTGACGTAATATATTACAAGTTGAAGATATAAAGATCTGGCAATTAGATTTAATCATTTTAGATACATCAGCTACGTTGGAAACAAAAAAAAATCCTTAATCTGCTTTTCATCTTTGCATCTTTGCATCAAAAACTCAATATATATAATTTATCATCTCTTACATCATCTTAATCATTATAATCATCATAATAACCATAATTGTGATCATGATTTACAAGGAGTTTTAGTGGATTCATGATGTAACCAGGATCGGATTTATCGATCGTGTTTTTTTTTGTTTCTGATGATCATTTAGCTCATCTTTCATATGAATAGCCTCATGAATGGAAAGAGAGAGAGAGACATGTTTACAATAAGAAGGAGTTGATTGTGACTTTTTTCTGTATTCTCATCATCATTTCATCAGCTGGAGACATAGGTAACCGGTGATACTGGTGAATTACATCCACTTGATTGACTTTTAGCTCTGTCAATATAAAGCTTTAGGAGCTTCATCTTACTGCCACTAAGCCCATTAAGATAGGGCTTCATCCTTTCGCCAACCCGACCATGGATTCCCACCATGCAAAAAACAGCAGCTTTTCGTACAGCGCTTTCAGGATTGTCGTATGCCTGAAGAGGAGAGAGAGAGAGAGAGAGAGATGAAATCAAGAAGAACATCAACAAAGTAGAAAAAAAAGATAAAGAAGAAAAAGAAATGTGAAGAAAAAAGGATAAGGATCAGTAATATATCTTATTAATGGAAAACTAAGTACAAATGATAATTCGGTTGGAAAATGTGTGATTAAAGTGATGAATGATTAGTCAAGATTATGATGTATTCTTTGTCTATGATTTAGTCTGACAGTTTTTCTTGTCATCAAACCAGAAAGAAAACTTTCAAATAACAATTTTCCATCTCAATTTCAAATACATAATATAACAAATTCAGAGTTGCATTAAATTCACTCACAAACTGTAATGATACAATAATTATGGTAATAGTTGGGGGAATATTTTTCTTCTCTACCAGTAATATCATCATCATCATTTTTTCACGTTCCAAACCATGGTAATCATTTTAATACCCTCTTCAAGCTTACTACTATCATATTAATAGTAAATACATAAAAAAAAAGATTCAAGGTTTTTACCTGGATCAAGGGAGGCATCATATCAGGTAATAGACTTTCAATTGTCTCCTGCGATTGTTTCTCAATTATCTGAAAGATGAGAGGGAGAGAGAGAGAGACAAATCCATCCGATTATTATTTGGCGGTGAACAAATCAGTGTAGCGAAAAGGCTGTTCAAATGATTGTTTATTTACCTTTAATAACATTTTAATTGCTGCTTGATTCATTGGGAACTCTCCGGTGGTTATAACACTTTTCAACACTTTGAGACAAAGTTGAGAGGGTAAAACAGCGGCCGCTGTTGATGCCGCTGACGAGGAGGCCGATTGAACTTCCTTTTCCATGTCTTTACTTGCCTCCAAAATCCTTAAAATGGTTAATTCAATATAATCAAGGAAATAATTTGATTGTTGGATCAAAAGTTCACACAATACTTTCAATGAGAGTGCACGAATAACACTGTTCGGATCAGAATTAATCTTATCGAGAAGAACTTTCAAAATATCTTTAAAAAATTTATCCCAATTAAGTGATGAACCTTCACGAATTAATTCAATTAACTCATTTAGAGCATATTTTTGAAATTGAATTTCCTTTGATCCACTTTTGAGATTACTTAAAACCAATGTTACATTGTCCATGTTAAAATGTTTCTCTGGTGTTTCCATCATTTGATTACCATTGTGACAATTGTTATTATTACTATTGATTGGTTGAAATGAAGATGAACATGTTGATGAATCAGTACAATGTCTATTATTATTGATTGTTTTGGTTGGTGAATTGTTATTGATCCGATTTGGATTAACGATTATGGTTGTTGCTTTAATATTCCCATCAATTTGACTGATTCCTGAATCTTTGGATAATGATGACATTTCCTGTGATGAGGTGAGAAAAGTTTTCTTTGGACTGGACTCAGTTGAGGAGCCATTTTTAATTGTTTCGTTAAATCCTTGTAATTGTGAACTGGTCAACGTTTTGTCCATATTGGAAACCTCAAATTTATACTTTTGTATCTCATCAGTTGTTTGTTTCAATGAATTGTAAATCTCTTCAGGATTCATGTTTTCCGCATCATCATAAAGATAATCATTTTGGTTCGAGCTTTTTAATTGACTATTAACGGGTTGACTTTTACTAACCCCGCCGCCTCCTCCGCTGCCACTTAGTCCACTTGCCATTATACCTAATATACCAATATCAGATGATGATGTTGATGATGATGAGTTGTATGTATTTCGTGAGGGACTAGAGGTGTTGAAAAAAGATGCTCCCGGATTGTGTAAGGGAGATGATATTTTAGCATAATTGGACTCCTGTGATGATCGTCGTTTAATTTGGATAACTTGAAATGCTGCATCTTGATAATTTTTGGGTAAACCGTAAACATTGTCAAGAAATTCATTCTCATTTAGGTTAAAAAGGTTTAAAAGTGCTTCCGCTGAGCATTTACGAAGTTCAGAACTTTTTGGATCAGCTGTCCAGGAGATTATTTTCATTAATGCAACTTGAGTTTCATGTTGACTGTTTGTTGCCCATTCACCAGGTTCAATGGTCGGTAAAAGGCAATTAATGTAAAGAAGTGTACTGATCTTTGATTTAACTCCCGGTGTTTGAGTTTGATCAGATAAAAATCTAATTATCACATGTAATTGGTCACAGGGTGAAAAAGAGTCACGGATTAGGTCCAATGTTTCAGCAATTTTTGATTGAACAGAATTCAAAGTATCATGACCCATCTTTAAAAACAATCGTGTCATCAAAATGTAAAGCCAATTGTTGAGCTCATGTTTGTAGGCAATAATCAGCTCATTAAGAATCTCCAAGAATAAAGTAAACGTCTAATTATTGAGAGAGAGAAAAAAAAATAATAAACAATCATAATAATAATCAATTAGTCTCATTTTAATTAACTTGATATGCATTAGTTAATCATGTTTTCCTTTTTCTTTTCGTTTTAAATTTACCTTAGTATGTGGATCTAAAAGCATCTTGGTAAATATATCGGTGACTCTTTTCAGCTCATAGGTGTGTAGTGATCGAGTTGAATGGCGGAGGAAAAATTGTAAACCAAGAAGACCCTCCTTCCTATCTGACCAATGGGCACTTGAAAGATTCCTGATTATTTCGGATACATCCTGTTTATATTGGAAGAGAAAAAGGTTAGAAATCAACAGGGTATTGAGTAAATGTTAAGTGTGAATGAGAAAAATTAATAATCATACAATAAGAAGGAAAAATGATGACGATCATGATGATGGAAGAAGATAATGAAAAGTGTGTGAGAAAACAAATTGATTTTATAAGAAAAAAAATAAGAGAAACAAACTTGCTGAACAAGATCATTATCGTGATGATTATTTTTTGTTATTTTCTCTCTTCTCAAGATCAATTCTCTCTCTCTCTCTCTATTCTGTTAACTAACCTCAATATTTCTGCCTCCAAATGATCGGTCAGAACATACGCTTGAAGTTTCACTTTCGTCTGAATGGTCATCGAATCCATATCGATGCCTTGGAAGAATTGGATTGGTGGTTCTTAGAGCACTGGCCATGGCTGCTTCAGCTTCGTGACTTTGTTGTAATATTTTCTCGGCCATTAATTGTTTAGAGTTTACTTTTGTATTCTCAGTTTGACCAATTGTAGTTGTGGCGGTGGTTGGAGTTGCTATATTGTTACTATTTGTTATTATCTTGGAACGTGTTGAACTATTGCTAAGACGACGTTCCATTGCTGCGTAACTGGTGATCGCTGGACGAGTTGGACTTGTATCACGACTTGTAGATACTGGAATACCTGAGCGTCGTCTTGATCTTAAACCAGAATCAACCTGAGAACTGGAAGATCCCGTTCGACTTGGTGAATTTGAACGACTTGTGGGCTGAGATTGTGACATTCTTGCTCTAGAACGAGCAACTCGTTCAGGTGAAGTGACCGTTACCGGTGTTGACACTTGATAAGATGCATTTGTTTTACTTGAGAGAGTTGATGGTGTCCTTTTAACTGAAGACCGAGCTGAAAGAAGAAGAGGAAGAAGAAGAAAAAATAGATGAATAAGAGTGGGAATAAAGATGCGTTTATTTGTGGGTACATATGATTGGTAAGTGTTGAAAGAGAAAATGTTATTTGTAATCAAGCATTTTAATTGTGATGCGATGTGATAAGTGTTTTGTGAGAGAGAGAGAGAGAGAGAAAGATGTAAATTTGATGGACTATTTTTGGACTATTCAAGAAAATGGTTGTTCTTGAATTTGAAATCATAATAATCATGATAATCAAAACTTACTCAAATAGTCACCAGACACATGATTGGACCTGGCGTTGGCGACAGCAATAGCAGCTCGAGCTCTTGCCCGCCTTGCTGCGCCCACGTCAATGGCACTTGTCGTGCGGAGAGGGTAGGGTACAGAAGTGGAAACTGAATAATTGAAAGGTAAAAGAGAAAAAGAAAATCAAAATTAACAAACAAATAAATAATAGAGATACAAATTAATAATTTAACAATTGAAAATATAAAAAAAAACAACAACAAAAGTTAATTAGCAATAAAATAAATCAAAGTTGATGGTGATGACGATCATGATGATCTACAATTAAAGCTCATGATGAAACAGAGGGAGTGTGAATCGTGTGTGTGTGTATGAGCAATGAATGATGGAGTAAATAATAGTAAATTTGTTTCTTGGAAACAAGAGATTTGTATTTTGATTGTTTGATAAAGTAATTCAATTAAAAAGATTAACCAACCTGGATCGGGTTTAGGTGAGTTAAATATTGGTATTCCGGATCGATTACGATTAATTGAGGAGATATTGGTAATGGGGCGATTGAGATTTTCAACTGAGCTGCTTGATGCAAATGGCATTGGAGATCGGGTTGAACTGTAAATTGATCTAATGGGCTGAAGTGAATGGTGTCCAGAATCTGATTGTATCAATGAATTGGTGCTACTTGAATTACTAACTGATGGATGATCACTGAAAAGAGCTTTTTGTTTACTTTGATCAAGTGAATTTAAAAGTGATTCAGATTGTTCTTTAAAATGTTCAGCAAATCCCCAGAAAGCTTTACGAGCTGATCTTCGGGCATCAGCATCGGCATCAGCGATTCCTCGTTTAATTGCATCAACAAGAATGGGAATATGTTTCTCTAGGGTAGATGATGACCAGGTATGAACAATGACATCCAAAAATTCACAACACGCTTTACGAATTTCTCTTGATTTAGAATTTAAATTAGAAGCTACAATTGGTATTAAACGAGCTGATTTAGTGTATTGAAAGATTAACCTAATGCAAACCAAAGCTGAACTGGACATTATCTTGGCACTATTGGGTATCAGGTTAAACAGAGTGGGTAACAAGGCTTCACAAAATCGAGCCACTTTTAATCCAACCTTGAAGGACATGAAAGCAATGGTTATACAAGCTTCCCGAACGACCTGACTCCTTAAATCTTTAACACAATTTTGAAAGGGTAATTCACATAATTTCAGGCTATCCACAATCTCCTTGTAATCCATTATACCAGCATTGATGGAGCCTCGAAAATGTTTCAAAGTGTCAACCCTTCGTTGCCAATCAATACTTGAATTGGATAAAAATTCACACATGGAACGAAATTCTTGTTCAGCATCTCTGACCGATGGTAAATTGACCTTGGGAGGATTTTCGAAAGCCTTTAAGAACATGTCCTCATCAAGGGCTCCAGCAGCAGCTGCCGAACCAATGGGTTTGGTCTTAAACATAGTAAACAATTTTTTTCTATTCTATTTTTTGTTCTTCTTCCTTTTTGGTTTTTAGATTAAGAGAAACAGAGAAAAGTAAAATAGATTCAACAGTAGAAGCATATAAAATGGTTGACAATCAGAAAGAAGAAGATGAATTAGTAAAAATCAAATCAATTATCGAAAAAAAAATTAACAATTAACACCACAATCAAAGATGAAAACAAAAAAAAGAACCACAAATAACCATCAACAAAGAAGGAGCAAATATAGATGAGTTAACTCAATGAGAGAAAAGAAAACGGCTCAGCTTATTTACTATTCTTCGGCTCAGCCGAATGAATTCTCTTTCTTTTTCTCTCACTTTTATCATTTTTCCCTCTTTTAGTCGACATCAAGTTACATCATAAATCGACTTAAAGTGAGTCATCGAGAGAATGATGAGTAAGTGAGTCGTTGGAAATTCGGCTTATAAAAAGTACTTTTTTCAAATCGAAGTTGAAACGCCGAAATTATCAATTGATCGAATTTTTTTCTTTTCAATCAAGAGTTAGAATTAATTTCCTCTCTCTCTCTCTGTTTTATCATAATTTCCAATTCTAATTGTTGTACTTAATTACGAAACGGATAATCAGCAATCAATGAATTTCCTTGATTCCTCTTGATGATTAACATTAACTTGTAATTCAAACAACAACTTGTTGATTTGTTATTAATTTCAAAGTAACAATTTAACTTTTAACAATTTGTAAATAGTGTTTCAAGTTTCAGTTTAATTATTATCCAATGAAATTTTTTAGTTAAATCACCCACTCAACCATTTAATTGTAATTTAAATATTAGCATAACTAAATTTAAATCTTGATCATGATAAATTATAAGATTTAGTTTTTTACTCTTCAACAATATTATTATCAATCAAAGTAATTTTTTTTCAATTAACCAGATTAAACTAAGATAATAACGAAAGCCAATGTTGTAATAGTAATATGATTAACTAATTGAAAACTTGTTAATTGCTTAATTGTCAAGTCAATTCACATAATTACAAAAAAAAGTAACAAAATCTTTTCAAGTGAAAATGAAAATCTCTCACTGTCAACACAATATACGATAAGTTGTTGTCAATTGTTTGTGTAATTGTTGACAATTTAACTAATCATTAATCATTAGTGAAATAGAGATGATAAAATGAGCGAGAGAAAAAAAAAGATGAAGTGACAATTAGATGGTTTAAATGAACACTTTAAACACAAATTAATAACAATGAGAAAACAAAATCATCGTTATTATCGTTACTCTGTCATAAAGATATAAATTATTGAAGGTTAATCATGTAGGTGGTGGAAGATTAAGTTAATTGAGTTGTTGGTGGTTCGGTTAATTGTTGTTGTTGTTGTTGCTCATTTTCCATGGTTAAAGTTACGTTATCTTCAAGTTTCTTTTTCTTTTTCCCTTGATTTTTGATTCTTTTATCATCTTCTAAATTGTTCTCGCCAGGTCGACATTTGGGTCCCCAAAATGGTAACGGATTGGGCTGATATCGAAGGAGACCTTTCTCTCGTGAGGGAGGCTTAGCATCGGGATGAAGGGTAAATGATATTGTTGATAAAATTGGTGAAGATACAATTTTCTTGGTTACACTTTTATCGTTCATCTTATCGGTTGTTTTAATGGTCTCACCGCCAACGGTAAAAGTTAATGCCCACGATTTAAATATATCCCAAATAAATTGATTGGGAGCATTTGTTTTAAATGATGAACGATGTGCATGGGAAGATGATACTTGATAACCAGAATTAAGAAGCGCTGATCGAAGTAGTTCCGATTTGGGTGGAGTACAATTGATTATGCGACAAATTTGATCACAGGAATAGAAAAGTGGTACATCGATTAACTCTTCGTTAATCACTTCAATTAAACCGACAATTCTTTTCAAGGTTTTCAATTTCATGTTTCCTGATTCAATTTCATCTAAACGATTCTTGACTAGTGATATAAATGATTTATCATGAATCGAGTCCAACCAAATGGGTCCACCAATTATATGATGATGATCACAGAATTTACATCTTTCGTCAATCGGTGGTCCTGTACAGGGTGTAAATTTATATCGTACGGCAACACTAAACCATAAATGGGAAGAGAAAGAGTAATAACAATTAAAAAAAAACATCGTTATTGTAATTTGATAAACATTGAGTAAGAATAGTTTAATTATCGACTTACTTATCTGATTTAGGATTCTTCAAGGTAACATTACCAAGTCGTTGTGTGGTAAACGATTCACAACCATTACAATTGAAAACCATTCCTGTTTTACTGGGATAAAATACAATTAGCAACAATTAGTAAAAATTATTCACAATTTAGTGATTATTGTTTAACAATCGTATGTGTGAAAAAAAAGGGTTGACCATGTTAAATATTAATTTCCTTTTCCAATATGTGTTCCGTTTACATTGGTAAAAGATTAATTAGCAAAATGATTAACACGATAATCAAATTGGATACAATGGACTTTTTTTTTCTTAATGAGTTGATTGTGTGAGAGATTAATTTAAAATGATTTAAGGGCAATAAGACACAACGAGGCGTTGAGAAGGAAATGAAAATGGCTCTCATATTAAGGACTTGATAACGAACGGAAATCATTCAGGTGACTTAATTAGTCAACTTGATTTATCTTCCTTCTTAATCATCATTTACCTTGCACTCATCTTTGCTTGACCAGGTCCATAAAAGACTTGAACGAAAAGCCGAACGTAAAAATCAACACTAACGGACAGTAAAGGTACAATGTATTTGCCATAACGTGAAGCCGATGAGTTGATTGAATTGAGTACAATCCTTAAAGCCTAAGAAAAGAAGGAGTAAAGATTAATGGAAGGGATCAAAGGATATTGAAGGATGGAGATTAAGGCCGATTAGAGTTTTCAACGAACCATTTCATGACAAGATTCCAATCGCAGGGACATGGAACCGTATTTGGCGTAACAAGTTTCGCTTGCGTTACCACAAAGTATCGCGACATCGGTACATGTGATCATTAAAAGTCCACCGTCGGCCAGCGCTTGGACGGAAGAATCGATAAAAGGAGCTCCACTTCCGTACGGATCGATGTCAATGGCCAAAAATCTTTCGGAATGTTGCCGACATTTGTAGAGTAAAAGACTGTAAAAGTAATGAGAGTTTTTTTTCTTCGAATTGGTTTTTTGTTCCTTCTTCTTCCATTGATATTGAGAAATTATCTTAATACTTACCAAGCATCTTCGTTTGTTGTCTCAATTAGTTTATCACAACCATTTGATTTGATATTTTTATTCATCAGTTCAACTGCTCGTGTTGACAGATCATTGGCAATAAATTTTCTAATACAATTGTGATTCTCCAATTCCAGTGCATATCTTATACTCCGCAATCCGGTGGCACTTAAAGCTTCACAAATCTTGAAGTTACTTTCAACTGGCTTTTTGTGACCCTTTTCCCAGAGTTTGTTTTTCAGGTAAGTGTCCAGAACAATTAAGCTAATTAGAAGAAGAGAAAAGAAAAAACAATCAGTCATCATTTCCAATAATTGAAAGGGAAATTTTTAATTGTACACAAAACGATTAAGCAAACCTTAAATCACGATTAAATTCTTGAACTGGATTGTAAAAGACATCAGATGAACTTTCAATTAATGCTTTACCCTCTTTGATTTGATTAACTTTGATGTTAGTCATCATTAATTAACCAATTTAAATGGATCAACAAGTCAACACAATCAAAATGTGAACAACAATAAGTTTAACGAAACAAAAGTTACTTTTACACAATCGAAAGACTATTAAAACAATATCTCTAGATGATTAGTGATGCTATCAGCTAATTGTTCGGCCGATAAATTAAAAAATTAACAATAATTGTAACAATTAAAAGTAAATCATCAGAATTAAACAAAAATGTAAACAAAAAATTCAAAAATTAATCCGATCACATGTTCGTTTAGTGGCTCCATCTATTGTTGCGGAATAAAAGTTGACTGAGAAAAATTTATAATTTTGATTAATTAATTAGTAATTTTATTTGTTAATCAATCCACGACTTAATACCGTTATTTACAATCAGAAAATACAATGGTACATATTGTCATCCATAATAGATCACTTGAATGGAACCAATTCTCAGGTTAATAGCATCAAATTGTCTTTGATATTTACAAATGAATGATTAGATTAACAAACTTTGATTGCAATTAATTACAAGAGAATTTAAATTTTGACAATTTATTGAAAAGATTTTGATGAAATGGGTTACCATTTAACGATTGTCTTAATTCAACGAATTTAAGATCAGTTGCTTTTCTTAGAACTTTTTTTCTTTCCCTTTTCCTTTTTCTTTTTCGTAATTTCCTCTGTAGCTACTTTTTCCTCTTCTTTTTTTCCCTCGGGTTCTTCTAATTGTTCTGGTTCAGTCTTTTCAGTTTCATCCTTAGAATCATCATCAGAATACAGATCAGTTTCTAAACTTTCCATGGCTTTGTCATAAGCTTCACCAGTGAAGGGATTGGTCAAGAATTGTTTGATCTTCCGTCGGATAAAACCAGCTGAGTGTTGATAATGATTATCAGGATCTCTTTCCATGGCCTATCGAATGATATATACATAAAACAGAACAGAATTTAGAATATTTAGTTTTATATTTTCGAGAAAGACAATTGACAATACCTTATAATCATCTCCATGTTTCGACATCATTTCGGTTAACCAACCAACTAGATTAGGACCAAAATGGAAGGTGAGTGGTTTCTTACGTTTACTCCTTTCTTCAATTTTCTCAAGAACTTCTTTTCTTTTAGGTTGACTTATCGGTGGTACCTTGACAATCAGCGGTTGTTTAGGCTTTAATAATCCTTTGATTGGTTTAGGAATTGGAATCACTTTATTAGGATCATCAGTTATTCCAATTTCCTTTAAATTTTTTGCTTTACTTATACTAAGATCCCAACCTTGACGAACCAAAGGACTGTGTAAACAATTATGACAGAACAAAAACAACAAATAAGGTAAAAGACAAGATTAGAAATTCAATCAATTTAAAAATTCACAGAAAAAAAACTATAAAAACAATAATAGAAAACAATTAATTTACTTACTCTTTCACTTTTTGTCTAAGAATCAATTTCTTTTTATCTTTGGCAAATTTAGATTTATGATGAAACCTTGGATTGGCATTTTTTCTCCTTCGTTTGGCAACACCACAAGATTTACCCATTCTAGATGAACAATTAATTAACTAGTTAATCAAAAAAAAGAAAATCAATCAATTAAATTAATCAATTTACTAAAAACATAAACAATCAGTTGAAAATTTTTTTCAATATTCAATCACATGTGTTGACATAAACATGTGGCATAGAAAGTGACGCCATCTGGTGAGTGAAAAAGTCGAACGGGACTTTTTACTTTTTACTTTTTACTTTTTTTTGATTGATTACATTTGATTTTCAAGTGATTAGAAATTATTGGAATGAAGAATCGGTATATTGAAGCTCATCTGGAGAAGTCGAAATGAAATTGATTCCAATTCGAGCAATTAAATTGAAATGAAAAGTTTTTTTCTCTTGATATTAAAAATTTGACCTTTTAATTATTGCGATAAATTATTGATATTAATTAACAATTTGCATAAACAGAGTTGAGAAAAAAATATTAACCCGAAAATTAAATCATTTGAACACAAAAAAATTTAACTAATTCAACAACAAACACTAATCAATATAATTTAAAATTAATGGAGAGACTTTGATTATTCAAATCAAGTAATAAATTGTTGATTAGGTAAAGAGTAAAAAAAGTTTATCAATTAGTGATTCTAAATGATCAGGTAACATGTTAATTAACCAATAATCAAGGTTTAAAATGATTCTGATTAGTTTGAAAAACTAAAATTTCAAATGATTTATCAATCAAAATTCAATTCAAATTATTATTATTATCACAATTAAAGTTAATGATAAGTAAAAGTTAATTAAGGTTAACACAACAAATGGTTACAATGATTAAAGTAGCAAATTTAAATTTAAATTGTAATTTGATAATTATTATATTAAAAAAAACAACAAGACAGATAAACAAAATCCTGGTTAGTTAATTATGGTTACCAAATAATCATCATTATTATGGAAACAATTAGATATTAATTTAGATTGAAAATTAAGTAAGAAACACAATTAACACCAACAGAAGGAAAAATTAACCACAAAAGTTAATTAAGACACTTGTATCTTAATTAACAATAATATAACTTCGTGATTTACCTGTAAATGATTAAATTAAATTAACAGAAACACACACACATATATACACAATTAAACTTGTTAATTGTTGTACAGTTGAAATTAAATCATCACCATAGTTAGAAGTTAATTAAACACAACGATTAAGTTTAATAATAAATTGTTCACCTTTCACATTCACAATCAAAATGTGTAATTTAATTTAATTTAATTGTAACAATCAACAAAACTATTTCCCAATTCAATATATCACCTTAATTAAGTTGAAAAGATTGACTATTAATAATTAACCGCTAATTGTTACCATTATTATCCCAATGAATTAATCTAACAATAGATCAACAATCAACTTAATCATTTGGATAATCAAAATTGAAATTGAAAAAAAAACTTTCAAACTTTCAACGAGTGGATGTTAATAGTTTCCTATTAGATTAGAGTTTAAATTGTTATCATTAACAATATTTAAATTGATCAGTGATAATAGTAAATGATGAATAATCAAATTCTGGCAACAATCAACAAGTTAATTGTAATAATAAGCCCAACAATTTGCAAGAATGTAACTATTAAAATCGAGACGTTAACAATTGAATTAACATTAACAGAAAATGAAGAAGAGAAAAATAATTTTCTTAATCAAGTTAATTAACAAATTCAATTGTAGTAAAGATAATTAACCTTTGCGTGTATAACAAAATTCAGACAATTAAACTAAATTGTTATAAATATTTTTTCACCAAGAAGCAAAATTAAACATATAATATAAGAGCGATAACAATCAAACAAGAATCACAATCAACACCAACAATTAACAAGCCAAACTGATTCTCAATTGATGATTAAAGATTGAGAGGAATCAAATTAACTAAATTAATTGATTGTAATCAAATAAACGATAATCAGAACACAGTTTCACCTTAAAAGTAAGGTAACTAAAACTAAATGGTAATAAATTGTTGAGACAACGAAAAGTAAACAATCAAGAAAATTAATCAACAAGATTAATTGTGATTATCATCTTAATGTTTTTCTAGGTGAATTATGGTTCGCAATGATTAAGGATCAATCTTGATGTAGCGTTAATAATTTGATTATCATTGATTAAAAGGACACACATACAAAGATAATCAAACCTGAGAGATTTACAATCAACAAATTGTTGAACAATTTAAGTGACAATTAACTTTCAGTCTAACTGAATCAACCAACCAAAATATTATATGATACAAATTTACCTGTAATTTTACCTGTTGACTAAAAAAAACACACAAACCAATTGATTTGCAGCTTCAAGGTGATTAACAATTAACTAACTATCCAACAATTTGTTGATTAGTTTAAATCATTTTTCCTTTAGTTAATAATAATGTCGATTCCTGTGGGTAATCTCATCATCTCATTACAATTAAATCTCATCAAATATAATTTCAATTAAAAGTAAATATTTAACCTTCGTAATCTTTAAATTCTTATCATCATTTAGTTGATTAATTGTTTGATTAATATCTTTAATTACATGATCGTAATTTATGTTAAATCTCCAACGATTTATCGTTCAGATTGAGAGCAGAAAAAAAAGTTCTAACGAAGTAGAAAAAAGTTTTTCTCTCTCTCTCTCTCAGTTTCTCCAATGTTATTTGTTATCCTTTCGCTTTGTTGATTTGATTTAATTGTTGACAATTTAATAAGTAAATGATTAGGTGAATGATTAACATTATCACTTTTATTCAATATTTGATTCTGGTTTTTTTTTCTGGGTGTTTCTGGTTGACATGAAAACTCATGATTAGCGATAATTGATTAGTTGATTAGTTATGATTGGTAAAAGTTTTCACAAATTTTTCGTCGCACAATTAGTTGATAGTATTTAATTATACCTTATTTATGTTGTTAACTGTTAAAACAAAAACTTACCTTGATTAGTGTTTAATTTAAACGATTGATTCGGTTTCGTTACGAAACATTATAACACTCACCTAATATTATATCAGCCTATTAATCATCATTATCAATATATATTTATAATAATCAATATCCTAATTAGCATCAAAATGTTCACAAATTGCTATGGATGTATTCAAATTAACTAATCACTAACTAACTAACGAGAATAAAGTTAAACAACAATCAGATTTGTCATTGATTCTCAATGAGAAATTACAAAACGATCCTAAAGATATCTAGTAAATGAAGATGAAGATGAAGATAAGGAGAGAGAGCAAGAATTTCCAATGATAAAAGATAAGGGAAAATATCATTCAGACGATGAAGAGAACGAGAGAGAGAGAGAGAGAGAGAGATGAAGATGAAGATGATGAGAAGAAGCTGAATCCAAATTGAAACCATAATTTAACAATTAGGTTCGGTTCCTCTTCTCGATTGAGTTTCCTGACGAGAGAGAGAGAGAGAGAGAGAGAGATGAGGATGATACTAAGTGAGAAAGGGAAAAGAAGATGCTGAGTAAATAAAAAAACGATGAAGATGAAGATGATGATGAAGAAAAGGTCGTCAATGATGATTGTAATAATAGAGTGAAAAATGTTTCATCGTTACAAAACTGATGGCAATATAATTGATGCGTGTGTCCCAACGATTATTACTTTTGATTAACATTATTATTGTTATTATCATTATCATCAACATCATTTTCAATTACCTAACTATTATTATCATCATCATTGTAACATCAAGTTTTCCAAGCAAAAAAAAGATGAAGAGAGAGAGAGAGAGACCAAAATATCCCCGTAATCAGATGAAGATGATGAAGATCATCATGAAACGAGGTAAATATTAAGAAACCATTTCAACGTTTACATTTGTACATATGAACATAAGAACCTTGATTTTTACCTCATCATCTTCATCTTCATCTTAAACAGTAGTTAAAGTATCAAAAGCATATAATTTGATGGGAGACCACCAATACATTCCTTCCGACTCACCTTAGCCTTGTATCATCATCCTTATCATCATAATCATCCCATTGTAATCATCATCATCATCATCTACTCCTTGCCACCCACTTTTATTCATCCACCTCACAAACACAACCTAAACTTGACAAAAAACAAAGATGAAGGTAAAAAAGCCTTTAATATCATCCTCTTCCCATCATCATCATCATCATCGTCATCGTCTTTAACCATCAACATCAACATTAAGTCTGTGTATAATTAAACACCTTTAAGAATAGGGTATTATCATGACGATGATGATGATGATGAGAAGAAGATGATGATCAAGTTAACATAATCTTGTTGTTTTCTTATCCATCTCACTATGAGAGGCTTGTTAAGGTGCTTTGTATGTCTCACCTTTCTCATCATCTTCATCTCATTTGCAAGGAGCAAACAAAACAGAATCTTATATAACGCCAATCAAGTGGATGAGGATGATAGCTGGTATTAGAAAACACGCCAAGATGAGATGAGGATGATCATCATCTTGCTCATCATCACAACATTTCATTTTCATTACATAGGTGAACAATTTTCACGCTTTTGCTGTTAAAACTTTCCTGTTAATACTCATCAAGGTAAACCCATTTTTCCACTTACAGCATCATCATCATCATCTCTTAAGCAATAGAGCTTGTCATGTCTATGAAGATGAAGATAAAGATGATGATGATGATAATGAATCTTTCTCACCTTTTTTTTTTAATATATATAAACAAAATAGTAGCCACTGTGGTCCAACTTGGGTGAGTCTTGACCTCAACCTCCGGAGCCTTTGTTGTTATTGTATTAAAACCCAGGCCACACTCAGAGTGATCAAGTTGATTGGTTATACATTGATATTGAAATGATAACAGTTGATTACAATCAACTAATCATATTGTTATCATAAATATATATTATATTGTTTAATTGATTTAACACCACCCACTGGCTTCACAATTGATTTGATTTATAAATTTACATGTTAAATTGTTGATTAAATGTCATTTCCATCAACAACTTTTTTTACTCAACAAAAATTGAAAATCAAAATTGTTCAGAACTTTTTTTTTTCAAATTTATCTGATTGTTTCAGTATTCCTCTGGGTATTTATATTAATCCTTATTGTTAACAGCAACAATTAACACTGATAATCATCCTTAATCATGTTAAATCACTTGTTGTTTAATCGTCAAATCTTAAATTTTGTAATTTCACTTGATTATTACAATCAAATTGTCTTATATATTGAGTGATAAGCTTGAAATCAAACCATGAACAAGATTAACAATTAACTTTAAACTTGTTTGTATTTGGGATTTAAAAGCATTGATTGAAACCAAGAAAATTGAATCAAATTAAATTTTAATCATAATCAACATGGATTAACATGGATAGATTAACTGTTAATTTGGTTAATCAAATGAAACTCATTTAAACATATTAAAAATCCGTTGAAATTATCATAATAATAACCAAGTCACAATTAAATTTGATTGTTGACTTTTGCTATCATTTCAATTACCAAACTGATTTAACACTTAATCAACTTGCTAAAGTAATTGGTTAAATAATCAAATTGTCTCTATGATTATTGATTGTAACCATGTTAATTGTTGAAAATTGAATCAAATTTGTTTAATCTTTTTGTTTGACATTAAAAAGATTCAATAAATATCATCAAATTGTCATAATTAACTAATTAACTGGTCATCAAATGAGTTAAATTAAATTTCAAGTTGCAAAGTTAATCAATTTTCAATTGTAATCTAATATATTTATTAGAAAATGTTGATTTATCAACAATTAACTTTGACAATTAGTAGTGACCATTGGTAATTCATTATGATTGGAAAAAAAAAGTTTTCTCAATATCAAGAACCTGTAAAAATCAATTAACTAATCAGTGGACCATTTCAATTGATCAAGTGTGATAATAATCATTTAATTAACTATCAATAAAATAACAACAATAACAACAATCAATTGTGATCAAGACTGATGAGATGAAAAGTTTAATTGAATATCAATTGTAATCATCAATAACAATATTAACAAGAAAAGGTAAATTAAATTGTTACAAATACAACATCAAACTATCAAGATGATTAAAGTTTATCAAAATTTACAGGTAAACCAATAATAACAATTAACTTGATGCTAAGGAATCAAAGATTAATCCTCAATCCTCAATGTGAATCAATTAATGATGATAAACTGATGAACCATGATTAAGATAAAGTGAATCAAATTGATCACAACAATTAACAATCAATATGAGTTATATTAATACAAAAAAGTCTCTATATAAAAACTATGTAATATTAACAACAACTGAACAAACAATTTGTAAACTACAATTAAAAGGAAATATTTTTTTTTAATTAATGATCAAAATCAATGATGATTATCATCATCATCCCTTTGAGAGATGATAAAAGACTAATCATCATCATCATCTCCCTACATCTTGTGAGAATCCAGGTAACAATGATAATAATAGTATCTCACTGCAGGACATTTTTATCATCATCAATATCTGTCTTCCTCTGTCTTTTTTTTCAACCTTCATCTTCATCTTCATCTTCATCTTCATCCTCATCATCTCAACGTGATAACCAACGATCATCATCAGCATCCTTACCTGTTCATATTCGTGATTGTCTAATAACAATAACAACATAGAAGAAGAAGAAAATAAAAAAAAGAAAAGTAATTTAACAATTTTCGTGGCAAGATGATAGAGAGATTATATTTTATCATCTTCATCATCATCTTCTTGAGAGAGAGAGACCACAAAAGATGCTCTATTGTTATCAAGTGTAAATTGAATTCACTCTTGACTGGACTTCACCTTCAAAACCATTTTGTATCTTAATCAATACTAATCATTATCATCATCCTATTAACATGATATACTAAATGATTAGTGAAGATTAAGCTAATCCGATAAACTCATATCCACATCAATTGAAATCATTTAATTCAATTAAAATGGGAAAACAAAATCATAAAAAAAACAACGATGATTATCAGATATTAAGATCGATAACTTTTTGAACAGTTTGAAACTTTAACCGATTCTATCCGATACTTGAAGTAAATGTTTTGCTTAATTCCTTCCGAATTGATTCAAATTAATTCAAAAGTATCTCAACTAACTGATGATAAAAACGATGACAGAGATGAGGAAAAAAAATAAACAACAATAAAATCGAGAGGTTGAAGATAAAATTATCTCCAGGTATCTCCATCTCCATGGAAAACGAGGTCATTTGTGACGATGAATGGCAATATCGAAGCCGATTCTTAGAACTGACCTTAATCTCAATCTCAGAATCGGCCTGAAGTTAATGATAAATCATATTCGATGTGAGTTCCATTGATTATTCATTTTTTTTTCTCTAACGAATCAATCAACCAATTGAGTCGCTATTGAAGATTGAAACTATTACTATTATTTACCTTATCCTTAATACCTTATTTAATATCCATGGATAAACCCATGTAAATAGCCAAATAATAGCCTCTCTTTTTTTCACCACTGTACTTTTCTTCCTTTATCATCACCATCATCATCATTATCATCTCTTTCCATCTTCATCCTCATCATCTACGCTCTCTTTTTTTTCTGCTCCGGAATAATTTTGATTTTCACAGTTTTCTGTACACTCTAAACATGCTCATTTACAACTGATTATTGTTATCTTATTATCTAATTGTAAACCAATTTACTTACGCTCTCTAATCATCCTCATCCTCATCTTCATATTTATCATCATAATCATAATCATCCTCATCACTTTTACACCTTCAACCTCCTCCTCTTTTGTTACTCTTACTATCAATTCATTTACCATTTTCTTGGTAACTAATCTTAATCACTAATTGATTTCATCACTCACTATGTGATATTGTTGTTATAATGATGATGATGATGATGATGATGATGATGATAAGGATGATAAACCCTTTCTATCCATGATGATTACATGTATCATCAATTTATGAACGGGAATGACATTGAATTTGTATCTGTAATTGAGTGAATCTAATTGATGAGAAAAAAAAAATTCGAGACAAAAAAAATTCTCTCATCTTAATTTTCTTAATCATCTTAATTATCATCATCATCAGAACGATATTCAAATTCAAATCAATTTCAAATGATTAACTTTAATTACTTTTAAATTTGTAATCATAAAATATACAATTAAAGTTAATTGTTGACTAGAAAAGTTCAATTCCTATTGACCATTGGGATGAATTATTATCAACAAATGATGAGGAAATAAAAATCATAACAATTAATATTAATATCAGAATATAATTATCATTGTTAATTGTGTATGAGTGTTAATTATCAATTTAAATTGTCAATTGATTTAAGTGTAAAAAAATGAACACCTTAATTGTCACTATTTTAAGGAAGTAATCAACTGATGATAAACTTTAAAATTAACCTTCTTTAGGTGTGATTAGTTAAATTGTTGGAGCAAAAAAAAACTAAATTTACTAATCATATTCATGATTTGTGGTCAACAATCAACTTTAATCATTCATAAAGATTCAATTACTTTTAAATCATGTTAATTGTTGAGAATTGAGATTGAATTAATTAGTTAAATCAGTTTAGAGTTTAAAAATTTAATCACTAATCATTTCTTACCTTTACCAATAACAACAGCAACAGGTAAAGTTAACCGGAAACAGGAAACAAGGTAAATAATGTTGATAATAATTTATTTTAATCATTTGATTTGATTACTATTACAATTAACCTTAAATACAACAATCAAGAGAGAAATAACAAAAAAAAACTCACTGACGATCATAATTAAAGAGCAATCAAAGTGACAATTAAAATGCTTGTGAGATCATAAAACAGAAAAATATTATCAACAATTAACTAATAATATAATCCAATCAACAATTAAGTATTCAGATCAATTAAATCAATGATATTCTAATGATACTAATTATAAATAGAGAGAATATAATTTATATAATTAACTAATTACCTCCCACGATTACTAAATTGTCCTCACAATCAAAAGTATTGAAAGACCCACAAAGAATCACAATGATAACGATGATTAAAGTAAATCACTAATACGAATCAAAATCTTATTCGGTTAATTGTTGATCAACAATTCACAACAATTAACTTTTCCCCTCTTCTTTTCTATATATATACACATACATGATCTCTCTCTCTCTCTCTCTCTCTCTCTCTCTCTCTCTCTCTCTCTTGAATCATGTTAATTACAATCAAGAAGATGAATAATTAACATGATTGAACATTTCTCTCATGCTACAATCAACAGTAACTTCGGGTAGGAGTGGTTCTTGTATCTCTCTCACTCTCTTTCTCTCTTTCTTCTCTTTCTTTTATCATCTTCCATTTATCTTCCTGCTCTCTACTCTGATGGCACTCCTATTAGCTAGTATTACCCACCTTCCTCCTCAAAACCCACCCCACCGTCGACCCGACATCCAATCACAATCAAGAAGGTTGAATAAGTTTCAATCCAGTTGAGAAAAATTCACTTCACAGAATAGGTTAACATTCAATTGATCAACATCATCAAGTTAATTTTACACAATTTAATTTGATTAAACTTTAATCTCCCAAGTTAATCAATCGTTGTTTGTTTTTCTATCACTCCAATCCATCTTTAATCATCCTCATCCTCATATTCATCATCATCATCGTCATCACCATTATCAATATCATCTTCATGTTCATCTTATAAACCATATTATTATTAATTATCTCCATCTGATCAACTTAATTCAACCAATTAGTTTATCTTCATCAATAATTAATTTCCTCTCAATCAAATTTAACTGTGATTCTATTAAGTGATTAATGATAATTGAAAAACTATTAATTGTTGTCTCTTCAATATAATATTTCATTGTTTCTGTTTTTCTAACTCTCCAATTAATTGTAAGAACAAGAAAAACTTAAATAATTTGATTACAATCAACAAATTGTGCTCAATTTTGTTCACATGTTATTGGTTTTCCAATAGTTTCAAACAATTTATTTTAATTGTTTCTCCGCTGTGGTTTCTTGTGTTTATATTGTTTTTTTTTGCGCTTCTTTCAATTGTGATAATTGTTCATTCTAATTAGTGTAATTATAAATGTCATTAAATGATTTTGGGAATATGTCAGCCACAAGTCCACTCAGTATACGACCCTTTTTGACCGGTTACCCTTTTCAAGGTGAGCTTGACCGTTTCTCTTGACCAATCACAATCAATATTCACCATTTGTCCAATAATAAAAGTATCGATTATCAATCCAATAGGTTAGATTATGAAAAAGAAAAAAAAAATTAACTTCGTTCTTGACCATTGTCAGTGTATAAACATGTCAACGATCAAATTAAATTGTTACTTGACAGATAAATGTCCCAACTGATTAAGAGATTTAGAGGAAAATGTTTTCAACTGTCAATCATCAGCTGACAAAGATGAAGAGGTATTAAGATTATGAGGATGATTAGAGGTGATAACGTAAATGATGATATCCTTTTTTTGATCATCCTCATCCTTATAATCCTAAGAAAAGGTCAACAGTTATTAGTTGAAGTGAAAATCAACATTTACCACAGAAAATGACCAAAGGCCAATATCTGTTGGTCGTTGTCGTCAACATGATTAGTTCATTGATAAGAAAATTGTACTCACAATAATTTAAGCGAAAAAGAAACAATTTGTTACTCTAGAGAACGAAAAAAAAAGTAAAGAAAAATATAAAAACTCTTGACCATCACTCACACACATTCTCTCTCAGTATACTGACCTCTTCCTCTTACGGTCAATGAAAGGTCGTCCAATTGATCCATAGATACAAACTGCTTAAAATTCACGATCTCAGGCCAACCTCCCCTTCCTCCTCCTCCTCCTCACTTACACACACACACACACAGTTACCTGTCTATCTAATTATAATTAACGAACAACAAAATTAACTAATGAATGTTAACTAAATCACGATTATTAATTTTTTCTTTCCTTTGAAAATTTTTCTTTTTCTACTTCTCTTGGCGTTACCATTGTTGACCTTTATTGACCTTCCCACACACAAACAACAACAACAACAACAACAACAACACATAAATATACTCACTTACTGTTGATGACCTTTAATTTTACCCACCGGTGGAAGGTCAAGGAAGAGTGAATCAACTTGGAGGTGTTTTCATCAATGGGCGACCTTTACCTAATCATGTACGCTTGAAAATTGTTGAACTCGCGGCCGCCGGTGTCCGACCTTGTGTTATATCCCGACAATTAAGGGTCTCCCATGGATGTGTATCAAAAATACTCAATAGATATCAGGTAAATTGATAATTAATCAGCTGATTAACTTTTCTTCTCATTATCAATAATCACTGACCACAATCAACTAATCATCCTTCAAATTAAGGTTCATAAATGTTAATTAGCCGGCTTATTATTGACAATTAACAAGTTCATTTAGTGATAATATAACTTCATCATTGATATATTATTGATGTAATATCATTAATCATTAATCAGTGATTATAATCACTTGATTAATTGTTAACAATTAAAAGTCAATTGACCATTTCATTTACTATTAACTTTATTGATAAGGGTCAGTTTTATATATTATATATAAATTATCATATTGATCAATGTAATTTAATTTACTTTGTTAATTGTTGTTTCATTATCTTTTTTACCGATTTGATTACTTTTGTATAGTGTTAATTGTTTGCCTTTAAGTTTAAGTGTTATTGGTTAATTGTTTGCTGATTGTGAATGATGATGATGATTTTGTTTTGCTGTTGATGATGATGATGACATTAATTAAAGGTTAATTGAAGGTTGAATTTTTAATTACTTTGTAATTGTAAAAATGAAAAATTATCAAAAGAAAATAAAAATTGATCATTGATATAATGAAGATAGAGGAGACTTAATTATGTGAATTAAGTTAACAATTAGTTAATTAATTGTTATTCAATTCCCGATAATCATGACAATGTTGTTTTTATCATCATCATCATCATCATCAGAGATGATAAATCATAAGAGGGTAAATTGAATCAAAGTTATGACCTGATAAATTTACAATCAACATGTAATCATTATTGATTAAATCATTGACAGTAATTGACAAACTTGATGATCGGAAAGTATCAACAATCAAAAGTTAAATGAAATAATCAAAATGCAAACTCACACAATCAACAACAACAACAAGAACAATAATAATAATAATAATGATGTTTTCATATACAACAATTAACTAAACAGGAACAATTAACCTGCAAGATAAATAAATAATATCATTTGAAGTGAAAGAGAAAACTTTTTTCAACAATTAGATGATAATCGTAATGATGATTAAAGGTAATCAACTTGTGGGTGGTTAATGATAATTTCATTTCCCATAAAAAAAACAAATCCCATAACCTGAAGGAAGATGCAAATATCATCCTCATCCTAATCTCCATCCTCATCTCCATCCTCATCCTCATCTTCCTCATCTTCTTATCATCATTTTCTGCAGCAAAAAAAGTGCTTTTAGATTTTACTCCAGCCATGACTGTACATAATCAATTTGATGATGATGAAGATGAAGATGAAGATGATGTTTACCTGTTCCCCACCCTCACTCAGGTATAAGGGTGATGGTGGAGTGGGAGGTGTAGGGGGTTAATTGTTGTTAACTTTTTTTCTGTTAATCAACTAATTTTTTATACTAAGTAAATTTTTGTTGCTTGATTAAAATTCATACAATCCGTTAATCACAGTAAATCACACACACACACACACATCAAAGTTAATTGTTTGCCTGATCTTGCCTCTGTAATTAGGATTAGCTTAATTTTTTTGCTCACTCTGTGTGTTGTATGATTAACATGATCATGTTAATTGTTTGAATAATATGATTAAAAAAATTAATGTTTACCTAGTAATTAATTTCTGTAAATGTTTTTCATAAGACAATATCAATTTGTATCATTATCATGTAACAATTAACTTTTGTAATTATCAACAACGACCACATGATTTTGATTATTTGGACATGATTGATTTAATCATCTCTATATAGATTGATTGAAACAGTTAAATTAAATTGTGATCAGTTAACAATTATTATTAGTTTGTAAATTGTTGTTTGCATGTCAATGAATCAGATTATTATATTTATTATCATTAATTGTATGATTTGTATTTTTTGTTTAATCAACTTGCAATTGATTTGATTTTAATCATTTGAATTAGTTAAATATGTTCATTACCTCAACCTAAATTGTTTGGTAATTAATCATAAATGATTTAAATCATCAATCCTAATTATTATTCATATTCATGGTGAATATAAAATTTATATATATGAAACTTGATACAATTAAAACAATCGGCCAGTTAAAAATTTATTAATAGTCAGTGATTAAAACTAATTGTTAATCTAATATCTTTATGAAAGTAATACAATTTAATTGTATGTTTCAATTGATTCCCATTGAACCTTAATTTGGTTTGCCAGTCAACCAATTAGCTTAATTGTTATCCAAGTTTAAGGTTAAGAAATTGTAAGAAACAAAGTTAAATCATTGACTGGAAATTGTTGTTAATTGTTGTGATCAATTTTTTATTCCTATAAACAACAATCAAGTGCTGATTGTTGTTGTTAATTAAAACTAATAAAATTTCAATGGTCAGTGAATTATGGTTTTTACAAGGAAATTCAGTCTCAAGGATTGACCCTTACAAAAAGAGGTCAATGTCAGGTAAAGGTCAACATTTAATTAACATTCAATGGGAATTCATTTTCTTAAATTGTTGTTAATCTTGTCCCTTTAATTTAGTTTGTGTAGCTAATAAATCAATTGATGATCTTAATCACAATTAGAATCTTAATTTCTGTCTTTCTTTTTACAATTAACTTTTTTTTTGCTTTGTTGTTTTTTTTCTGATGACCAATGGTTGACCAAAATGCTGGTGAACTATGACCTTGACCATTTCAAATGTCCCCTAAGGGTCAGTAGACTTAACGTTCAGGCTGAGGTCACTTTTCCGTCACAAGATTTACCGTTTTAAATGCCTTTGTGTGTCTATTTTTATACCTTAATCTTAATTTTGTTTTTCTCCTTTAATTGTAATAGTCAAACAATCAGTTGATTGTGACTAATTGTAAATAAATTGCAGAAAAAAAAATCCTTAAATTGTTTACTTACATTTTTATTTTCACCGTTAATCAGTGAAACATTTTGTTACAATTAAAATGATTGGTAAACAATTTAAACTTAATCAACATGGTTAAGTTTTTGATTGTTAATCATCAATGAACCTCAACTTTACTGTCCAAGTTAATTAACTAACTATTAATAATACTACTAATCACAATTAAGCTTTTGCCAAATATTTTCTAGTAACTAAATTATAACAACAAGGTAAAAATCAATTAATCAATGTCAAAATGATTAAACAAAAATGACAATTAACTGTCCAGTACATTGGTCAACATGATTTAACCACAACAATCAATCAGATAATCATAAATGTTAATTAAATTACCAATAAGATGACACATTAAACTTTTATTATTAACTGTTAATGAGAAAAAAAAACTTAACCAATTTGATTGATTAGTTGATTGTTGATCATCATCATCATCATCAGGCTACTTAATTGCTACAATCAGTCAAAAAGTGATAAGATAACAATCAATCTCAATTTAGATTAAATAACAAGAAATATTATCGATCGTTAATTGTTATAAAAAAAAGCAGCAAAATTTTTAATTAAAGTTAATTAAATTAAGAAGAAAACTTTTTCCCGTTAACAACAATCAACTCCAAGTACTAATTGTTATAATCTCATAATCCGTGCCAATAATAATTTAAAATTTTAATCATGATTAGAGACAATTAAAACACAATATACCTACGGGAGATTATGAATTTTTAATTGTGATTCATTGTTAATTGTTAATTTCATTACTTTTCACTCCTCTACAATTTAATGTTGATCATTTTCACGATTTCATCCAACACACACACACTAACATTATTGTTTAATTGTTAAACTAAATTAAGCACGCACAGACATCCCCAAGGTGGCCCAAACAATTAACATGATTAACTAACTAACTTAAATTACCAACAAAAAAAAAATTCATTAATGAAACAAAACAACAACAAACAGAATCAGGATCAACAATAATCAACAAGAATCAAAAGTTTTTCTCAACAAACAAAAAGTACGAAAAACTTTTTTACAACTAATCACAATTAACTAACCATTGATTTTAATAACAAGATTAAAAGTGTTAATCATCATTATCAATAGATTATCATGTTCACATTAGCTTAACCATTGTAAATCTCCGCCTAATCAATAGCAATTCATTCATATAATTGATTGTATTTACCATACAAACTCTTGAACGTGTTAACGAGCATAAGGTCACCATGTATATATAAATTACCGTAGGTATTAAAAGCCCCTTAGGTAAATAAGATTGTGGTTTATATACATGGTCACATTTGAGCAGAAGGTTTTTTTTTGTTGGTTACCTTTGGGTCCTAAAATTTTGGCACGACGACCTCACATTTATCATTATTATTATTATTATTGTATTGTCGCTATATTAATATATATGTGTGTGTGGTGTCCTAATGGTGATTTGTAGTGGGGTGGGTATGATATTAAGTCGGCGGGTTTCCTGTGTATTTGTGTGTTTGTGTTAATCAAATAATCAAATTGTTGTGGTTAAGTTGAAACATGTAATTGTTATTGTTATGGTTGAGCAAAGGTAAACAAATTAGTTTGATATTTTCACTTTTTCAATACCGATATTTACCTTTTGTAATAATAATCATCATCTATTGTCATCTATCATCATGTAGATACATGATGATGATGATGATGATGATGATGATGGTAGTGGTGGTGGTGGTAGTGGTGTGTGTGATTATGAGGATGATAAACCTTGATTGTTAGCGTTTTTCTGTCATCAAATATTTTTCATCTTTCTGTTGATCTCATTGAATCTTGATGATATTTATCATCTTTTCCTTTCTTTTTTTCTTCTCATCATTATTCAATATATCATCTGATCATGAGAAAGATGATAAGTTAAGGGTATAAGAAGAAAGTGGGAGCGGAAGGAAGATAATGAAAGGGAGGGCAAGAGAGAGAGAGAGAGAGAAGAGTAAGAGACTAAATGGACTGAGAAGGAGGTGGAGGAGGAGGTAAGAAGATAGAGGATGAGGGAGGGATAAAAGTTTGTTCATGAGAATATGATGATGATGATCATGCTTATCATCTTCTTCTTTCCTCTATATCATCATCTGAGAAAAAAAAGAAGAATGAAAAGAGAGAGGAAAAATTCTTCATTCAGAATAAGAATTTTTTTTTCTTCTTCAATGACTTAATCAACATTGAGAAGCGAAACCGATAGAGCCAAACCCATGATAATGACGATGATGATGATGATGAAGATAGAAGCTGAAACTCAGGTAAATTGAATTACATCAGCTTAGCCCAGGTTACGATTTGATTGAAATAATTATCACAAGATAATCTCTCTCTCTCTCTTTCTCATCTTCATCTAATCTCTATGTAAATCTTGTCATTGTCAATGAATTTTTCATCATCATCATCGGCCAAGCCCATTGAAAGAGAGTGAGAGAGAAAAATGATATTAATCAATGTAAAAATGAACATGAGATGTAAATGTACATGTATCATCATCTTCATCATCATCGGAATAATTTTCTACTACTGTTAATCTAATGGCGATGATGATGATTATTATTATGAAACTTGATTCACTCCATGTGTTACCAATGATCCGAATCAACAAATGAACAAAATATTTAACTAAATTGTTTAATTAACTTTCCGAGAGTTAATTGAAATGGTTTGCATTTCATTGGCACATTCATACAATTGTAAACCACAAAGATGATGATAATTACGATGATGATGATAATGATGATGGTCCTTAGGCCTAAGTGATTATCGTCAAAATTTGCTTCCTTTAACAACAATTTGCTTCCGTTTGCAAATTGTTTACACACTCAATTGAACCGAATCAAGTGAGAAAACCTAATAATCAACATGAACCAAGTTCAAACAATTTAACTATTACAATAACAATTAGTACTTGTAACGATTAAGCAAATATATCATCAAGATGATCAGTAGATAATGTTAACAACAATCAACAAAGACTTTAATTGTTACATTGTTTTATTTGCTTCGGTTTTGTCCTAATCATCAACCTTTGAAAACTTGTTAACTGTCTTGTTAATTGTTGTTACATTAAAATCTTGATGATTGTAATCAACACTTAATTGCTCAAGATTTACAGTTATCGGTTCAATCAACAATCCAATATGATTAATTTAATACTTAATTAGGATAAATAATTGATTCTGTTTTTTTGTTTGTTTGTTATTTTATAAAGATTAACACTGGAACAATTTAATTTAGTTAAGGTCTTAATTGTTAACTGGGTTGTTAATTCAATTACTATATGTATTTGATTACAATGAAACAAAGTTACAATGAATGATGTCCAATCAATTAAGTTATGGTAATGATTAACCAGAGACAATTAGTAAATTATCTGTGTAATTAACTTTAATTTAACAAAACAAATTAGAGATGAAGAAATCAAATTTAATCCAATATCAACACCGATACGTTAATCATAATAAAACACCAAGAAATCATCACAATTAGTTAATTGTGATGATAATAATAATTGTCCCGGCTAACCCTTAATCACTTGATTAGTAAATAATAACAATGATAAATATAAATTATCATTGTATTAACAATTAAACTACAATAAAGAAACCAAACCTTAATCAATTGGACAGAAAACACTAATCACAATGTAAAATTAATCCCTAATTATGATGATTAACTTTTCGCACCCATAATCAAAATAATCCTCTAAATGATGATAATCATTACAAATGATTATATCTCAATTTGAAAGCCTACACAATTTAAATTGTTACCACAATTAACGTACAAACATAAACCAAGGTAAAAGCAAATCACTCAACAATAAGCAATAAACTATCAAAGGGACAATTAAGATGTAGTAATAAAAAGTGATTGTGATCAGATTAACTTTAGATTTAGACAACAACAATTAACTTTAACTCATCATCATCATCATCATCTTGTTTACTGAATCATATTTATTATCGTCAGGTCGTAATCGTCGTTATCATCAAATAAGTCCAACGATATAATTGATTAGAGGAAAGAAGAAGAAAAAAGTTTTTAATTTTTTTTTTCTTTCAAAAGTTCTGTTTGATTCTGATTCTGATTTTTCTTTTTATTCGATCTCGAATTTGTCCACCAGGAAACGGGAAGCATTCGTCCAGGAGTGATTGGCGGAAGTAAACCAAGGATCGTTTCCCCGGAAGTGGAAAGACGAATAGAAGAGTATCGTCGAGAGAATCCGGGAATTTTTTCCTGGGAAATTCGTGAAAAATTAATGAAAGAAAATTTATGTGATAGGCAAACGGCTCCATCTGTATCCGCTATAAGTCGATTACTTCGAGACGGAAATGGAAATAATGGAAATCCGAGCGGTGGCGGCGGCGGAGGAGGAGGAGGTGGTGGAGGTGGTGGCGGTGGTGGTGGTAACTCAAATTCAAATGGAGCCATGGGAGGAGGAAACGGAATGGATTCAATGTCAACGAAAGCCGGTAAACATAGCATTGCGGGGATTCTTGGTGGTGGTGGTATCAATGGTACTCATGTCAGTGGTGGTGTTATTTTGAATGGTTGTGTTATTGATAGTGGTGATGGTGGTGTTTGTAATGGTGAAGGTGGTATTGGTGGTGATGGTGTTGGAGGTGGAGGAGGAGGAGGAGTAAAGAAGAGGAAAGAGGAGGAGGCAATATTAGTGGCGGTGGTAATATTTATGTGGGAGGTTTAGTGACAACTAATCACCACCACCACTGTCACCTTCAAATGCCACCTCCACCAGAGTCTTGCAACAAATCAAGGGAAACAGATGAATGTGAGTATGTCATCATCATCTACAACACCATCATCATGGTCATCATCATCTTCACCTTATCCCATTTCCTTTAATCCTTTCGATGGTCAATCTTGTAGTCAACAGAAAAAATCCTTGACCCAATTTTTTCACCTCTCTCTCTCTCTCTCTCTCTCTCTCTCTCTTGTTTATTATCATCATTTTCCCTCTCACTCTCAGATGATGATGATCATCATTGAAGATTATATATATTGAGAAGGAAATAATGAGAATATCTCTCTCTCTCTCTCTCTTTCCTTATCTGATAATCATCATCCATAGAGATGCGGTTGATTAAAAGGATATCATTTAAAAGCACAATAGTAACTAAAGATTAGTTTACTAATCAGATTAACTAGATAAAGATAATCTTTCCTCCTCTTTTCCTCTAACAATGAGAAGGTATAATAAGTCACTAACCACCCAATTGTCCGTTAACAACAATATGTAGCCAGAGGGATAAATAAAGTAAGAGAAAAGTAAAAATAAAAACGTTAATCCAAACAGATTTAACCACAAATCGCCTTAAATCAGTGATAATTGAATTAAATGTTAATCTACAATTGCTTTCTTACCTTTCACCACCCTTGTCGGTGGTTTAATCAGTCAGCCTCTTTCACCCTCTTCACCCTCCAACTTAAACCCACCGCCGTCACTTTTTACCTTAATCCCATTTATCCATTTCTTTTGAGCAAATCTCTCACAATTTAAAGTATCAACTACTCACATGTAATAGATTAACATTGATCATTATCCACAAATTGATTAGATTAACAATTGACATTAAAATGGTTTCCTTTTTTTTTACTCTCTCAACCTTCATAATCAATTGTATTCCCGCCTAACACATTATACAATTAACTTATTATTCAATCAACTAACTGGACAATTTAAATAAAAAGTCCACCACTGATTGGCTTAAATTGTTATTAACTTTGTCAACTTTGCCTCCTCCTTTATTATTATAGTGATTATAGTTAATCCTAATCATCATCTGATGATGATTAGGATTATTTGATTAACTGTTATAGGAAATTGATTATCAACAATTATCACCTGAAAAGTTAATCAATATTTATAATCAATGATCAACTTACTCCGAAACAATTAAGATGAAGGAAATTGATTATGATATAAGTTAATTGTAATGTCAATTATTAATAAAACACTTGAATATCAAGTTTATTGGTATTAATTAGTAACAGGATTAAGGAGATATGGATTAGGGATAATCTCTTGGAGATAATGAAAATTTGATTATCAAATGATTTCCGATTTCATTATCATTGTGATTATCATTTTAATAATAATATGATTTACATGATTTGAATGTCATAAATTATATTAACTCTTAATCTTATTGTTAATCAGTTAATCACTAAGTTCCCCATGAAGGTTACTGGGTGGGTGGTGGTGGTGATGGTGAAGATTATCAAAATGAAAGAGAAAAAAAAAGAATAAAAAAAAAAGTTTTTTTCTTCTCAATGAAAAAAAAAGAAAACGATAACTTTTTTTTTCTTGTATTAATCATAATCGGATAATCACAATTTAGTGATTATCCTGTCAATCTCAGGTTCCCTATAGATCATCAACACTATTACACCAACACCATTAGTTGATTGTAACAATTTAAATTGTAAATTGTTTTTCCGAAAGGAAAACTTTTCTTTCCCTTTCAACCAAATACAAAAAGTAACTAACAACAAAACTAAATACTGACCAAACCTTGACCTATGGATGATGATGATGATTATGATGACCACTACTCTCCATTTGAGTTAACTAATTATATCATTGATTAATCGTCCCTTCCCCCTTTCTCTCTCACTATCATCTCCTCCTCCTCCTACTCATCATCCAAACAGAGTGAGAGAGAGTGAGACCTCCACTATAGCTACAGGGTGGTTTCTTGTTGCTGTCAATTATAAAGGTAACATGATGTTAGGTGTGTGATGTTACCTGTACAGTAGTACAGTTGTAATTGAATGCCACCTTAAATTGTGTTACTCTTATTGTTGAACAATTTGAAATAATTAACAATTAACTGACAGGTTAGAAAAACAATTAATTGTTAAATTTACAATAAAAACCAAACCTTTTTTTATATACAATTTTATATACAATTCATTGATCATCATCACAATTAAACTAATCGCTAGTTGGTTGACAATTAAAACATAAAAATTGATTAAAATAATAATAATAACTTTCAATACGAATGAGTTTTGTTAATCATTTTGATTCTGAAATTGTTTCCAATCACGATGATTAACTTTAAATTGTTATTATTATATAAATCATACCTCTTATTGGCTGTGGTTTGATTGTTGTTTGATTGAAACAATCAAATGGTAATCAGCTAAATCATGGTTTCTAAATGTTTCTTGTTAGATTGTTAATTTAAATTTCACGTTGATAAATTTGATTGGTTTCACAATTATTTGCCATAGATCAGGATGATTAAAGGTCTAATTAAGATGATGATTGGAGGGATATCCATTTATTAATAGTAAATAAATTGGCATCATTTTCAGGAATCAAATCAAATTAAATTGTTAGTTAACAAATAGTTAGTTAAGTAGTTGCGTTAAATTATCGTAACGAAATGAAGTCAACGATTAAAATTGAACAATATTTAGTATAACGATTTGTTTTTTATTTTGTTTAATTTAATCACGCAATTTAACAACAACAACAACAATCAATCAATGAAGCAACAATTTATTGTCATCATAATCAAATTTATCATCCTTATCCTAATCATTTTAATCCCGCAATTATATATAAATATCCTAATCCCTTTAATCATTGTTAATATTAACAAAAGTTTCAATTTTTAATCATGATAACAAGGTTAATCTAAATTGTCACAATTTATTTTGATCAATTCTGATTGTATAAATATACACCATGATTACCAATCTAAATACTCACAATCAAAACACAAACACCACAAACAATTTAATCTCAACACCAAGATACCACCATGATGACTGAATCCATCACCTTGATTTAGATTGAAATGGAATAACAATTTACTAATTGTTCCATAACTTTTTTCTTCTTCTTCTTCTTCTTCTTTCATATTTATTCATTTTTCTTTCTTCTTCTTCATTTATCATCTTCTCCCTTCAGGTGATGACGATGGATCAGATTCTGATACAGAACCTGGATTAACGTTGAAACGGAAACAAAGACGATCTCGAACTACATTTACAGCAATGCAATTGGAAGAACTGGAAAAAGCCTTCGAGCGAACTCAATATCCGGACATTTACACGAGGGAAGAACTTGCCCAAAGAACTAAATTAAGTGAAGCCCGAGTTCAGGTAATTAATTCTTAATCCGATCTGAATAACAATTAATCTTCTAATTTGGGTTAAAATATAAATCAACAGAAAAACAAAGAAAAACAAACTTTTCTTTTCTCATGAAGAAAAAAAAAGTTCCCATTCTGATCTAATTAGTGGTCAGTTAATCAATCATTCCCGAAGTGATTTCCATTGACTGATTATTAAACCAAATCTACCAGATTAAGAGATTAATTTGAGATTAGCTTTTTATATAAGGATTAATTTACTTTTCCTTGGATAAATTAACTAAGAAAATATTAAGTTGGAATGTTAATCTTTACACCTGATGAATGATGGTGATGAAAAGATGATGATTAAGATGATAAAGATGATGAAGATAATGTTGATGATTAAAGGTAAGGTTAAGATGATTAATGAGCTGTAGTTTGTAATTGTTTTAAAATGATGATCAACAATAATAAAACAGGTAAAAGGCTATGATTAGTGAACAATTAAAAGTGATACTTAATCATAATCTCATCTTAATCAACAATCAAATGTATTAACATAATGATAATAATAGTAAAGGTAATTGTCATTGAAGGTTCATTGATAAGTTAATCAATGAAAGAAGAGGTAAAATTAAATGAAAAAGTAAATTATGATAAAATAACATTGTCATCATCATAATTATCATCACAATTATCATCACCAACATCATCATCATCATCATCATCAACAACAATAATAATAATTACACAATGACAAATGAATATGATAACAAAAACAAAGGTAAAACTATTTTTGCCAACTCATAGTAAAAGTGAAACAGTAAATTAAATTGTTTTCATTAATGAAACAACAATGAAAAAACTAATGAAAGTCTATCAGGTAAACACATATAAACTCATATATATACACAGGTAAATATGAAAAACCAGTTACTCAGGTAAATGAATAAAAATATACACACATTGAACTATTGATGGGCCACCAACATGAAGTAACAAAAAAGTAATCAATGTAATCACTTTGTGTTACCTGTGTTACCATAAATATATCCTAATGATTATTTATAATGTATTAATATTGTATTAAGTGTTGTTTGTATGTGTGTGGCTCTTATTCTGGGTAACAGTTGGGTGCAATTGATTAAGATGAGGATGAAAAAGATGATGATGATGATGTAGATGATTGAATAAAAAGAAATGAATGAAAAAAAAGTATTTTCAATGGAGAAGATGAAGTTTGAAAAAAAAAAGAAACAGCAACAGGTAGAAAAGGGAAAGGCTCAATAAAAGATGAAGATGAGAAGATGAAGATGATGAGAGAATCAATTTTTTTTCTATTTTCTATTCTTCCCAATTCTCTCTCACTCACTTACTCTCTCTCTCTCTCTCTCTCTCTCTCTCTCTCTATTCATCATCGTTTTACCTTCATTCTTCATTATATTCAATTCGTTATTATTACTTAATCAAATGAGAGAGAAAAATTTATAAGGTAGCTAAATATTTTTTTCTATTAAAGGTAATAACTTATTTCCATGATAGTTGTTGATTCATGAGCATTTTTTATATGTTCACAAGTCGCTTCGTCTTTATGTTATCTGATATCTTACCTGGAATGATGATGAAGATGAAGATGATGGAGATAATGATGAATACCTGGAATCTTATCGGTCCTTTTTTCTTTTGTGTATTTACCTGAGCAACTGATGATTACTTTGATATGGACTTCGTTTCTTATTCAATCACGCAAGTGACTTTATGAATAATGAAGATGATGATGATGATGAGGATGATAAAGTTATCGACGGTACTTTTTTCTCCTGAAAATCTATTGATTTACTTTAAATTGTGTTCTCTCTCCATTCATATACCACTTAAACTGAATAATGATTAACTATCTTGTTCCGTCTAAATTGAATAACTTTTTTCTCTCCATTCATATTTTCTGTTTAAATTGTTCACTGATTGTGGTGATTTTTTTTTTCTAATTCAATTCAATCTACAAATAATCAGCAATAATTAACTAACATAGTTTGTATTTATGCTATTAGATTGTATTATTAATAATAATGCCCATTGGTCAGTAGTAGTATTTGATTGTGGTTATATTGGTGTTTGGTTGATTCGTAATCTATCATTAGTTTATTGATTTTAATTGTAATTTGTGGTTTTTTTGAGGTGAAAAAATTAGTTGCAAATGATGGCAAAATCTTAATCATTTGGTGACAATTACAGTTAATCCAATAGCAAAAAACAATCGAGAATAAGATTAACCTAATTCCCTCGAGGTGGACAGATTAAAGTTTCTCGTAAATACTTTGAAAATGTATTGATTGACATCTTTCAACATAATGCCAATCAAATCATCGTCTCACCATCATCTTGACTCTTTCTCATCATCATCATCATCTCTCTCTCTTCCTGGCGGGAGTTTTACCTTCAAAAGGTAATTATGATAGATACCTATGGGAATTAGCTTTATGTGTTTTTCATCACACTAAAGTGACCTCAGATTTTCAATAAGAAAAGTCCTCATCATCATCATCATCATCATCATCATCTCTCTCTCTCTCTGGGGGTTTCCTTTTCATCATCATCCTATTGTACCTTAAGCTTTACCTGTTTCACCTTCACAAAGTCAACTTGCAATTATTATTACCTAATGTGTTCATTAAACTTGATAATCAACAATTAACATGATTACCATTGACTGTTAACGTGTTTCATTTGATTGTGATTATGATTAACTAACCAATACAAATAAAAACTTTTCCCTGTGATAACTAATGTTTTTGATTGTTATTGCTCAAAGTTATTACTTTAATTCCCAATTAATTGATCTATACCTTAACTATGGAAAAATTTACATTTAATTGTCTACAAATCAAACTATCTGATTGTAAATTTAATTGATCTAGTTATTAATTGTGAAAATATTTCAACTAATTGATTAATTAGCAAGTTGATTTACTTTTAATAGGCAACGAAAAAAAAAGTTACTCTCTCTCTCTCTCTCCAGGTGATTAACTTTTTGATCAACATGTTAAATACAAACAATCAACAGACAGTGAAAATAATCAAGGATAAACAATTGATTAGTTAGGTTTAATTTGCCTATTCTTAATTGCAATTATTTCTGAATCAAATTTAATTTGTATCAGACAATTTGGTTTCACTTCACTCACTTAATCACTTACACAAACCATTGCAAAACCAAATACATAAATAAATGTATATTCAACACTTACAATCAGCTTAATTGTAACAATTTACACTATAAACACAACAATCAATTTAATTTTTAAGCTAAATTTATAATTTACCAACGAATTACAATTATTATTCAAAGCTGAACAATTAACTTTAATCAACCTCTAACCAGAGAGAAGACGAAAAACTATTTTCAAAGATACTTAATCTTAATCATTAATTTTACTCTAAATTAACTGAATTAGATTTTGAATTGTCGCCAACAATTAACTTAATGTAATCAGAATGTAATCAACCCTAGAGAGAGAGAGAGAGAGAGAGAGTAACAATTAATCACTTGGCAACGAAACTCAATGAATTTTTCTGGTAACAATTAATATATATGAAAGTAAAATGATGAGAAAGCAATTAAAAAGTCAAACAATTTGTAAATTGCAATTAAAATTTCAATTGTAATTGTAAATTGAAAATCCCAACTACACCACAGCAACAACAACAACAACAACTTCCCCACCCCATCATCATCACTTCCGCCTAAATTAACCAGGAAAACCGGAAATACAGTTTAATAAGATGAAGAGAAAAAAAGTTCACAATGAAAGAGAAAATTTTTTTTTTCTTATTCATAGTAAATCATCATCATCATAATCAGAATGAAAATAGTAAACAATTAAGATGATAAATCAAATTGTCAGCTAAATTGTTTAAGGTAAATCACAATGTTGTTAATAAGGATTAATGTTTAATGTTATATATTTGTAATAATACAATACAACCACAACCACAACCACAACATCAACACCAACACAATAATCATGAAACATAAGAGTAAACAATCAAGCAACAATTTAATCTAATAACAATGATTGTTAATCATGATCATGGTTAATAACAATCAACAATTTATGTACATGTGTGTATAGACATTTCAATTGTTACAATTGAACAAGAAAAAAAGTCAAACCCATTTTTTGTTTATTTTTATCAAATACCTTGTACTTTATTATATTTACCTGTAAATCATCATGATGATGATTTAATACCTTCAAGGTGTGATAGTTATCATCCTCATCATTCTCATCATCCTCATCATCATCATCATCATTGTAAAAGAGGAGGTAATTTAATAACAACACCCACCCTACGATTGATACAATGTAAAGCATTCGGGTTACAATCAATTGTATCATGATGATGATCAGTTTTAATTGTTGGGAATGCCAACTTTTCAAATCCTATAGTTAATTGTTTGCTAATTGTTGTTGGGTTAATATAAATATGAATCAATGTTTCATTTTTAAATTGTGAACAATTTGGATTTTTTTTTTCAATTAGCTTTCTTGTTACATCAACAATTTAGGTCAACAATTAATTTCCAGGTTATTATTATTATTATTATTGTTACTTTTGATCAATTTACTTGATTGTTTCAAATGATTCAATGAAAATTTATATAATATATTTATGTATATGGGTATTTTCATGGTTAATTACCTGATTCAATCATGATGATAATGAATTGAAATTCACTGAAATTAATAATAATTAACTCAAAACTTTCACTTTTGCTGTTGGCTTTAAAATCATACAAACTGATTAGTTTAGTTTTCCTGATCAATAATAATCAGTTAATCATAATAATTATAATTCCTATACTCTTGATGATCATAATCAATTGTTTCATTTGATTGTTGTTTTATTATCATGTGTTGAACATGAATCAACATGAATTTGTTGTTTTTTGTTTCTCCTCTTGATTGTTTCAGGTTCTGATTAAAGGTGGACACACTTTTCAATCAAATTTAATTTGGTTTAAATTGTTTTCATTGGGAATCATTGTTTTCCTATTGCCACCTATTTTTTTTTCATCCTCATCATTATCTTAAGTACATAAATGGTTTTCGGGCCTTTTGTTTGATTAGTTGTTAGAGTTAATCAATGAAAATGAAACAATATGATTACCATGATTATCATCATGAAATAAACTTTAAAACGAGTAATTGATTCTGAGAATCAGGGAATTATTTATGATTATCAACATGATAATGTTCATATTGATGATTGAATTGATTGATTGGAAGACAAATTAGATGATAATATGAATTTATCATCATGATGATCAAGATGATGATCATGTTTTATATCTGAGATCTGAATGTGTGGCCTATGAACTTAATCAATGGTAGAAAAAAACTCAGGTAAAGCTTACAGGGTTGTTCAGGTAATCTAACAATTCAATTATCAACAGATAATGTTTACTAAATCATCAGAATAATCATCATGCTGATAGGTATCTTAATGTATTTGTATAAAGAGTAACAATCAGCAATTAGGTCAAACTATCAATATTTATTTACTTTTATCGATTGTCTCAACTAATACTGTACTTAAATTTCATGTTTACTTTTCCCCCGAAAGATTTACCTGAGTACCTGATACTCAGAACTTTGAGGAAAAGTTTCTCATAGAATTTTCTGATTCAACTGACCAACCCTGTATTTACCTGTGAGACATTTCTGAAAGGCCTCTTACCTTGTTACGCTTTCCAATCAATATTAATGTAACCATCAATTAACCTTTAATCCATGACGATGTTTTCATGTCTATCATCCTCATCACAATGTATCTCATCCTCATCCCTACTCACCATCATCCTCATCTTCATCCTCATCTTCATCTCCATCCTCATCTCTCTGAATAACTTTACGGAAGAAAAAAAATTGCAAATTAATCCAAACTGATCAGAAATCTAAGTTAATCATCTCAACACTTTACGTGAAGAGTAAATTTCACCCAAATCAATTAACTCCAATTATCAAGTGAACAATTAATAATCAATCAATAGCAACAAAGAGAAAATGTTTGTCCAACAATCAGTTGATTAGTTTGATGAGGAAAATTATATATATAAACAATGAATGAAAAGTTTTCTCTCCTTAAAAAATGAAACTTAAATTCATATTGAAAACTGAAAAACTCACGCAATCAGAATCGCGAATCACCATGAATCATATCAAGATACATGATAAAGTTTTAAAGTTTCCCACATTGATTTGAAATCAATAAAATCTAATAATAAGATAATATTAACCATAATCATAATCGTAATCATCAATAATGATATTAGTTTGGAAAACTTTTCCCACAAACAATATAATAGTTAATAGTTGGGTTAAAATAAATATAAAAACAAAACCGGTAAAGTTGCATTGGTTTCCAATTGAATAGTTACCTGAGATTAAGTTAAATTGTTATGATTAAAAGTTTTGTATGATAATAAAAAAATGAAATAATATTAATCTAATAATATGAATGATGATGAAAATAAATACTTGATTGTTGTTGTTGTTTTTAAATCAACTCTGCTTGAGATATTGGTCCTTAAATGTTGTGGTTGTTTCTGTTATTTTGATCAGCACAATAATCGTGAATTTGATTTGATTATAAACAATTTAACTTACACACACACACACAACTAATATAAGAAAACTTTTACACCAACAATTTAAAGATAATTATAATGGTTTACATTTAGAGATTTACAGGTAAATTTGATTGTGATAAAAGTGCAAGTTGATATACTTGTTGATTGTAATCAATATTTTTGCCTGATTGTTGATTGTTTGACTTTTTACTTGTTCAATTTAATTGGAGGAAATAATTTCAATTTCAATCTCATGTAATCAAAGACATGGGGACTCACCTTGACAGTTAATTGTTTCCATATCGTAATGTAAATTGTTGGGATTTTTTTCTCTATTGTTTTTAAAAAACTATTAAAGATGATGATAAAGGATGAAAGAGAGAGAGAGAGAGAGAGAGAATGATAAGAAGGGATGAGGATGATAAAAGATGATGAGGAAGATGATTTTTCGTGCAATATACTGAAATCTAATGCAAAGTATTATGATTTTAATCAATAGCCATGAGACTACCGTGAAAAGCTTAATGATTCGTGCAAACCTTCATCATCATCATCATCATTATCTTCATCTTCATCTTCATCTTCATCTTCATCTTCATCTCCATCCTCATCTTTGAGTTTCTCTCTCTTTTTTCATCTTAACATTCAAACCCCATGTTAACATCGTAACGATGATATTACAATATGAAACCATTGTTTTTACACACTGATTGTTGTAATTAAAACTTACAGTAATCAATTGAATTATCGTTAATTACTCTATGAATATATAATTAACATCTACCTTGATAATTATCATCATTAATCAGACAAAAAATATTATAACCTCAAGCTATTTCTATGTAAACAAATAACAATAACAACATATTAGTGTGATAATATTATCAAAAGCTTATGGATAACTGGTCATGCTTAAATTGTTACCAATTTTAATCACAATTAACTAAATTCCAACTAAATTAACATTGATTATTAAAAAACCAAAGGTATTTAATTAATGTCTTGAAATATTTTTTTTTAAAACTTCATCATTATTATTACTTAATTGTTTGAATCTGTGGTTTTTTATTAGTTTGTTGGGAGGTCTTGATTGTTAACCGAATAACAATTAACTAATTGTTACACAGCTAAATGATTAATTAATTAACCATAAAGTATAAATTAAAATACTTTAAGATTAATCATAATAATTATATTTTTTTCTTGGTTATTATTTGATTGATTATCTTTTGATGATGTGATGACAATTTAAGATTAACTTGATTGATCAAATTTGATTGTATAGTAATTAACAAATCGTATGATTTAAACTGATGTTAATTGTTATTCTTAATGGTAATTAATTAGTTTGATTACCTGATTAGACGATAAGAAAATAATTACATTTAATCAACTATTAATTGTTGACAGAAAAAATCAAGTCGATACTTTGATGATTAGATTGATGTTTTTTTTTTGCTTCTCTTACTGATCAGTTTAGTAATTAAAAAATATTGATTACAATTTTGTCTCATTGATTATGAAAAGATGATGATGATGATGATGGAAGATGAGGTTTCTTATCATCCTCATCATCTTGTTTGCATACAGATAACAATAAATGATAATCACACTGTAGGTGATTTAGATTGTAATTTAAATTCTGGTTTTAAGGTGAAAATTGATTGTAAGTGTTATTAGAGCCTGATTAAGGTGGATTTTGAGATGATTTTCTGACAGGATGAAGATGAAGATGAGGATGATAAAGAAGAGAGAAAGAGAGAGAGAGAGAGATGGAAAAAATCTGCTCTCTCAATTTCCATTAATATACTTTAAGAGTTTCAAATTTACATTCACTGAGATTCAATTTGCATTTAGAAACATTATCATGTCAAAACTTTTTTTTCTTCTTTTTCTTTTTCTTTTTCATCATTATCACCTTTAGAAGCATCTTCTTCATCTTCTTCATCTCTCCATCCTCATCTTCATCATTGATGATGAAGTGAGAAAAAAAATCGGCTTTAATTTGTCTGAATTTAAGGATAACGATCATTGAGTTTTTGAAACTTTTTTTTGCTTTTGAGTTTTTCTATTGGTGATTGTTGATGGTTTGGGATCAATTATTAATTGTTAATTTCTTTTCTGTTAATTGATTTACTAATTACAGGTATGGTTCAGTAATCGACGAGCTCGTTGGCGGAAACAAATGGGAAGTCAACAAATTCAAACCGGATTTGGTTCACCCTTTGGTTTACCCACAATGCACCCGAGTTATAGTTCATCATCAGCACCTTCATACTTCATACCCACCACACCATCGAGTGACCCTGTATCATATTCATCCCTTGGTTAGTAATCATTTGTAGTTAATCAACAGTAATTAACACTCATTGATAACTCAAATTGAAATTATGAAAACGTCATTGAGAAAGGATAAAACTTCAATCGACAATTTATTTATTGATTAATTGTGATAACAAAATTAAGTTTAATTTGCAAATTCACATTTTGATGACTATTAACTATTAACTAATCAGATGATAATCAACAAATTGTCACTTTTTAATTTTCTGCAAACCTAATCACAATTATAAGTTAATCCAAACTTAATTAAAAGATGATAACTTTACCTGTCATATCCGTTGGATATTCAAATGTCAGCAAATATAATAGAAAGCAATACAATGACAATTAATCGTAAATTAATTGAAAACAATTAAATTAATTGAGTTGAAAGTTGGAATAAAAATTCAACAATTCAAATTGAATTGAATTAAGAAAATTTGGAAAATTGAATCAACAGCGACATCTGTTGATACGAATTTTCAACTAGCGAATAACTTTTTGTGGATTTTTAGATTTTAATTTTATTTTCAACAATTAAATCAAAACTAATTGTTTGTTTATGTCTCTTTTTTAGGTTCAAGTCAATCAGGAACAAATTTACCAAGTAATTCAACGTGGCCCAGTTGTAGTGAATCAACTCGACAAACAACATCAGTTAATAGTCTAACAACATCAGCTGATTGTACTGGTTCATATCTATCAACCGGAAGACTACCCTTCCAAACACAGGTGAGTTAATTATCTTCATCATCATCATCAACCTACACTTGATCATTAAGGATTTGAAGATAAACAAAGTCAACAAGAAAAGGAGTTGAAATGAAATTCATTGATGAGTCGATTGTGATATCTTAGTATTAATATGTAATAGTAATAATAACGGAAGAAGAGCAGAAAGTTAGATGAAGATGAGGATAAAAATGAAGATGATGAAGATAAGGATTCACGGTTAATAAACATTACAAGTTATGGTTAAGAATTAAAATTTAAAGCGGAAATAAATAACTCCCTCACTTCCTGATATTCTTGATCCTTTAAGGATGTTACAAAGAAAAGTTAATGAAGCTTAACAATAAAGTAAAACCAATTGAAAAAGTTGACAAGAAAATCCAATGGAAAAGCAAACAATTAAAATTAATTGTCGTATTTATATATTAATTGTTTCTCTCTCTCTCTCTCAACAGTTTTCTAATCCCAACCATGTACCAACCTCATTATCAGCCGTTAGCTCAGGTTATGGAAACAACAATTTAACTCCAGTTAGTAGCAGTTACTTTCCAACTAATCATGTTTTCTGTAACAATTTAATGGACGATTACGTTGTTTCACCCGAAATTGGGTCAGTTTCTGGTTCCGTTGGTATCTAATGGTCACTTATTTAGTCCCTGGACTTGCCCTTCCCAATAATTAACTAATTGCTGGATTAATGAAATTACTATTATATTATATTATTATATTATTATTATTAAGTATAATTATTATTATTATTATTATTATTGATATAATTGACATTGAAATCACATCAAAAACAATCAACAAATTGTCATCATCAGCATCATTATCATCTTCATCATTTCCTTTTCCGTTTTTCATTTTTTTTTGTTCACCATCATCATCGTCATCATCATCATCAATTTTAATTATTATGTATTGATAATATATATTAATTATATAATAGTTAGTTAATTGCTACCAAAATCAATTTCATTCTTAAATTAAATCAACAAATCATCATTTTTTTTGCATCTTTTTCTTGCAAAACTAATGATACATATTGACAACAATTAATAAATCGTTGTGGTTTAATATTAATCCAATGTCATATTTAAATACATATAATTAATTTTGAGGCAATTAATTATTTTACAACAATCAAATGAACCAAAATAAAAAAATTAATTCACATTCAATTAACTTTGATTATCATATTTTTTTATTATTATTAATTGTCAGACAATTTTATCAATCGATTCAGATTATTTATTGTTAATTGATTGAGTCATTTTATATCTTATTGATTATAATTGATCATGGGAAAGTAAATTAATTGTAAATTATTTGATTAAACTAATTGTTATTACCATCAAAAGTTAATTTAGTTTCTAAATCAATTGAGTTTTCAAGGTTAATTATCAAGGATAATTAATTTATGTCTACTACAAGTCAATTTTTACCTGGCCACTTTGATTAACAGATTAACAATTAATCAATACTTTTAATCAACCAATTGTAGACACAACAATTAGTTTAAAATTTCAAAATTGATTAGTTAATTGTGATACTCAAAATGAGGTTAAATTATGTTTTCCATCTCAATTATTATAAAAATAATCATCTAGATATTGATCATCTTAATTAAACAATCAGTGGATTCAAATTGTTTACTTTTAATCAGTAAACAATATAATCATTTTTAATTGTCAAGTAGATTAACTAATTAAGATGAGATTTTAAACCGATTTAAACAAAAAGACAATGGACAATTAAGTTTGCGAATCAATAATAATAAAAACACAATTAACTTATCACCACCGGGAAGCAATTAACAAGTAAATGATCATGATCAAAGTGACAATTAAACCCAATAGTAAATAATAACCTCAACAATTAAGAAACCAAATGATTAATGAAAATGAAGTGAAAACCCCCCCAGACAATTAGATTAAATTGTTGCAATCAAATTGAACTTAATCGGTGAGTTTCAAATTGATTCCATAAATCAATGAACTGTAAATGAACATCTTCCCTTTTATCATCAATTTTTTTTCTCATAATTTAATCATAATCCAAATTAGAAAGAGAAAGAGACAGAGAGTGAGAGTGAGAGAGAAAAAAAATCCTTAGTAACAGAAATGAAAAAAGTTCTTTAGTTTAATTCTGTGATAACAGAGGGCGTCCCATGGAAGATGAATGAATCGTAATCGATTGTAACGATTTCAATTTCAAGGTCAACCTTGTATTTAATCTCGAGCAATACAACAACATGCTAGGAACCAGAAGAAAGAAAAAGATGAAATAGAAAGAGAGAGAGAGAGAGAAAAGCAAAAAACATTGGATGATAATCATCATCATCATCATCATCCAATGAATGATAATGAATAAGAAACCGTTACAAGTGAAAACCAAGAGACTTAAATTGTGATGATTAGTTTTTCTGTTTTGTTTTTACAATTAAAAGGGGAAGAAGTGAACAACTTTACTCTCAATTTTTGTATATTGGATTGACAACAATCAACTAATCAATTGATAATCTAATATTTTGATGATCGTGTTAATTTGATTGTGGTGTCAAAAGTTAATCAACTGTTTCTCTCCTGATGGTTAAATGATTAAGGTACAATAAGGAAACGTTAATAATCTGAAGCTGTGGGTAAGTAAATCAAATTAAATCTATCGTGATAAAAGAAAGAGGAAAAAGAAAGATAAATTTTCGAGATGATAAGTAGAGAGAGAGAGAGAGAGAGAGAGAGATGAAGATAGAGAGATAATGAGAGAGAGAGAGAGAGAGAGTGAGGGAGCTCTCGAGTGAGAGTGAAAAAGTGTATATAAAGTAGACGATAATCCGAATAATTTTTTTCCATTCAACTCTTTTTTTCTAATTTTTATCATCTCTCTCTCTCTCTCTCTCTCTCTCTCTCTCTTTCTCCCTCTTTCTATCTCTCTTTCTTTTAATATCATCCTCATCATCTTCCTAAGAGATTGTGACAAAAAAACTCAATCATTGACACTAAACTCACAACAAAATTTGATTGTAAAGTAACAAGCAAAATTTAACCAAAACTTAATTGTGACAATCAACAAACTGATTTCCCTTTGTATTGATTTAAATAGCATTTCAGTTAATTGTTTCATTGTTTTTGTTTTATCATTATTATTTCAACTTTTTAGTGTGATAATCAATCATTAGTCTACATTAATTGGTGATCAATTAATCAACCCAATCGCCATAACCATTATCATAAGTTTCGTATTGGTAAATTATCAACATCGCATCCTCATCACACCGAAACAATCATGATTAATTGTAACAATCAAACTAATAACAATACCAATAGGAATCAAGTTCATGGCCGATTAACGGATCACATTAAAAGCCTGTTAACTCACCGATATCTTGTTATATTAGCATCTTTTTTAACCAATGGGATTATCTTTGGGGTGATTAATTCATTTGGTGTTCTTTATGTTTATCTTCATAAAAGTTTTGAAGGTGAAACCAAAGATGCTGCTTTACAAACATGTAAGTTAATTGTTAACCAACAATTAGAATGACAATTTAATTAATAATCAATACACTTGACGATAACTTAAAACTCCCAGTCAATGAAATTATACTTTGAATCGATTTCATCTTGAATCGATTATAATAATTATCATCATGATCATCATTCATTTAGCTGATTGGTTTATAACAACAGTTAAATAATGTTATATGATCACTAATTGTTGTTGTTATAAACCAGGTTAATCCTTTTCCCTTTAATCTCATCTTAATCCTCAATATCATCTTACCCTTGGATAATGATGATGATGATGAAAGTCAAGGATTTATCATCATCATCATCATAATTTACTGTTGCCCTCTCAAGGCTTTAATTATCATTGAACAAAGTGAATTTAGTAAGCCAAGAAAAAATTGTTTCCAAGACGTTTACCTAACAATTAACTTAATTGCTGGAGTTTTTTTCTTCTTCTTCTTCATAACATTGAATTGTATCAATGAGAAACCCACTGATTTTTAATTTGGGTTAACTAATTAACATTGAAGTAATGATAGAAAGTCAATCATGATGCCAATTAACACAATTAATTGAAATTGAAATTTAATGTTATTGATTTTGCAAGAAATAAAATATTAAATTGTGATGATGATGATGATAAATGATGAGGATAAACTTTCATCTTCCTCCTTCAAGGATTTTATCATCATTGTAATACTTTAAGGCTAATGAATATTTATCAATTAATTGTGACTGTAAATTGAATTGATTCAAATGACAATTAGCTCAATTGATTGTCTATTAATAAACAAGGTGTAACAATAACTTTTTCTTGGACGATTATTATTCAATAATCATCATGTACTTGAATTAGTGAAAATTTCCTGAGTATAATCAGGGAGAATCTCAACTCTCTCTCTCTCTCTCCTTGCGAAATGATGATAATCTTGAATTGTCATCATGATAATCTGTTCGTGAGGATGAATAATTGAGAACAATTCAATTCTTTAACATTGAGATTGGATGAAGAATGATAGAGATGACAAGGGAATACGTCAATGATGATTAAAACGGGGAAATGTCTTTTTTACTTTGATTTTTTCATCATCATCATTATCATTATTATCATCATCCATTTTTCCTCATCAATATCATCTAAAAATATCCAATAGTTCATTGGCAAAAAATAGTTATAATTGTGATGAGATTTTTTCCTCAACAACTAAAGGATTAAATGAGATAAAGGTTATTGAATTGGTTGTTACAATTTATAAATCAATTAACTGGATGATGATCATTCTCGAGGTGATGAGGGTTAAGGTTTATATCATTGAAATTATTAAATGTTCATTTTTCAAGTAAATTATGTTGTTGGTGATGATGGAGATAAGGATGAGGATGAGGATGAAGATGATGAAGATGCTACTGTTGCTTAGGGTGGGAGGAAATGTCTCCTTAACAACAAGACTCTGACCTCTTCATCTTCTTGTCCTTGCTGATGATTAAATGTATCTTCCTATTTGGATTTGATCCATAAAAATCAAAGAGAGAGAGAGAGAGAGAGAGAGATGATGATGATGATGATGATGATGAGGATGATCAAATTTTAGACAGAGCATCTCATCATTTTCATTTGTATCCGCATTCACCAATCATAATCTGTGGAGTGAAAGATGCGATGAAAATTAAGATTATGCAGTTAGTTAATTTAGTTGTCAACAATTAATTTACAATAACCAATCGTTGCCATTGACAATATTATGAGAGTAATTAATTACAATCAATTTAAACATCTATCATTGGATTGCAATTTAAATTTGTAACCAAATTTATATACAAAGTTGGGGAAAAAAGTAAAAAAGTATCAACAAAATCAACAAATTGTTGAATTGCAATTTCTCAATTGTTTGATCATTGCAACAATTACCTGGCAATTAACCAATTGTTACAACTTTGCATACTTTTAAGTCCCATAGGGTTGAAATGAAGATGATGACGATGGCGATAAACAATGAGACTCATCTGCAAAAAGTTAAAGTTAATTTGGTTAATTCTTGTTTACAACAATTAATTAACAGCGATTTATTTACAACTTCAACTGTTGTTGTTTAAATAATTTCAATTAATCACAAGCCATGATCACGACATTAGCTTCATGATGATCCTAAAAATAAATATCAAATGTTTACAATTAGAAGAAAATTTTCCCAAAATTAAATCAATGTTGAAGCGATTAATTAGTTTTAAATTGTTACCCAGTTAATTGCTATTACATTGTGAATATGTGATAGTAAATAAATAGATAAATAAATTTTAATTGTAAATGAAACTAATTGTTATTACATCAAAATATGATCTAATTAATGTTGTTTGATTGCGATTTAAATTGTGTTTGCATCTCTCATGATAATATTTTTGCTCATTTTTTTTTTAATCACCAACAATCAACTAAATTAACTTTGATTGTCTTCCTATTGTTACCTGATTGGAGGAATTGGCGATAAATTTGTTAAAATTAACCTTGAAATGTCAATCAAATTAGTATATTAATAAACTAAATCATTCCCTGAGTATCACATTTAATCACATTAAATCAATCAGATTGTGATCCCTTTTAAATGATGATTAGTAAATTAAATTTGATATCAAGTGTAAATTATTGTAACCTTGGTCATCTTCATTTACTTCTGGGTTGATTATTTTGTTGATTCTAATCAGTTAATTGTCAATAAATTCAAAACTAAACAACAACAACAACAATCGATACCATGTGATTGTTTAAATTGTTGATTGTTAACAATTAAAAAGCGATACAATTGACGTAATGATAAATGATAGTGAATGAGAAAATGAACAATTCACAATGATAATATTCTTGATTCAAAGTTAATTGTTGATCAATGAATTTAGGATAACTGAGGCTCTCGAACTCTCGTTGATCTGTCATCTAAATTAGTTCACTTTTCGAGTTCTAATTGTTTTGCTTTTTTCTCTCTCTCTCTCTCCGAAATTTTGATCTACAGCTTTGGTTGGATCCATTTTGATAGGAACCACTTTTGCATGTTCGGCATTATCGTCCATTATCACGGATAAATGCGGAATCCGAGCGACCTCATTCATCGGCGGTCTTATTGCCGCCGTCGGGATGTTTGCCTCGTCCTTTTCCACTTCCATCTATCAACTGTATCTAACTTATGGTGTCCTTGTTGGATTCGGGGTCTCCCTTTGCTATGCACCTTCACTGGTTATTCTAGGTCACTATTTTACCGAAAATCTTGGCCTGGTCAATGGAATTGTCACCGCAGGTTCCTCAGTGTTCACCATGATTCTACCTATTTGTCTACAACAGCTTCTCAATAGATTCTCATTATATTTTGCTCTTCGTTTGCTTAGTCTTCTAATCTCTGTATTGATGATTTGTGCTCTCACCTTTAAAGAGAAACATGAATACATCAATTCTTCAAATAATAGATACAAAATTAATAATTCTAATATGAATAATTCTGCTTATGATTCGGAACAATATCCAATCACCACCAATAATCATCATCATCATAATAATAATAATCTCACTTCTCATCATTCAACATCTTCCTCATCATCTAATCATCATTCATATTCACAAGTAACAACAACTTGTTCAGATTCATCTTCATCTTATACTAATAATAAGAATAATAATAAGAATAATCGTCAACGAAATTTGATTAACTATACAATTTGGAAGAATCCATTGTACTTACTCTGGGTTATCTCAGTTCCAACGGCACTTTTTGGTTACTTTGTCCCTCATTTTCATTTGGTGAAACACGCTTCCGACATTCTACCAGGATCAAATAATGAACTTCTTGTTACCTGTATTGGTGCAACTTCCGGAATCGGTCGATTGGTTTTCGGACAAATCTCTGATATACAATCAGTTAATCCGATTGTACTTCAACAAATTGCTCTTCTAGCCTTGGGCGCATCGACGATGCTATTCACGGTTGCCAAAAGTTACGTTCTTTTACTCATTCTTTGTGCCATTTTTGGCCTTTTCGATGGTTGTTTTGTCTCCCTAATGGGTCCAGTCGCTTATTATCTGGTAGGTAAAGAAGGAGCATCACAAGCAATCGGATTCGTCCTTGGTCTCAGTTCGATACCTTTCATGGTTGGTCCTCCATTGGCAGGTAAGACAAATCATAACAATAGAAAATTAATAACATGGAAACAATTGAATCATTAAATTACTCCAACAAAAAATCAAGTGTAAAAGACCAACAATTTAACAGATAGAAAATCAAACAACAACAACAACAACAACAACATAACGAAAACGATAGAAACAGTTATCAATTGAGTAACGATTTTCTACTGAGTCGCCATCTTAATATTATCGAAATAACTGAATAATCTTCCCTCCTAATTGTCATAACCATTGAGAGAATTAAATTTACTAATTATTTCTCCATTTATTGTATAAAATAATTGACTTAATTGTTGATTATCTTAAATATCTCCCTGACGGGTTAACATTTAATTGCCTCTTACACCATAACAAGTGTATTAGTAGCCAAGGAAAAATACCCGTAACATTTCAAGTGTTTTTACCGTTAATTTCTTTGTATTTAATTTGATCAGTTTGATCGTTGATCACTGATCAATAATCATCATCATCATCACTCTGTCAATGTGATGATGATCACAATTATTTTATATAATTCTTAAAGGTAGCTAACAATGTAAGGCCTCTTATCGTAATTGTGATTGTAACAATTGTACAATTTGAACAACTCGTTCTTCAATTAGATAAAACTAATATCCATTTTTTTTTCTCACAATTAATTAATCCGACAATCAATATATTGGATAAGTATATTGTTGAAGAGAAGATGAAAAAATTGATCAATCATTAAGAGGATTAAGATTGATTATTAGTAAGGAAAGTGAAAGCTTCTCAAGTTATACAAGGTAAATATGAGAAAATCTAATCTCTCTCTGTGTATGTAACTAATAATATCCAAGAATAAGATTAAATTAACCTACAAAAACAATCAGTTAAACCATTTTGAGCACTTTGATTAAAAGTTAATTTAGTTAATCTTCAATATTATGCTTTCTTATCTTGATCACTTTCGATCTCTGTTTCTTATTGCTAATCAGGATCCTCGAAACAATTAACTTTATCCTATCCTCGAGATACTCTGGTTGTTATAATTTTTGTATATTAATTAAAATCTCTCCTCAATTTGGTCTAATTTGATATTAAGAGTGTTGAGAGTTAACAATTAAAATCCCAATTCTAATCCCAATTAGACAATTAATGAAAATCCCATTGCAAACAATTAACTCTTTTGATATTATATTGAGGATTAACTTATGTATATATTAGTATACAAGAGTGTCAAGTCTTGATGATTAACTAATTGTGATCATTTGAGACAATTAAAACGATAAGTTGATAATTTACTCAACAATCAGCTGATTGTTTGGTTGATTTTAAATTTCCTGTTCCTCTTGTTGTTGTTGTTGTTACTCTAGACTTACATTAATGGGCCAACAATTAATCATTAATTGTCATCGACTCTCAATTGATTAATCACTTGTAACAATTAAGTGAAACCCAATCAACTTAACACATTAATTTTATATTTATATCAAATTAATTAAGTGTTTGATTTGGTTGTTACAATAAACTAAACGAAACAGGTTAAAATTATTACGATTAAATTAAATTGCTACACTCGACAAACAAACAATTAAATACCAATTGAGGTTCAATCAATATAAATACACACAAACACACACAATTAAATGGTAAACAATTAACAATCAATGATTAAGTTAATTTTTTTTCTGTCGAGACGATTGATTTAATTGTCTTTTCATTTTCCTCCGGTAATAAGTGACAATTAAAAGTGAGAATAAAAATAAAAATAGATTATCCAGTTAATTACATAACAATTAACAGGTTATATAATTGATTAAGACTCTGATTATCATGATTTAGATGCAATTAATTGTAAGTGTATACCATCAATAAGTTAATTGTTATTATAATGAAATGTTTGTTATTTACCTTAATCATTATTTACCAATATCGTTGTTATATTTACAGATTTTGATTGTTTGCTTAATTGTGACAATTTATTTTTTTAATCATTGTAGGAGGTTAGATTAATATTGTTGATTGATTTAATTACAAAGGCCTTAAGGCCTTAAACACAATTATAATCATCACACTTAAGTGTCTCTCTCTCTCACTCAAACAATTAACTAATCATTTAGATTGAAATAATTGATAACAATTTATTTAATTATAAAGTGTATTGATTATAACCTTTGACCGTCTTGATCACAATCAAGTTTAATCAACTTTTCAACAATTTATATATATATATTTATTAAATTGTTGGTTGGTACAAATTGAAATTAAAACTAATTCAATTGTAATTGTTGACTAATTAACTTGTTATCTCATTAATCTTGATTTAATTGGATTAATATTGATTGATTAACAGTGTTAACAGTTAACTCCTTGATTAGTTAATTCAATTTTGCTTAATTTACAGAAAATGAACAATTATCATGATTAACATGATTGTTTCTCACTTAATTAATTAATCAAAAAGTTGTGTGATTTGATTGATTAACAATCAATTTCTTGACTTAAGTTGTGTGTGAAGATTTAACCACTTAATTGTTAATCATAATTGTTACAAATACTCTTGATTCAATTAACAAGGAAAAAAACTAGATCGTGTGAATATAATCAGTATCAATATGATTAAGTTAATTGTGATGATTTAGTTAATCATCACGAGAATCATTTCCAATGGGGAAAAAAAAGTTTCGTTAGTAAACTTTTTTTGTTATTAATTCGTAACTTTTATTTTGATTTGTGAAAAGTTTTAGACCTTGATTCCAATCAAATTAAATTAAATTGTTGTGGTTAATTAAATCACTCTGTTTACGTAAATTAACACAATCAACAAAAAAAAACTTTTGATACAATCAAACAACAATCAGCAAATTGGTACAAAAAAAAGTCATTTTGATGAACATGCAACAGTCACAAGCTTTTTAATCAAACCATTGATTATCTTGATTAATGTGTTAACAATTAAGTTAATTACGCACTAAATTAAAGATAATTATTAATTTATGATAAGGAAAAAAAAGTCCAATGTTAATTGTAATCAATTATCTTAATCAAATTGGTCGACAACCAATTAAAACTAAAAGTATATTTGATCACCTTGATAACGGATTTAATTGTTACTCTTGTTTTTTTTTGGCTAATTAACTAATTGTAAATGATTTATTTGATTTCTAATTGTCAATCTTGTTAATTACTTTCAGGTTACTTGTATGATTTAAATGGTGATTACTTTTATGCTTTCTTAATTGCTGGTTTACCTCCATTCATTGGAGCCTTAATTATGATTCCAATAATTGTTATTCAACGAAATCGATCATCACAATTAAATCAATCACTAATTGTCAATCCAAGTAATCAAAGCAGAAATCTAATGGACCAACAATCAGTGGCCAATGGTGATTGTTCAAAATCAATTCAAGTTGATCAACTAACCGAAAGCTTAATTGGTGATAATTTAAAATCACAATCACAATCAACTAATCATTCTCACAATAATCACCATCATCACCTTAATCATCATCATCTTAATCACAATCAAAATAATTCTCACTCATCTTCATCTCACCTTTCAGATCATCTTCTTAATCAATCACTTAATTTTAATTATAACAAATCAATTCAATCACCAAATCAATGGATTAACAATGAGATTGCTGATGATTTAACTAATAATTTAACTAATTGTCCTGAGAGTGTTTCACTTCTCGCTAAATCAACTAATCAACCGACTGTGATTACGAGTGAAAATAATGATAATTGTTAAGCAACAAATCAATGATTTAATCATAATTAAAGTAAATTCAATTGTGTTTAAAGAAGCAAGAAAACAAAATTATAAATTTGTTGATTAAGAGTAAATTGTTAAGTTAATTATTAACTATTATATCCTAATTGTGCCGCAATTATGGTGACAATCATCAAGAGAAACAATAAATTAATTGTACGGCTTAATTGTTAAAACAATTAAATAGATTGTTAGATTTTTAATTCAATTGCTTTTCAAACAAAACTTTTTCATTTCCCATCAACCTCATCAATCAATTACAATTACTCTTAATCAGCTTAATCAGTCTTCTTGATTGTAACAATTTAACCACCATCAAATCCTAAATTATTACAATCCTTTTGTGCCCTTCAAAACTAACACAATTAACTAAATCACAATCAACCTTTTTTTTCATGCTGCTTCTAATCAAAATTTTCAATCATTTTCATTTATAATTATTATTTAACTAATTGTAATTTGTTTAAGAAATTCAATGATTCAATTATTGGGATTATTTTTTTTGATAGTAAAACAATTAAACAAAATAAATAAAATAGTTTTCAAATTGATTCAATTATAACAAATTTGTTCAATAATGATTGCTAATTGTTTCACTTTTATCGGGTAAAAATTAAAAGAGCATCAGAAATTAGCAATCAAATAAACTTAATTGTCTTACAAGAGATTGAGAGTGTAAGGGATAAATTAATTCGTTTTTATGAAAACCACAATTAGTTAATTGTTGATTAAAAAAAAAGATACACTGAACAAAAGAGTCGGAAAGGTCAACATGGAAACTCAACAGAAACAAATCAGATTGGAAGATAAACTAATTTAATCAATGTAAATTTATCCTTCTTCATCCATATTAATTAGTGATTAATGAACATTTTAATTGTAGGGAGAGAGAGAGAGAGAGAGAGGGAGGGAGAAGGAAACATGAAGAATGGCGGAAATTGGATAATTCAAAATACTAAGATAATGAGGAGAATAGAAAAGGTCAAAAGTATATTGTAAACTAATCTCATCTTCCAATGAGATAATCTCATTGAATTTCCATGAGATTTTGTATAAAAAAAGTAAAGATGATGTGAATCGTGATGGTGATGATGATGATTGATTGTGATGAGACAATCTGGTGGGACGCTCGAAAATGACCTATTCTGGTCATTGTTTTTCGTATCGAAGACACAAACCAAATTGAACGATTAAGCACAAGAAGTGAAAGAGAGAGAGAGAGAGGGTTTGGAAAGGGATCATTGATTTGCGACATTATCATTGAAGAAAAAAACAATTGAGTGATTCATCTTAATCCAGTCGATCGATTCCTTCATTTTTTTCATATTGAAATGAGTCTCACTGGATGCTTAATGTGTGTGAATTGTGTGTGATTAGCGATTGGATTGCTAATTGTTTGTTCGCGTGTGTTTATATGTATGAATGGGAAGGTATTGGTGATGATGATGCGTATTAATATTTTTTTTTTGTTGTTTTCTGTTATTGTTTTGTCCATTGAAACTGCATATTTGTATAATATTTAAGATGGAGATTGAGATTTATTAAAATAGCCCAAGTGAGTATTCATTTTAACTCTAACGATCTCCGTGTTTCTGATTTAGATTCATTGGATGATGACTCCTTGGTAGCAGGGGTTCCATTGTCAGTGGCTGTGTCTCCAGCGCTTGCTTGATCCATTGGTGTCTCTTTGACCGCTTCTTTACTTGATTCTTGGTCTTTAACTGATTCCGAAGATTGTGAATTTGTATTCATTACAACATCTTTCTCAATCTCTCCTTCAGTCTTTGCTTCTTCTGGAATTTCATCAGTTTTTTTATCCTCCGGCCTTTTATTAACCGTTTCACCATCAACCTTTGCTCTTTTAGGCTTACTGGGTTTATGGGTTCGAATATCTCGACGACCGTCACCTTCATCTTCAGAGTCAGAAAATTCCTCATCTTTGGCGATTCGCTTTTCGGAAGCACGAATGCTAATCCTTTCATCTGGATCTTGTTTATCTTCATCTTCACTATCTTCATTAAGTGCATCCTCGGGTATGACAGTTTGTTGAATACCAGGCGCATGGGGTAACATACGAAGATTCTCATAAAGCCGAGTTCTAATAGGAAACAGGAAAATAATAGACATTTAATCAATAATTATTGCTTTCGATGGAATTAGATTAAATTTAACTATTTCAACTTACTTGATTTTTTCAAGATATTCAGGTGAATTTTGATTAGCCATATTAGATGGACTAATGTGTAATTTAAAATCAGGTCCGAAATATTCAAAGTAGTCATTATATGGGAGCTCTAGGAGAGGTGAGAAGAGAAAGAAACAATTGTCAAAAGAATATCAAAAATGATTAGGAAATTTGAGTCTCACCATTGGGTATTTCACAATTAAGAGCAACGGCAGTCTCATGAGTCCAACATCGAGCAACATTACGAATTGTGTAACCTCCTCCACCGACTAAAAGTAATGGTAAATTGTACTTTTTAACAAATTCGACACATTTACCATGTCCCTTAAGGGTTAAATTGAAACAACCCAATCGATCTCCTGACAAAGAGTCAGCACCACATTGTAAAACAACCGCACTTGGTTGATACATTTCCATTACCTGATGAATGAGAAAAACAATTTTTCATCAATTTATTGAACATTTATTATCCAATCATTAGATTGGTTCAATTTTGAAGGGGAAAAAAACTTACTTTTGAAATGAGAGGCTGGAAGATACTTTCATAGGCTTCATCGTCAATACCATCACGAAGAGGGAAATTGACAGCATAATATTTACCCTTACCAGCACCAATATCTCTGAGATCACCAGTACCAGGGAAATATTCACCATACTTATGGAATGAGGCGGTCATCACTCTATCAGTGGTATAAAATGCTTCTTCAACTCCATCACCGTGATGAATATCAATATCAATGTATAAAACTCGCTGATGATACTTGAGTAATTCAAGAATAGCAAGAACGATGTCATTAACATAACAAAATCCAGAGGCTTCTGATTTTTTTGCATGATGCAGACCACCAGACCAATTAACTGCAATATCTGCGGCTTGTTTGTTGAGTTTAACCGCTCCAGCGACTGAACCTCCAGTTGATAGTTGACAAAATTCATATAATCCATCAAATACTGGACAATCTTCACCAACATTGACTATAAAAAATATGGTAAAAATGGAGGAAAATTTGTTCCAGAGGGAAAATTAAATTCAATACAACTGAGCCTAGAAAATTTTGCCTTTTTGCTCACAGGACATTGTAAAGACAAAAAAAATAAGCTACGTTTTTACGAGTAGATTTGGAATCAAATTTAGCTTACATCTTTGCATTTGCTTATTGTACTCGCTCATATTGTCAGGTCTGATGCTCCTTAAAAAGCGAATGTAATCATCACTATGATATTTAGTCATTTCTTCCTGTGTAGCTTTATGGGGTCGCTGTAAAAGAGATTGAGAAAAAAAATGAAATACAAATTTAATGTATTTGGAAAACAATTGAAATATCCAAAGGGTAAAAGTGGAAAGACAAATCAAAGAGACACATACATAGATTTCCATTTTACGATATAATCCATAGTTAAGAACTAAATTGTGAGCCATTCGAATTCGGTGTGGCTTCATTGGATGACCTTGGCCATAATAATAATTTCCAATATCACCTAAGATGGAGTAGAAAGAAAATTAAATTTGTATGATTAAATGAAGTAGACAAAAAACACACAACCGGCATTGGAATATTGAGAGATAGAGAACAAGGCAACATAGAAAATCAGTATGAAATCTAAGAGATATTACACCAAACCGATAGACTACAATGTAGAATCAAATTGAATCAAGGAAAGGGTGTAATGTCATAGAGAAGAAAATAAAGACCAAAAGAAGAGTCAATAGAAATAAAGATGGAAGTTAAAAGAAAGACCATAAAAGAAAGAGAAAGAAAGACCGAGAAAGAGAAAAAGATAAAGAAAATGAAGAGAAAAAAATTCACAAGCAACAAAAGAGAAAACCAACTTACCATCATAATAGTAACAGACACGCTTTTTACTGTGCTGAGTAGTTGCCATTCTTAAAGGAAAACGTTGACTCGATAAATGAAATACAAATTAAAATTCAATTTAAGTTAATCAATGAGAGTAATTAAAGAGACAATTAAATATAAATTATTGGTCAGTGAAAAAAAGCAAACAACAAATTCAAATGGAGGCAAAGAGTAGAGAGAAAGAGACAGCACATAACAGAAAAACTATCAGGCAACATTTTTTTTGGTGTCGCGAGGTAGAGCCACTAGTAGATTTGAAAAGAAAGAGAGAAAAGAAAGAGAAACATAGTAACTCAATGCAGAACTCAAATCTAATTGTTTTTAATGATTTTAACAATTTTTATAAATTAATTAAGTTTTTTTAAAATCGAATCGTCGAATATTGTTAGACCAATCACACAAGTTCAATGCCCATCGACTATTTCTTTATAAACCTAACCTAAGGGTAAAGTTGGGTCACTTCTCTTACGACTCTTGAGTTTAACTTTATCCTTAGGTCATACATTGTACCCTTAACAATAAACCACTTTTCCCATTTACAACCCCATTGAGTTCTCGTTGGGTTAGTTTACCCTTCAACCTTTATTTTTACGATCGGTAACAATAATCAGCCCGAAAGTCGGTAAGATGAGCGTTAATGGTTGGAGGTGGAGCCAGTGGTTATTCAACACACTTATCGATGGTGTCCATTAGTTCAAAGTGTTGAAATTAAGCTGAATTTTGGATTAATTGTGCGCCCGTTTGATTGTCCCAGGCCCTCCGGGCCTTCCTCTGTCGATTTTGACCCTTTTAATGAAGACCTAACCTAACCTAATTTAAACAAACACAGGGATAAGTGTGTTGGATAGCTATTAGCTCCACCTCCAACCATTAACGCTCATCTTACCCGAAAGTCTTAAACGCACTTTTCTAGGAAATATCTGTTTCGTTTATGATTTAATTCAACTTAATCGAATTAATTAGGGAATTCTTAAACAAATCTTATAAATCAGACCTTTAAGATCACTTCAAATCAGAGCTAATATGTTCCGTTCAATTGATATATTATCTCAGTATAAATGTAGTGTATACTTAAGAATAAACAAAAGTAAATAAAACCACACATAACTTATGAAATTCGAGAAATCGCCTATTGTAGAACTTATTAAGACTCAATTAATTTATAAAAATTGTTAAAATCATTAAAAACAATTAGATTTGAGTTCTGCATTGAGTTTACTATGTTTCTCTTTCTTTTCTCTCTTTCTTTTCAAATCTACTAGTGGCTCCACCTCGCGACACCAAAAAAAATGTTGCCTGATAGTTTTGCCTTCCTGTGCTCTCTCTTGGTTTTTACTCTTTGAATGGAGGCGAAGTTAAAATAAAGAGATCGGGAAAATAGAATAAGCTAAACTTCGAGCAAATAATCGGATCGCTATTCTCACAGCAATTTCCAAATTTTTTCTCTCAACTTTATTATCAGAAATTATCAGAAAGATTAATTTTTCTAAACAATTAACGAGCCAATCAACTAATCACATGTTTAAGAGCTAATTTGTCTATGCGATTGATTATTATGACCAATTTATCTCTTGGGAGATTTCAGTCCATTTCAGATAAGAAATTAATCTCAATTGAATCGGTGAGTTAATTTAGTTGATCGAATCATAGAAAATTTTCTTGATCGTGATTCGATAGGAATTTTTATTATCCAACGATTCGCAATTATCGGCATTTCTATTTTGGCTACTCGATTAATTTACTGGTCAACTTGTTCTTCGTCTAATTAGCGATCATTCGAATTTGATTAACTTTTATTTCTTTCGATTTTGTTTTCTAAGTTCGTAAAAATTTTCTCTAATCTTTTTTTCTTGACCCGAATGTCTGAAAATCATTGTGTGTTAATTGTTGATTATCGAGTTTAATGGACAAATTAACTAATATAAATATAGTAAATTGACTTAGTGAAAATAGGTTAAGTGCATAAGTTACAATAGCATTGAAACTTTCAGAGAACATGATAAACTTGGATAATTGGGGAGAGAGAAAAACGAAAGATTGACAATTAAATTAACTCAATTTAAATGTGAAAAAAAATAGAAATTAAAAGATTAAAGTTTGTAAGGTGTAATTGATAAGTAAAAACACTCGAATTGACATGAATCTAGAGCTTTTTTTATGAAATAACCAGGAGATTTGATAGATTAAATCTCAGCTATTCTTTGATATACAATGAGAGAGAGAGAGAGAGATAATTAACAAAAATATTTCAAAACATATTCTTGATTTGACAAAACAAAAATTTCTTTTTGTATAATAATTAGTTGAATTGGTTTTGAATTTTTCCTTTTCTCTTCAAATTTCAACCATATTCAATATCTTCATGAAAATTCATTTGGTAACTTTAATCGAAGAGGGTATTGAGGTGGTAAATGTGGGTGTCTCAAGTTCCTCATGTTTCTTCATTTTGGTTCCTTGTTGAAGTTTATAGTGATTGATAATATCTTGATCAAATGGACAGGATTGGGTGAAAGCGTCAAGAAGATACATATTGTACATGTATCTCCATAGAGCGGAAAACTCTTCGGGAATTTCAAATTCACAGAAATATTTTCCAGCTACTCTGATATGCTGTAATCGAGGCATCAATTCACAATCAAAACAGCACATAGTGTCACCAGTTAAGAACCTTGATCCGCGTTTATCCAAATGTTCATTGATGTTTCTAAGTTGGCTCATCAAGGATCTTTTAGAGATTTCATCTTTCCTGGCAAACATCAGTTTGAATTTCTATTAATAAAAAGTATACACACAAAAAAAAAGAAGGAAAGAAAGAGAGCAGAGAGATGAGTAAGGATGATGATTGGAAAAAAAAGTAAATTAGTTAAAGGTTGATTAGAGTGTGTGACAATGAATTAACTTAATTAAACATGAAGAAAAAAGTATGTGTGTGTGTGTATTGTAGGTGAGAAGCAAAAAAAAAATGTCTATTACGCTTACACTGTATAAATTCTCGATGACAGTTGCTGTTTCTTTGTCAGAGATAAATAGATTGTGACCTCCAGGAATATTTTTCATTATGTATCTTTCAATTTTCTCATTCTCAAGAATAGCTAAATCTCCATCAACAAGTATTGGTGGTGGTGTTGAATCATATTTGGAACGAAAATCTGGCGGCGGTTTTAACATGTCCACAGTTGTAACCTGAAGAGAGAAAGAGGGAAAAGGGAGTAAGAGAGAGAGAGAGAGAGAGAGAAAGAAAGAAACGAAAAATTAATAAGTTACCACTCGATTAATAAGTGTTTACGGAAGTAGTTTTATCAACAAGCCAAATATGAGTAAGTTTCAACAACTAAATGGAAGAAGAAAAAAAGAAATACAATCTCTGCTCTTGAACACGATTAGTCACGGAAGAAATGGCAATAAAATTAATCAAAAAGAGCTAAATCATGATAGTTATCGTTATCGACAAACACCACCACAAAAGCAGCACATCAATTGCAATTTCTAACAAAACCACAAAAAAACACAAAATCAAAACCAAACATCCGATTTTTTTTGACACAATTTTAAATGTAAACCATAAAAACTAATCAATAACCTGAAATATATAATAATTAAAACTGGGTAGAGGCTGAAAAATTTATTAAAACCATGTAAACTTACCTTTAATGAGATAGTCTTCAACTCGGCCAATAGATAAAGATCCATGAAATATTCATGGCAAAATAAACAGGCTCCTTTACGACGACCATCAATAGTTGAAGCCTGAGAGAGAAAATAAAAGTGATAACAATCAATTAGATTTTGATAATTGTTTCAATGTATCGGCGCTAAGTTAGGCACAATATAAGCCCACATGCTTCCTACTAAGAAATCATCTTATTCTTGTCTCCATCAGGTGTCCACAAGAGTACAATTAATTACTCAGGGGGTGTTTTAAGGAGACAAAAGGTAGACACAAAAAGTTGTTCTTTTCTCTTTCTCTCTCTCTCTCTCTCTCTCTTTCCAGGTAAATAATTAAAAGAATGGAAAATATTTACTTAAAGAAAAGATGGTTGAGAGAAAAGATCAAGTCTTTGTGCACTAAAGGAGATAAGCATGGCTTTTGAGAGAAATTGAGGAAAAGGAAACAAAGATTTTCTTCTTACCTTGATGATAAGCTCTATTTCCGGAATTTGATCTTCCATTTCCGCCATAGTTAATTTGACATCAATTAGTTACAAGAACTGTTATTTTTTTTTATATAGATTAACACTTTTGTTTGACAAAATTAATTGAAAGTTATTGTGTGTTGATGAGAAACTTAAATGATAATTTTGTGTCAGCTTTGAGTGGAAACAAAAACCATTAAATGGTTACTCGTTTCAACGATAATCAGCTCCATCTAGTGTTAACATTTACAACACTTTATATATTTAATTTCATCAATTTAAAAATCAATTGTTAAGGTTGAAAAGGTTGGGTGATTTAATGGTTTAAATGAATAAAATTTCCACCATATTTTCACCTTTTCAGTTTATCAAATAGTGATAGCGAATCCAATTCGATCCGTTTCAATGATCAACCATATCAAAGTCAAAGAATTTGGGAAAATGATCTTTGAATAGATATTGTTTTCCATCAAAAATCTAAATGAACAATATGAGAATTGTTTCAAGTGACCAAACATAATCGTAGACCAAATCAATTGGATCAAATATTCTGTTGATAAAATATAAAATAAGGTTAGGAAACTAAATGTATCAAAATTGCGGCGCTGCATGAATGTTATCAATTCGTGCACTCATTTATGTGACATTACTCTAGTCTCACTCAGGACTCCACATGAACATGAGCGTCCAAAATGTGGGGCTTTTAAAAAGACCATTGAAGCAATTTTCATGCCAACGAATAGATTGTAAAGTAAATCAAGTATATTTACCTTTAAGGTAAGTTGGAAAATGGGTTAACTTTGATGGAGGATTAAGATAACCATGGATCTTAGCTCACCATCTGCATTTGGAAACCTATGAGAAAATAAAAGTACCGATTAGATCAGTAAGAGACAATTGTTTCAATGTATCGGCGCTAAGTTAGGCACAATATAAGCCCACTTGCTTCCTACTAAGAAATCATCTTATTCTTGTCTCCATCAGGTGTCCACAAGAGTACAATTAATTACTCAGGGGGTGTTTTAAGGAGACAAAATTTTAAAACAAACAGAAGGGAATATAGTTAATTTACCTTATTAAATATCAACATCAACGTATGAAGCTCGCTATTTGAGTAATTCAAGAATAACTAAAACGATGTCTTTAACATGAAAAAATCCAGAAGCTTTTGATTTATTTGCATGATGCAGACCACATGGCCAATTAACCAGTCCAACGACTGAATCTCCAGTTGACAAAATTCATTCAAGCCATCAAATACTAGAAAATCTTCACCAAAAACAGATAAGCCATTTATCATGTCATTTTTTATCGTGTAGCTTCAAGTAGCCGCTAGAAAAGAGAAAAGAGAATAGAAAAATTGTATTATTTGGAACAACCGGCATTGGAAGATAGAGAGATCGACACACAAAGGAACATAGAAAATAAGAATGAAATCTAAGAGATAATACACCAAAAGAAGAGTCTATAGACATAAAAATGGAAGTTAAAATAATGAGAAAGAAAGATTGAGAAAGAGAAAAAGATAAAGAAATTGAAGAGAAAAAAATTCACAAGCAACAAAAGAGAAAACCAACTTACCATCATAATAGTAACAGACACGCTTTTTACTGTGTTGAGTAGTTGCCATTCTTAAATAAAAACGTTGACTCGATGAATGAATTACAAATTGAAATTCAGTCAATCAATGAGAGTAATCAAAAAGACAATTAAATAACAATCGATGAGTGAATAAACCAAACATAAGGTGATACAGAGATATGAAAATGATCAAGTTGAAAAAGATTTAACTTAATTGTCCAGTAATACCACGTTTTCCTTTGATGATTTGAGGATCAACCAGGAACAAGTGAGTCGATAAGTGAACACATTTTCAAAAGGAAACTGTTTTTAAAGGAAAATCCATCACAAAAACGGAAATTAGAAAGAGAAACCAATCTAAACATCGAGCAGAAAATTAAACTCTCCCTATTCTCAGAGCAGTCAAATTCTCAATTAGAAAATGAAACAAAAAAGAAAAGAAGAAAAACACCAAACATGCAACAAATTCCACACAGAAACTCATAAAGAACACAGAATTAAATTTCCCAAGATTAATTAATCATCCAACACAATCACAAATAAAAAAGAAATTAAAAATTCTCAACAATTAGAAATCAAAACAAGAGAAAAAAAATTCGAAAAAGAAAAAATAGAAAAACGATTAGTTTCTAATCGAAACGTTAGATGTCGCCAGTTGTTGTTCGCCGATTTTTATTCGTTTGATTTTTTTTTCTTTTTTTCTCTCTGTGATAATAATATTAATTCTCCTTGATAATATGATGATAATGCTCTCTAGACACATTCTCAGTAGATTGTTTTAGTTCGTAAAAAGAAGAAGGAGGAGAAGAAGAAAAGAAAGAGAAGAAGAGAAGAAAAAAAGAAGGTAATTCTCATCTTCTTCTTTTCCCTCTTTTCTCCGAATCTTCATCACTTTCTCTCTCTGTGTGTGTTTACTGAAGTGCACTTGAAACTTGGAAGCAACAACAACGTTAACCATCAACACAATTTATTAATTATTTTCGATAATCAACTAACCAATATGATTATCTTTCCATACAAGTTAATTCTTTACAATCAAGTGCTGTTAATTGTTACCTTTAAAGTGAAATAATCGCAAAGAAAATTCATCTTCAATTTCCTTTAATACTCTGTGATTACCTAACCCATTTTTTTTTAACCCGTTTGTTTGTTTCTCTCTCTCATCCTATTTGTTTCTCATTCTGTTTATCTTCCCAATTTTCTGCTTATTTCTTAAAATCCACCATCATCATCATCATCACCTTCACCATCATCTTCATCTTCATCATCTAACATTGAATTTCGAATGGAATTATTATTCACCAGTGTAATGTGTTCGTTAACTGTTGTTACAATTTGGATTTAATTTCCAATCTCTTCCTATATAAAAGCAAAGACACAAACATCTAATTGTTGAATTGGAATATTGTTTTGTTTTTCTCCAAATTAATACTAATCTTTAATCTCTCATCAGTTGCTGGTTAACTAACTTGATTGTATAATATAATTGAAAGAAAAACTTTTCCTCTAAGTCAGTAAATCATTTGATCTGTTTGAAAAAAATTCAAATTATCGTTTTTACCATCAAGTCTTTTGTTTACTTTTTGGAATGGAATTGACATAAAGTGTTCTAATCATCAAATTCTAATTGATCTGATTGATCTAATTGTTTCTCTTTTTTTTGTTGTTTCTGCTCCAATATTTTAATTTGTGCCTTGGTTTTTTCTTTCTTTCTCCTTCTAATGTATTATATCCACAGTCTGTACACTCATACAACTCCATCGTTGTTAATTAAAACAACAACATCAACATTCAATCAACCTAAACAATTTCTTGATCACCAATCAGTTCCATCTTCATCATCACCATCAGCATCTTCATCAATTGAAAATTTAACCGATTTAAACTATTAACCAGACAAATAATGGCAACTCTATTCTTCCCATCAACCTTAACTGAATTACTATTACTCATAATCATTATTATACCAAAAAATGTCCTCTTATATATACCAAGGTGAGACACTAAAATATATTTAGAAATATATTTTTTAATTCTGATAATACAATTACAATAACAAATAAACTAATCAATAATTTCCCATAATCTGAACCAGAAAGACAAAAAAAAGAGAGAGAGACAACAAAGTAAAACTTGAAAACCTCAAACCAGAATAAAAAAGTCACTCGATTAATACAATTAGAATCAATATTTTTCGTTATAACAATTACACTCAACCAAATCAGATCAACTTCTCGAAATTTAATCTCAAATAAGATCAACAATCAGAATCACTTGTCCAATAATTCAAAGCATTGAGAGTTTATTAAGTTGATCAAATTAGTGCTAATAACGAGAAATATTGATTCAATCAAATCTAATCAACGTTTTATAACTACAATTTACTATCAACTCTTGTTTAATTACAATTGTAATCACAAAGTTTCATTCATTTCAACCAAATAGCCCAAAAGGTATTCAGGTTTATACAGTCGTGAAAAATGAGTTTCGAATGGTTTTTAATCATTCGCGCAGGTAGCGACTAAAATTAATAGATTAAACAATCAAGATAAGAAAAATCAATGAGTAAATCATCTAAGTCTTATCACTGATGATAAAGATTATCAATTAATTTTAGTAGCTAAGTTGCGCGAATGATTAAAAACCATTCGAAACTCATTTTTCACGACTGTATGTGTAACGAAAAATATTGATTCTCAATGTAATCATTATCTTCAATTATCAACTCAACCTAATTTTCATTTTCTCTCCCTAATTCTAGATTATCATTAGTTAGTTAAATAATTCACATAGAAAATTAGATTCATATTAATATACATATAATTTTTTTTTGTTCCATTCGATTATCAGAATTAAAATTTATAATCTAATCAACAGAAAGAAAATGCCCTCTTCGATTAACGATTATCCCAACACTAATATCTACTCATGTGGTGACAATAATTATAATTGGATATCATATGATTATGTATACAGATTAATATTCACCTTATTAGTATGAGAGATATGAATCCTAAAGGTCTATGGTTATAATAATATTCATTTAATAGGAATAAAAATACTGGGAATGGAAAGTAAAAAAAAAAGTTCCACATCATAAAAATCAGTTGATCATTTTCAAGGTTAATCTACCTTGATCATCATAATATTTAACTTGTCAAATCTGAAGTATATCTGTCTATCATTAATATTATCATTCCAAAGAGCTGAATATTAAATAACTATTATTTTCGATTGATAATTAATCCAATTTTCGCTTTTTCCATCCCCAGGTACCACAATTCAACGGAGAAACAAATTCTCGATGATCTTACCGCTCCACCCAAGTACGATCAATATGTTCTGCCAACAGGTAAGTTGAATTTTCGAGAGAGAGAGAGTGAGATATTTTCTACCAACTAGTTATTACTATGGTTACTCTCTGGGAATTTCTCATCAAAGATCAGCAATCAGATATAAACATTTATATATATCACCCGACTATTAATATAATATTAATTACAGATAAGATATTAATAATGAAGTGTTTAACTGTTTGTTTACCTTAATTGGCCTGAATTGTTATTAATCGAATATTTTTTCTTCTTTTTTTTCTTTTACTCACCTTTATTACTATTTTATATTGTTTTTCATTAAGAAGCTCCAATGACAGTTAATGTTAGCGTTCTGATGCTCTCAATGTCATCGCCCGATGAATCTAGTCTTAAATATGAGATTGAATTTCTCTTATTCCAAGATTGGATTGATCATCGTCTCATGTATGATGATGGTGGACGTCATAGACATCTAAATGCTCTTCGTCACCATGAACACCTATGGAGACCTGATACATATTTCATACTCCATGGGGAGTTTAAAACTCACAATGAAGCTGGACCCATTAACATGGCGTTCAAAGTTTTCCCTAACGGAACAGTACTTTATATAACAAGGTAATATTGATAATGTTGACCAATTCTGATCAATCTCCATTGGGAAAATATTAATTATATATATAGATATTTATATCCATTTAATTGTTATTGTCAATTCAAATCATAAATTGCTTCTGCTCTCAACAACATTCAATCAAGTTTTAATCACAAACAATATTGTATTAAAAGGTTATAACAACAATAGATTCCTAAATGATACATGTATTAATATAATTGTGCTAAATTTATAGTCAATCATCAATTGAATTGTTGTTGTGTCAGCAGTAGTGATTAAAGTAGACACAATTATTTAAATAATCAATTATAGTACAACAATAATAATCAAAGATTGATGTATAAAAAAAACACTTAAAAATACATTGCAATATAATTAGTGAGCTGAATTTACTATTATTATTCAATGAGTTTCACTCAAGATTTATATACTTTTCAAAAGCACAATTACTATAATTAACTTCATTAATTATTAATTCTGGTTAGTAAACAATTTGATTCAACTTTCATTTACTATAATCAGTTAATTTGTCTCCACTTTTTCTCTTCCTCTTCTATTCCCACAGGCAAAAAATGATCATTACATGTGAAGGAGATCTCAATATATTTCCCTTTGATAACCCTCGATGCTTTTTCGCAGTGGAAAGCAGTAAGTTTTTTCACTTTCTCCACTTTGGAATAACTCTCTCTCTCTCTCTCTCTCTCTCTCTCTCTCTCTCTCTCTCTCTCTCTCTCTCTCATATTATCCAATATTTGAACCCTTCCATTTTCTTTTAAATCGAATCAACAAATCTAATCATTAACTTTCAAGTTTAACCTTCTCTTACTTCCTATGGATTATCCATTTATTGGGATTAGTCAATTGCAATTTTCTGCTTGAGATGAATATCATTTAAATCAAACCAAAAAGGTTAACCTGTAAACCAGATTAATTTTAATCATCCTCTTACAGTCCAATTAATCATAATGACCCTTGTAGAGAGAGAGAGATGAGAACCTTTGATCCTAATTTAACATGAGAATGAGCAAAAATTAGACAATGATATACCATCGTCATTGTAACAATTAACTTTCGATGATAATGATAAAAAATATGACTTGTTAACCTAATTTTATCTTTGGCTTTTATCCCAACAACATAACAGAAAAATCTTATCCTTCAACCTAAAGCTCATTTTCCTAATGTATTTCCAGAGTTTTCATTATCCACTTTTGCTTTTCCACATGAACTGATTAACTGATTTTTATATCTATTTCTTGAATATCTTACATGAATATATATTATCATATATACACCTTGAAAAATAATGAAACTTTTATCATGTTAAATTGAGAAATTTTTCTCAGTAAAATTGATGCAGACAAAATTATCACCCTGAATATTACTGAACTTTTTTTTTTCGAGAGAGAGAGAGAGAAAAAGAAAACAAATTCTAACATAATAATACAAATTCCCAATTCTAATGAATGATTTACTTTCTAATATTAACATAAATTTACCATAAAAATTTAATCCAATTCTCAGTAATTGATTAATCAAATCTAATTCTTATTCTTATTTCTTTTTCTTCATATTATCTCATTATCGCCATGTTTGTTAATCAACTTATCAAAGTGTCTTATGAAGCAGATCAATTAGAGTTCCGTTGGAAACCTGAACATGAGATTCCAATTTTTAATTCAAATTCTTTTCGTTCATTGAACGCATATCTATCCAAAAATGCTGCTGGACGATGTCGCACTCATCACTCGTGGCGAAGTGAATTCTCATGCTTAAGTGTATATTTAATCTTCACCAGGGACAAGTTATTTTATTTGACTACCGTTTTTGTGCCTGGAATGGTTTTAGTTACCAGTTCTTTTATTAGTTTTTGGCTGGACGTTAATGCGGTGCCAGCAAGAGTAATGATTGGAGTGACCACTATGCTGAATTTCTGTACAACAACAAATAGGTAATCAATAATTGTGATAATAATAATTTACCAACCAATCGAAACATCTCAATCAAACTAATTCATATATAATATATATTTACATAAAGGTTATATAAATAACTGTTTATATGAATTAATTTGTTCATATTTCAAATCAATCTCAATTTCACCCCATTCATTACCAAATCATTACTTACAATCAATTAATCGATCAATCAAATGCAAAATTTTCTCATAAACATTTTCATAGATAAATTATCTTCCAGGTAACAGTTAAATTGAGAAACTCTCTCTCTCTCTCTCTCTCTCTCTCTCTCTCTCTCTCTCTCAACAGTGACCTATTCTTTTTGAATAGTAAGTACAGTACTTAGAGTAATGCATCGGAAGTCCATATGATGGGAATTCCGGGTTTTCAGATGAATTTAAATAATCATCATCTTCATCATGATTATAGACTTTTGATGACTTTTATAATAGAATACACGAAATGATTAACTTATTATTATCCCCTTTTAATGATCATCGCTATTTATTAAGGTGTATTTGAGTATTCACTCAGTTTCCACCATAAACTTGAATTTAACTGAAAATAGAGGAAAAAAAACTCGAGAACACATCAGTGAATCTGTCATTTTTTTCACAAAAAAAAATACATTCGGTTAATAATCTTAATTGTTATTATCTCAAATTCAATCTACTTGATAATTGAAATGTCACCTCCATGATCATCATCATTACCACTATATGGTAGTAACATCAATAGAATCAAAATTAATTTCACCCAAGTAATTAACCAGAATTAATTTTTACTTACACCTTGATTATTATCATTATTATATAATAATACATTTCTTAATCTACATCAATTACTAATCTAATTAAATTTTCATCTAATTCACTTTCTATCTGATGGAAAAACAAAAGTTTTACAATTTAAACTTTTGTTGTTGTCACTTTTGCTAATGAAAATTTAATGAAAATCAAATTAATTTTGTTGACATTATTTTTAGAATGACAATGTAAACAATCAAGGTAATTAACTATAGATGAATTTTATACTTGCTCATTATAATGAATACTACATGTATTTATCATAATACAATCAGAATTAAATTATATCTTCATCACAATTAATCAGGTTAATGTAATAGATATAAAACTAAAGGAAAAGATTAAGATAATGGTGAAAATGATGAGAGAGAGAGAGAGAGAGAGAGATCTAAGTGATTTAAAGGAAGATATAAATTATCTTGATATATAAATAATGTATCATGATTACCTGGTGTAAATGATGATAATATTATTTTTCTCTCTCTCTGAAAGATGATCAACTCTGGTAAATAATATTTATCATCATCCTCATCATTTATCATGAGCATTTCATTGTATTGTTATTTTATCATCTTCTTTTCATCTTCAACTCTCCAATTGAAACAATTCCTATGGTTTCATAATGATAATCAAATGAAATAATAATTTCTATCAACAATCTTCAACAATATTTACACAAATTCTCATTATCGATTATCAAATGAAATTCAAATTCAAATTCAACTTTTCTCATTTTTCCTATTCGATTATAATTTATTTCCAATATTTTTCTCTATACAAAACATTATTTATCTGATTAAAATCATTTTAATCTAATAACCTTAGAGAATCAAGATAAACCCAATTCTAGGTTATGACAATTGAAACTAACCAGATATTTACAAATTATGTATATATTTTCAAAAGTATTACGATAACTATTATTTACAAGGTTATTCCTTAATCCATTTTATCGGATTAATAAGGAAAAATTCAATTGTCCTCAAGATTAACATGAACAATAATCTGTGTTGCGATTTTTCATTTTTACTCTTCATTTTCCTCTCGATTCACTTGCAACTCCAACTATCACAATAATCATATTATCATTACATTATCGTCATTATTATCATCTCTCTCTCTCTCTCTCACAAATATATCTTTGTAATATTATCTGATGTTGTTGCGTGTTTTTAACCTTAATCTAGGTTTGTTGACTTTATCGATTGTCTCTGGAAGGAAAAAAAAACTACCATGATAATCCTTATACTCATCGTTTTATCATCTTCTCCTCTTTATCTTTTTTCTTATACCAACCTATTACCCTGGAATCAATTACTTTAACCTTTACATTATCATCATCATCATCATCCCATTTTTATCAACATCTTTTTACTAGATTAACAATTGCTAACCTAAATGATCCCATGATAATCCATTAGCTTGATTTTTCTCTCTCAATTTCATCATCATCTTAATCTTCTCGCTTTTGTCCAAATCAATGATAAAGTGTAAAAAGAGATAAACGGATTCAGTTAATTCAATGAATGGAAAACCAGAAATATTATCATCCTCATCATCATCTTTCCTCTTTATCATCTAATACTAATTTTCCCAAGTCATTTTCTTTCATCTTCATCCTTTTTTGATATAAATATTGAGTTGATAAAGAAAAAAAACAAACTCTTTGAAAGTCATCATGAGGTTACAATGAGTCTTCTTGTTGGATTATCATGCCTGGTGTGATGAATATGATGATAATCATGGTGAAAATCAGGCTATCATCAAGATGGACTATTAACTATCTTGATGACTGTATCTTCCTGTTTAGGTCTATCCATCTATCTCATTATCATTGTCTCATTTCATGGTATCTTCCCCATGTACAGATTGAAATCTAATCTTTAATCAAACTTTAACTGTTTATCTAAGGTTATTATTTACCATTGTAAACATGAATTATAAAAGACTTGATTGGCTTAGATTGTTGATTATCTGTTGAGTTTTCGCTTGGTTTTTATTTTCTCAATAGAAAATAAAACTCTTCCAGTTGATCATCATTATTATCATCCTCATGCTACTCTCAATCTCAGCATGAAGATAATAATAATAATAATCATAATAATAAATATACTAACAGGTAAACTTTAACTTGACTAAATGTTGAATCAATATCGATATTGAACTAAACACAAAAAGATTGAAACAATGATCAAATTATTTCAATTTAACTGCTTATATTTAACCAGAAATGTAAGATTAATTAACTAATGCACTTGAATTGTTCAATAAATCACTATTTAATATCGTTGATATTGATAATAACAATAAGTATCAAATGATTATCAAAATATTAATATATCAATATTTATATTAATCTATTGAGTTGTTTCAGATAAGATCATGATTTATATGCTTCTCTTTTTTTTATATATATCAGAACTCAATTTCCAATGATAATCAATGATAATTAATTCAATTCGTTTGTTATATATGTATAAATATTAATTTGATTTCGTTTTTTTTGTTGTTGTTTATTTCATGATAGTTTCCGATCGTCACTCCCTGTTGTCTCAAATTTAACAGCAATGAACCTTTGGGATGGGGTTTGTATGTTTTTTATTTACGCATCAATGATTGAATTTATTGTGGTCAATTATTTACACCGGAAAATTCATCAAAATCCATTGAGACCTGATTCAGCTGATCGACCCAGTGATACATTTAGAGCAACATTGGGAACCCAAATATCTGTAAGTAAATATAATACATAATATATGTATTATTTTATCATAAATATTGAATTATATCAATAATACATATGAGTTTATATACTCACAAGATGATTACATGATAAATGATGATGACTTGAAATACTTGAAAATGTTATGTCATCTATTATGTTGAATTTGTATTGATAATATGTTTTTTTTTGGTTAGTCTTCATGGAGTAAATAATATTTTTCTTATGAATATATATTCAGGGTATAAGTTCAATGAGAAAGTTGATTTAACTGGAAAATCAGAGCTTCTGAACAAGTTACAGGCATTTTCGGTGTAATTTGAAAGATCATGTAAAAGATTTTAACAGGTTCTGAGTTGATTGTTTTATAGGAATTGGAATACTTGATGATGATGGAACCTGATGGAGATGGAAAACTTTCCAACAGGGAAAACTTTTTACATATAACATCATCTTCACCAAAAGTATCATCATGATCAGCAACATCTCATGAATACATGATTTTGATACTTTTCTATCTCATTCTTATTGTATCTCTTTAGCTTTTATTTTCTTTACTCTTTCCATATATAAACTTTTCATCCTTTTCTCTCTTGATGACGATGATTATGATCATCTTCTTGAATTGTTATTATTTTTTTTTCTCTTTCTTTATCTGCAACTGATTCTCTTTTCTGTTTTTCTATTCTATTCTTCTGCTCTGATTGTTTTCTCTCTCTCTCTCTCTCTCTCTCTTTCTGTGACAGAGTAATGGAAGAAAAATAGATCCAACATCTCAAGAGGTTTTAGCTCCCGGTGAATTTGAGGTACGCGCTCCACTTGTTTCAGGGGAAGATCCTTCATCTGGAATACCATTGACCAATGCTCGTCATCATGGTGGACTTCACCATCGACCCTCAGCAGCTACAACTGGACTTGGACGATGTCGATCACCTGGAGCGTCAACATTACCCACCGATGAACGAATCCGTGCAGCGGCCTCAGTTTTCGCATGGCTTCGTCGACCCCACCTATGGGACACCGCTGAATTTTCATCTTACGCTCGACTGGCTCGATCCATTGATCATATTTCCAAGTTTGTTTTCCCCTTACTTTTTGGTATATTTTCACTTTCATTCTTCATCTACTTTGCATGGTTTTCACCCTCTAAACTGGACAATTGGGCTCACCAGGAATATCATCCTTCTGATGATTGATCAACGGAAAGAGATGAAATTAAAGTTAACCATCGTAAAGAAAAACGAAACCAATACAACAAAGCAAAGGAAAAGTGCATTAATATTAATAAATGTCATCATCTCACAAAATAAACAAAATGGACACAGCAAATACCAGTATACACACACAAATATGTCAACAAGCAAAAACAAAACAAAAAAAAATGCACATTGATGAAACCAAATTGAATCACTAAGACACACAAACTCATATTATTAATAATATTACAACGGATAAAAAAACTCACTCATTCATTTTGGATACAAGAAATATAATGTTACTCATGGATTTAAAAATAGAGTCATGGAAGAGGTTGTCAGTTTCTAACAAATGCCAATGTTGTTGATCAAGATGAAAGGATGATGAGCATGAATAAGATAAAGAATTCAAATTGTGTACTAACATCAACAAGAAAACAACAACATGGCTGCCAGATATTTTTCATTAACCAGCAAACAACATTTTCACCATGATAAAGTTTCTCGATGAACCAACAACAACAAATGAATAATCAACCTAATCATCATCATCATGTATAATCAATAACGACACCAACAAGTAGACATATAAAAGTTTTACAAGTGAGAAAAGCCAATGGATTAGATTAACAAGAATAAGATTCAAGATTTTCAAGATTTACAAGGAAACATTCAAGAGGAAAAAGAAAATACAATTTCAAATGAGATAGAGCAAAAGTCATCATCACCATCATTGCAATCATCATCTTTGCACCAATTGCAATTGAAATAATCATCACCCTGGTCCTGACCTAATTAACTCCCATGTTAAAATTATCCATTGATGCTCATGCTACTCTTTCTTACTCTCTCCAATCTCTCCTTGTCTTCCTCCCGATCTTCCTCTTCTCTCTCTCTCCCCTTTCACTTACCTTGATTTAATTTTTTCCTCATCTTCCCCACGACCTTTCTCCTTTTCCATCATCATCATCATCATCATCATGAAGCTATTTTAAGCCTCAACGGATAACGCCCTCATCATCATTATAATCATCATAACAACTATTTCAATCTTAAAAGTTATTATCAATTTTTTTTCGTGTCTCTTGTGTGTGCTTTGCCATCTAATTCATTTACAATCAAGCCTTGGCTTCATCACAATTATAATTATACAAATACACACCTTTCATCTCCAAATCATCATCTCCTCCTTCAATTTCATCATCATCATCTATTTATATTAATTCAAGGATATTAAACATTATAACATAAGAGGAAAACAAACCAACCTAAACAGAGACAAAAAAAAATAATGTGACAGTTACGATTGTAAACAGAACCAGGGATTGTTTTCTGTTTCAAGAATTATTATCATAATTGTTATGAGTTTATAACGATTATCATTATTATTATTATTATTATTATTATTATTATGATATTTGGATTAATAGAGGAAAGATATTAGTAGCACAGTAAGAATCAAAAATGGCCTTAAAATAACAGTTCTAATAATAATCATACTCATAATAATAATAATAATGGTAAAAAGATATAAACAAATGTCCATTCACATGTATTGATTTATTTTACATGAATTAATTGTTACCTTTTTCCCCTCTTCCCTGTTAATTGTTATTAATTTACTAGGAAATGTTTTCTCTTTATGTAATCATCCTAATTACCTCTGGTATTATTATCATTTTCACTGTTACCTTGATTTTTGTTTTTTATTTGTTACCTGGGAGTTACTTTATTACTACTGTTAAAACCATTACTGTTACTAATTACAATTGATTTAATTGTTACAAGGTTTATCAAATTGTAAATGATGATTATAACGGTGTGATAATATTAATATTATATGATGATGATAATGATGAGGATGATTTAAGTTAATTAACTGAGAGTGTTGATTAAAATGAAGGGGAAAAAAAGTTTACAGAAAATCGTAATTGTAAATAATATTGTTAAATTATCATGATAACTTTTAATTGTTAATTTTATTAATTATTTGTACAGTCAAACAAAAAAAAAGGGTTACCCTTATAAATATATTAATAGATTATGTTGATTGAGTTTTAAAAAAGTTTGCTAATTGTTAATCTGTTATCATGAACTTTAATCAATTACTACTTGTTTAATTGTTAATTGTATTAGTTACCTGGTTTGTTTTTATAATCATCATTATCATCAATTAATTAATTCTGCCGTCATCTTAATCATCATCAATGAAAATCATGAGCTTTTTAATTAACAAACTGTTTTTCAATTGTAAATATTATTGATTGATCAACATGGAGACTCCATAGAGGAAAAGTGTAAATGATAATTAATTAAAAGAAAAGAGAAAGATACTAATTGTTGATATTAGTTTCTTAATCATCGATCTCATCATCATCAATGTTCATCTAGATAAATTGATTTTCGCAATCCTAATCTTGTTAATCACGAAAGAAAATGAAACAATTTAAATCTTTTTCCTTCTTTTATGTTTCTATGCAGAGATATTTGAAATTTAGTCTTTTTCTTGTTCAATCAAAACTTTCCAATGTCTTCATCACTTTTAATCATCTCAATTAACTTAATTACAATTCTATGAGATCACTTTTGTTTCCAAACAATTAACAATCACCATCAACGAGAAAAAAAAACAATACAACTACAATTAAGTGTGAATGAGAAGATGAACCAAAAATTCAAATCTAACAAACAATTGACTTAACAATTAATTTCTTTTCTTAAATCAATTTAAATTGCGGACAAAAAAAACGATTGATTTAACAATTGGAAACTTTAATTATCTTAATTAAATTCTAGAAGTTTAAAAATTTAACAAAACCAAAAGAGAAAAACAAACAAACCGAAAATCAACAAAAACTCTGTTACTTTATTATCGTTAACGATTGTAAATTTAAATACAACAATTAAAAATGTTTTAATTGAATTAATTTCTAATCTTTTCCAAAAGAAGTAAAAATCAAATGAAAATAATTAATTTCGGTCAAGTTGTAAATGGAAAAAAACTTTTTGTTTTTAGTTGAAAATCGATCAATAGATGGCGACACTAAATTCGTTATTCGATTAACTTTTTCGTTACGAGAACGCAAGTGTTACATGAACGATAATGATTCTCATAGTTTTATATTTACTACGAGTTAGTGTTGATATTTTTTTTTATACTTTCTGATTTGATTCTGTTACTTTGAAAGATGAAGATGAAAAGAAAGAGAGAAAAATTAAGAGGAGAAATGAAAGAAAGAGAAAAAGAAAGAGAAAGCGCCAAAAAGATGATGAAGATAAACAATAATAATAATTTTCCAAATAGAAAACAATGTTAACTGTTTTCTTTTTTTTTTCTTTCTTCTAATTTTTGATTATCAACCAATTGTGAAATATTTTGGTTCCTTTTCCTCTCTCACTCTATCCTTCTCTCCCTGTATTCTTGGCAATGATTGTAATTACTGATTCCATTAATTGTGTTAATTATGGATCAACTTTCAAGCCTTTTTGGACTTTGTCAACAACCATCACAACAACAACAACAACAACAATCATCAACATCAACATCAACCAATGATAAATTTAATATATTTGTTGATGATTCTGCTGCTTTTATATCCACCTCACCATCATCATTATCTAAATTGTCACCATCAACTATACCAACAACATCAGCAGTAACAACAATATTTGGATCGCAAACAATTAATACATGTCCATCATCATCGTCACCGACAACAATTAATTTATGGGATTTAACAACAAACCGGAATGAAATTTATCCAGGTGAAGTGTCAATATCATCAACAACAACAACAACAACCACAACACCGCCACCACCACCTCCCTCTACAATTAATAGTAACAATTTACCTTCTCCAGCAATTAAACTAACCAGTAAAAGTTGTAAATTATCATCATCAAAAAAACCTAAATCTGCTCTGCACATAAACACAACTCCAACAATTACAACAAGTATAATTGTTAAACCAATTCTTAAATCATCTTCATCACTATTATCCTCTCATCACTCATCTCGCCATAAACGATGTTCATCTTTGGGTCAATCAATTCGTTACATTGATGAAACCACTCCAAGTAACTCATTTTCCCCCTTCTATCATCTTCATCATCATCACCCTCCATCAGGCTCACCTTTAGCCTCATTGACCTGCCCTTCAACGCCAAATGCATATACCACCAATGTGCCCATTCAATCAGCTTTTCCAGCCTTCACAGGGATGCAGTTATCCACGTCTACACCTGATCAACACCAACCATCAACACCTTTATCAGCAATAACTAATGGACGTTGTGTTAATTGTGGCTCATCATTTTCTCAATTCAATGAGAGCGACAATGAAAACAATTCAAATTCAACTGCGAAATCAGCATCAACCCAAATCGATTCTGGTTCAATTTCTGGTCAACTATGGACTTACCAACGATCGATGATAACTCCATCATCATCACCAACAACTTATCCTCTAGATCCATCAACCTGTGATCACTTGATTCATCCCAATAATCAACGTAATCAATCAAGACAATCCAATCAACATTCTAGTCACTATCATCAAAATCGATCTTCAAACAATTTAGATTCAAATGCTTCTTTACTTCCGACTTTAGCTTCCGTTGAATCTGCAACCCAACAATTTAATCCAACCGATTCCACCAACAACAATCCAGCATCTCATCAAAATCACAACCATTTACATAATAAATCTTTCAGATCATATCATCATCCACATCATCATCATCACCATCACCATGAAACATTAGATCGTCAAAGCCTTTACTCAATTCATATGGAAAAAGATTTCAGGTAAGAATGAGAAAAAAAAACTTCTATTCCATTTACTTGTAAACAGAAACTTCATGTTGACTTAATTTTACTTTTTTTCGACAAAAAAACTTCAACAATCAACAAAGAATCAGATAAAATCTCAAAAGAATTGCTGAATTTATCATGTAAATTCAATTCGTTGATCAAAAACCAAATATTAATGTAATGCTAAGTTAACCAAGCATTTGTTTAGTCAATGATAATAATGTGATGTTTATGATAATTAAGCTATTATATAATATTTATAATCCAGGTAAACATGATGATCTTCGTGAAGATAAAAAAATGAGCCTTTTAAATTGTTTACATTGTAAATTTAACGATCAATGAAATGGTTGTAACAATTTAACAATATAATCAATCGGTCAATGGAAACTTTTACTTGACCCAATTTTAATAACTCCAAGTAAAAGGTTTTTTTTTTGCTGTTTTTCAACACAATATATGATTAGTGAAAGTAATTAACTGATTCTGGTTTATTGTTATTCAATAATTTAGTTGATATATATGATTAGTAACCATGACAATTAAGTAACAACATGACAGACTGTTATTATTTTCATCTGTTTCAACATATTGGTTGATTGATTGATTGGAAGTGGTGACAATTAGTAAATTGTACTTGGAACAATATGAGAAAAGATCTGAAACAATTAACAAGAATCAATTAACATCGTCAAAATTTCTTACAATTAACCAAAATGATTAGACTGTCAAAAATAATCGTCAACTCATCTAATTGTTAATCTTTTTCAATCCAATTTGCTTAATCATTACACGTTCAATCAATTTAAATTTGTATTAGTCAAATCATCGTTAATCATCAATATAAACCGAATTGATTAGATATCGATAATAATTAACTCTCAATGATAAATTAAAATGATTTTAATTGTTACCAGACTGTAATTACAATTTGATAAATATCTGATTCCTTATCCTTGTTCAGAGTTAATCATTAGCCTAATCATTTAGGAGCAATTAAAATTATTTTTTTTACAACAATTGTTAATTAGTAATCAAATTTTGAATTATTTAGATAGTGTAAGTAAACAAAAATCAATTAATTGTTATGCAATTGTCTCAAAAATCAAGTTAATTTAAATTTCCCATGAATGAGGATTTAACAATGTAAATAATCAACAGCAATCAAGAATAATAATTAAGAAATTGTAAAATAAATAATCAAATATGTTACATCAATTTAGTTGATTTTTGTATTGATTGATCATATAATCAATATATTGAACAAAATTAATTGTTTTCTTTAAGACTGAATTTAAACTAACTAATTGTCGATTGATAATTAAACAAAAAGAGCTACAATTAACCTAAATTGTGAGGTTAATTGCTATGAATACTTTGTGTTTGTTTCTCAATGTTAATCATTTTTTTTTACTTATCCTTCTCATAGCAATTAGATTAATTTAGTTCAGGTTTTTGGGATAAGATTTGGCAACAATTAAGTCAATTGCCAAGTTTAATTTTATCAATAGTTGCCAAAAATACCAATACATTTGATGATGTTTATCCTTTTCTGCTTAATTGTAACAATTAAATTACTAACGTAAAGTTTGGCCAAGATTAAAGGTTGATCTTCATTTTGATTAATTGTTTCATTTCACAATCATAATTAATCTTGATAATTGATTCAAAAATGGTCACAATTGATGTAAACTATTTGCTTAACCTTAATTACTGACAGAATAATTTATATTATCAGATTGATTGAGGAGGTTGATTCAGTTGATGTAATCAAATCAAGCTACATTGGTTTCTCAATGGAATTTAATTATTTCATCAAGTTAATTTAGTTAAGACATAAATCAATAAATAACTGAATTAATTATCATAATTAATAGTTGAATGATGTAACTCATGTGTTGAATAATCAGTGTGATTAAGTTGTTTTATTTGGATCATGATTTAATCATGAAATCAGATCACAGGATCAATGAGGAAGAAAAAAGTTCTGGTCAGAATTTATGAATTATCTCATTTTCCCCATGAAACTTATCACTCATGATGAAACTTTCGTTTTCTCAACTCAAACCCAACAACTTTTATCTTTTGTTTTGGAAACTTTTTCGAGCTCATCTAAGTACAATGACTAAATCGACGATGAAACAATCAAGATGATGAGATAATTAACTAAATTGTTACAATTTAAAATTCGCAGATTTAGAAATAAAAACTCACCACTGAGAAAACAATTCTGAGCAATAAATCAAACGATTCCAACGATAATCAAGTTAAATTTGAAAAATTAGTTGGAAAGTCTCGCAAATGATTAAAGTTTTAAGAAGAAATTAAATTATCTTAATTGTAGGGAAGACAATTAATCATGTAAATCGAGGTTGTCATTTCCATTGATTTCCATTAGGCTAATTGGCCTTCTTGATATTCAACTGAATTTAAAAGTTTCACAACTGTAAACTAACAATTAACAATCAACTCATTAATTTAGGATTAACATGATAACATAAGTAACTCGAACAATGGATTTAATTTTAATCCTCTATTCAGACTACAAGTAAATAGATTAACTGGATTAAGCTCTAATTGTCTCTCATTAGAATTATTATTAAAAACTTTTCTACTGATTGTTATCATATTTCAATCTCATCATTCAATAAATATCAGATAACTTTAGATAATCATAAGAATCTAATCAACATCTAATTATGATTATCATCAACAAATTGGAAGCTTTTGATTCCTTCTTGATTATTAAACATACATTGAGAGAGAAATATATTAAGATAAATCACCGATATTGAGAGAAAAGTCAATTTATTATCATCCATCCTTCTGGTAACCATGGCAACGGATGCTGAAGATACTCAAGTTATATTTCTTAGCCTGAAACTGTAATCACGATGATATTAAACTTATATAATATTTGTTTTCCATGAATATATCTTGAAATAATCTAGAAAATATATATTTCTATCAATTTAATAGTAATGAAAGTAAACATGATGATTTCAACTAATCTTGAAGAAAAATCTTCAACATTTTTCAGAACTTGATTATTTAATCTGATCTAAGCCTGACATGGGGAAAAAAAGATTAGCTTAATGATTAAATAGAGCTCAAGTTGATTATCTTAATTTAATTATTTCGACTTAAATAAATTATCCTTCCAATTGTTGTTGTTGTTGTTGTAATGATATTGGTGATTATGAGAGTTGAACTTATATTATAATAATATGAAAGTTACAATGAATAAGTTCATTGCCATTGAATCTTATTCATGATGATGTTGATATTGAGCTTTTAGAAGTCCCTATCATCATTATCTTCATGGATCGATAATCCGATGTTCCGAGAGAAAATCTTAGTTCCTGTTATTATTATTGTTGTTGTTGTTATTGGTTTTCATGGTGACAGAATTTTCAGTTTTTTTTCTTCTCCTTTATATTCAGTTATTATCCATGGAACCTTGAAATTCATTTGGATATTATTATCAACTCTCAGTGAAGATTTTCATCTACATTACCATTAGAATGTGTTATTATTACTTTTGTCCCAATAGATTTTGCAATTGTTGATTGATTTTTACGCCTTCTTCCTCCCACTCAACAATTAAGTCTCGCATGTTAATCAACCTCAGTGAAATCCTTGGAAATCCTCATGAAGAAAAATATCTAATCAAAAAATGTTTCTCTCTCTCTCTCTCTTCAAGTTTCATCAGACAATTACCATAAGCAGGTTAAGTTAATATTTAGACTGATGAGTTGATAATAATAATGAAAACGAAATCAAAGAAATGATGGAAGAAAAAAAAAGAAAACTATAAGTGCTTCCAAATAGAAAATAGAAAATTTATTTTCTTCTTCTTCGTTTCCGAAAAGTTCTGTTAGTCTCTTTTTAGCCTCGAATCCAAGTTTCGAATTTGGGAAACTCTGAACTTTATCATTTCTCTCTCTCTCTTTCTTTCTTTTCTTTCGTCCTTTCTTTCTTTTACTCTCATGCACACAATAGATGAAGATAAGCTAAAGATGAAAATGATTATAACCAAAGAGATCACAGCATTTCTATTGCTTTTTTCTTCCTCATCTTCTTCCCTTATCATCCTCCTCCACAACCAATTCATCTCTCCCACTCCGCCCTTTGTGAAGCTTTATTACTTTTCTCATTTTCTGGTCTTGTTCATTTAAGTGATCAGCAGAAACAAACAAACCTTAGAGATAAGAATCAGGGGAAAAATTGAAAACTCAGCATTCACCTTTATGGAGATTGGGAAAATTTGAAATTTCCTGGGAACATGAAACCATTTTTAGCTACAATTTCAATGGGATGTAACTTTTCATCATAATCATGCTCATGGTGATGACACAAGAACCATGATAATGATAAAATGATTGAATAAAAAAATTAGACTTGAACAAAAAAAGCTCTCAATGTTGATCAATCAATTGATGACTGAATTTATTTCAGTTTTTTTTTACTCCCATCAGATTATCCTGATAATCTGATGCATCTTTATTTTCACCATGTCAACGTTATTCAATTCTCAGTACAATTATCATAAGAATTCTCATGTTAATCATGATCAACTTTCTGCTTTCTTCAACAATCAAAGATTATCTCATTTTCCTTGTCAATCAATCAGATAATTGTCTTCCTCTCTCAGGTACAGATTTAATTCATCACTCTGATCCTTTTCCACTCCTTTTTCCCAATAGATTCATGGTAGAAACTCAGAGAATCAGCCAAAAAAAAAGTTCTGACCAAAACTGATGGCTTGTTATTCAATACACTGAATATTAGATTTTAATAGTTGTCATTAAATTAAATTCCCTTATATTGGTTCAGTTTTCATGATCAACTAAATTGCGTGAGCAACAATTACTTTCATCATAATCGTTGATGATGATTATTATTATCATCATAATCATGGTAACAATTAACTATTGGCAAAAAAGCAAAAGTTTTACTTTCATGTGACATGATAAATACAAGACAATGAATGAAAGGTTAACCAAACAAATCACTTACAATTAACTTTAATCATCTCGTTAACAATAAAAAAAAAATTACTTCCGTTTCCAGGTTGATGATAATCATCATCTGATCTCAATTGTTTCATCAAGTTAATCACTGATCCATTGATTGTAAATTGATTTCCATTGTTATTGATATAATACATGTTTCGTTTATTGTTATAAATTAATGAGTCTTGTTAATGAATATTTTCAAAAATTAACTCATGATTGATGAATATCATGAAAACTGAATAGTCCAAGAATATCATCCGATAAACTTTATCAACCATTCCGTTGATCAACAAATATATTAGTTATACTTTAACAGTCGACTAATTATTTTATTAATGAGTAATAATAATCATCGATACGATCAATGGAGTGAGAAAAATATAAAAGTCAAAATCGACAAACAAAAAATATCGAACTTACTTTCTGCTCTGATATTAGAACTCTCTCTCTCTCTCTCTCGATTTATCGAATTACAATTTTCTAATATATGATCAATATTTTCACCAATTATCTGCTGTTAATCATTTCCTTTTTTTCATCATTAACAATCAAGAGAATCGCAACTAATGATACTCAATCAGTTTCCTTGATTCTCCCATGAAACTAAATCTCATGTAACCTGTGAAACTGAAGCATAGAGACAATTGAAATAATAACGATGATGATGAGATAAACTTGGGAACTCATTTGAAACATTTTATTGGTCTACGAGTTACATTTACAGTTATATCATGATGACGATTTCATGTAACTATTGTTTATATTATTATCGATGGTTGATCATCAATATCATCCAATGTAATGGATCAAGATGCTTTGTAAGATGATAACTGATCAAATGGACACTTAACTTTTACTTTTCTTAATTCTAAATCGCAAGTTCCAATGATGAAACTGATCATCATCTGTTTCTCAGTACATTACGATTTTAAGAAATTCACTTTAAAAAATTGGCTCATTTTCGTTGTTCCAAATTTTTACAATCCATTTATGAAATATGTTCTTATCATCCTCATCCTATCATCTCCCTCTCCCTCTCTCATCACATTATCATAAATTGGACTGAATGACCTACTCCTCGAGTATACAAGCCACTGGACAATTGTTTAAGCTCAAGTGATCACTTTGCTGACCAGTAGCAGAAATCAATTCAATCAGTAACCTCACTAGGAAGATAAAATCTCTGTTAAATTATATGTAATTAATTATGTAATTAATTTTAACATAATATTAATTTCTCATCATGAAAACTGAATCCACTCCACCTCCTTTTCATAATGAAATGACAATCACAATCACAATCAAGCTGATAAACAATGTGATTAATTGGTAATTGTCAATATAAAAAAAAGCATAACAAAAGATAATCTCAATTGAAGGTTTAATTTGATTAATCACTGGGGTAGGAAAAATTTTCAATAACAATAGAAACTGCTAATCAAGTTAAATTGTTGTTGTCAATTTAATATCCTTTTAATATTGTTACAGTTTTTTTCAATGTAAATTGATGCAAAAAAAAGTTATCTACTTTTACTGCCATTGGAAATTCAATTGTTATCATGAATTTGGACCATTGAATTGAACTGAATCAGACATATCATGCATGAAGTATTATCAACCTTTTATTTTCCCAATGAATTGAATTCATATTCATGGAGGAAACTTTTTCATTCACATGGTAAGGTGCGTATATCCTCAGGATGATTTAATGATGATATCTGATGCCAAATGAATTCTTATTATTTATTATCATTATCATCATCATGACCTTAAGGGTTTGCCCATGATAATAACAATTGAATGTTATCATAATAATTCATAGCTATTCATTGGAAAACTCATATTTATCATATCAATAATATCTTACGGTAAAGATGAATATGAGTTTTTCCAGTAAACACATTGAAAACCTTGAACTGTCAGGAATCATATTCAATCACTGAATCTGAACAACAACAACAACAACATGAATGATGAATTCACATAGATCATGATGAGAAGTGAGAAAATAAAATATTTGAATATGAATCAATCCCCATGAATGAACCAAATGATATCTATGGATTTTATTTTCCTTCCTTTTCCTATTCCTTTAGTTCCCATGGACAATGAACATTTGATCATTATTCAGATTTTCATGGTGATGATGAGTAGTTAACACCATTTCCATGATGACAGGCAAATATCATTTACTAAAAGTATTTACAATTCAATGTAAATGGTCATCATTGTGTTGACCATTAACATGAGAACCCGAAAATCAATTGACACTTTGTAAACAAATTAAATCTCTGATGATAATGATTATTATTATGATGATGCTATTATCATGATTACCATGAAATGATCAAGGTTCATAGATATACAAACATGAGATGTTAGAAACACTTAGTAGTTTGAATTATTGATTATCCAATTACTTGACCAGTATCGGTTTTGGTCAACAGTTTCAATGATGAATTAATTATTATCCCTTTGCCGAATCATGTTTTGGTTTTTACTCCGTTGATTGTTGGTTAGTGAATCAACTTTGATTACAATTAAATCAATAGATTATTACATTTATTATTGTTGATCGTGGGGAAAATTAATTCAGTTGATCAATAATTTAGTAACAAATGATTAAATTGACTATTGGTGACAAAAGTAAAGACTTTGTTTCCCTCCAACACTTGATAACTGCTTTTAAATTGTAATGATTAATTTAACCCAACAATTAACATTAATCGTTTATCGATAACCAATCAATCATATTGTTTCAGTATTATTACATTGACATGAGTAAAGTTGTTCACAATCAACAAATTGATCAGTAATTAAAAAACAAGCGACAAGATTATAATGTATAATCGAGATGAGAAATCTAATTAACTAACAGCTTAGAAATGTGAATTAATTACTTTGGTTAAATTGTTATACAATATCAATTTTGTTCGTGTTAATTGAATGATCATTTTTTTCAATGATTAATAAAATAAATACACAGAAAAATTAACTATCCTCTTGATAGTTAATCTTCTTGATTAATTAAAATCTAATCACACGAAAATGTTAGTTGATTAAAACACGAATATTAATTTGTTAGATGATTTAATTAACTGTCATTATTGATGATCAAGTCAATCAAATGATATTAATACAAGATAAACATTGGAGAGATTAATTTTTTGCAGTTAATCACGTTAATTAGAAAGATGAGAAGAAAAATGGAATCACAATTAACTTAATTGTCTTGAATTTTTGCTTTTCTTTTACTTGATCAGATACTTTTTCCAACATCCTTATGCCCGTTTACTGGTTGCCTATTCAGTGATCGCTTGTAATTTTCTGATCTTTGCCGAAGATCCAATCAGCCATTCACATACCGAATGTGGCCTGCCCATAGTGGGGAACGTGGTTTCCTTTGTATTTACCAGATATCCACCGGAAACACCATGGAAAGTGATCAAAGTGATCTGTTGGTTAACCGCTCTTGTAGTCGGTATGGTAACTGGTAAATATTTGGTCCATCACATTTTACTCAGGCGCATTTTAAGGTTGAAAATGTTTCGAGACGAAGAGGGAACCTGGATGATCATGATATTGGTCACTTTTATTTGTACTTACCTGTTTTCCCTTGGATATAATTTACTATTACTCTCTGCCCACCCTACACCAAAACCCTACCTTATTACCACCCTGATGGGTGTAACTAATTCCAGTTTCATGAAAGCCGCTGCTTGTGGTACCTGGTTGGGTGATTTTTTCACCGCCTGGATGGTCACCGATATGATGTTACAAGATGAACTTTACCCTGGTTGGGCTAAGGGTTTAAGGTCATTTCTAATGAGACATGGACACATCCGAATCATCATATTCTGGACTGGATCAATCGGTGTCTCCTCCCTGGTTATTTATATGATCTCATCGGATGAGATTAGTTGGGATAATTTAAATCACAATTATGTTAACACAACTGAATTAACTCGAGCCTTTCTTGCCTCAATGATTCTAGTTATGGATCTACTTGTAGTCATGCAGGTAAACAATTTAATTCAATAACAATTAAACCAAATCAAAAGATGACCAGTGGTCAGTATAAAGAAACTTATCTCTCCCTCTCCCTTACTAGTGTTGCGCTGATACTTTTTGGTAAGGCTCAAGATATGTCCGTAAGCTCAACTTTTCTACTTTCAGTTGACGTTTTATCGGCTTACGATTCGCGGCTTTCTAGGAAAATGATTTAATTTAATTGATTAGTCGATTAATTCAGCAATCTAAGATTATTTGACGCCTTGTGGGTATAGCGGGTACATGTTAGTCCACATTTAACAATGAAATAAAAGTGATTAGCGAAAGATGTGGCTAATCAGCTGTCGACCGCTAGCATTACATTAATTGTGTGATAGTTTGATTGTCTCAGGCCCTCCGGGCCTTCCTTTGTCCATGGTGACCCTTAATAGTGAAAACCTAACCTAACCTAATTTAAACAAACACAATTAATTGAGAAATTCAGTTAACTTCCATATGTAGCTGTAATCGTAAGCCGAAAAAAAGTCAGCTGAAAGTAAAAAAGTTGAGCTTACGGACATATCTTGAGCCTTACCTACTTTTTTAACGAGTAATATTATCGATACTTTCGTTTTCAATATTACTCGATACTTTTGTGAACGGTATCGAGTACTTTTTCCAGGCACTGAAAGTGAATTTTTGACTCAGAAAAATGAAAAATTGAGAATATGTAGAAATTTCACCAAATAGAATCAGAAAAAATCAAAAAATATTAGCAATACTGTTCAATACCCACGGTATTGTTGATACTTTTCGATATTTTTCAATATTAAGTATTGAAAATATTATCGATACTTTGTTTAACAATACCGATACGTTCAATCAATACTTTCTATCGGTATCGCGCAACACTATCCCTTACTATGATTAAATTATGAAGGACAAGTTTTATATTCTTGGCCTGATTTTTTTACTTTCCTTGATTATTAATTGTTCCAATACAATTATATTAATCCAGTTGAAATGTTTTACCATCAACAAATTAGGACAATACAAACAGCCAGTGTATATAAACTGTAGTTAATCATAACTAATCATGTTGTGATAATATCATATCAAGTTTATCTTCAGGCAGCAATTTATATATTAATAATATAATATTTTCCTACCATTGACAAAAAGTTGATACAATTAAGGTCTCAATGTGATGACAATTTATATTAATACCTTTTCATTGTAATCACATTAATATAACAGTTAAGATATAATCAAGATGATCAATTTATCCTCATCTTGATCCTCTCATCATGATCAATTATCATGATGATCATTTTCATGTTGATTCATTTTTTTTTTTGTTTCACTTAGACTTTTGATAATATCATGTTGATATTACAATTGTTAGTAGTTAGTAAATTGTTTCAACTACTTGGTTTTAATTAACATGAAACAGACAATGTTCATGATTAACCTTTAGATTAATTTGATTAGCTGATGTTTTTAACTTGCATTTAATTCATTAATTGTTGATAATAAATAATCAATGGGCTGAGTTACATTTGTCTATTCACATGAGACATTTAATTCAATTTAATTTTCATCTCATTCATTTTTAATTGTTCCACTTTTAGGATTGGGACTTTCCTCATTTCGTTTGTGACATGGACATTAAATTACCTGGACTCAAACAAGCTTCCTATTCATTTAAGATATTCACAATCAAGAAAACACTCAGTTTACCTGAGACATTTGTCTTCCATATCACAGGTAATATTTTGATATCTTTTGAAAATAAAAAAGTTCTCAACTATTATCATCAGAACTTTTTGAGAAACTAAAATTGCGAAAAAAAAAGTTATTAGTTTTTTGTTTGTGGGAGGAAAATGAAAGTGACAATTTAATCCAATTTGGATAAATTATCCTAACAACCTGATTAGGATTCTAATTATCTATTGTTCAATTTTTGTAATATTTAATATTCTCGTCATTTTGTTGATCAATCAAATCATTATCATGGTTGGAACTATGATATTATGATATTATCGATTTCGAGTTCGATAGCTTTTCAATAGTTGATTAACTTTTCTGGTTATATTGTTATCAACTTATTCTACATTTGATTAATTATTCAGTCAAGTTGAAAATATCATGAATATAAGAATAATCGTCATGAAGGTAATTCATCATCAGGGATAATTCAAAATGCCCTCATGAAGATGAGATTTTTTCCCTTCCAACAATATTGAAGACTCTGAGAAATTCATTTGATAAAACAACAATTAAACTGGAAAATAAACAATTTCAGTTGACAAACGATTTTATTTCATCATAAATTATCAGATTTATTAATTTGAATGAAACTCAACGATTTAGTTGATTAATTGATTAACTTTATTTTCATCTGGAGGAAAAAAAATCGATGATATTGATTCTGATGGAACAAATAAACTTACAGATTTATTGTATTTTCTTCAACAATTTTAGCATTCTCTCTATCTAAATCAAAAGGTTCATTTACAATTTACCAGGAAAATAAATTGTTAATCAACTAAATTAATGTTCAATCAAATGGTTACAATTTAGTTCTGATTGTTTGTGAAGTCCAATAGTGTCGCCATCTGCTGGTGCGAATACAAGTTAATCTTGTTGGAGGGAAATTTTTTTTTTCGGTTTTTTTGTTCATCTTTTTGGTTTCGGTTTTTGGTAATTTACTTTATTTGTTTCATTTTTTATTGAATTTTCAGGAAAATGGTTCAATTATGGTATTATTATTGTGGTGATGATGTTGGATTTGAACATGTGGAAGAATCAAATCATTTATTATCCTCCCGATTTCGGTCAATACACTGGACCAGATATGAGGGTTTATACAGTTGCCGATGAGTCGATTCTGTCGACGGGAAACTCGTCCCTTTGGACTTATTCCGTTCGAACCTCGACTTATAGTGAATTAACCAATCGATCTTTAATGGAAGGTGATCTGGTCGTTAATTCCCGTTACTTGAATTATTCCATTTATGTTAAAAGTTTAGCTTTTCTTCCATGTGCCGCAGGTAAAATATTCCATTAGATTATCTTTTCCTCTTCCGTTTCCTTTTCTTTGTTGTGGTTCTCTTTAAGTCTAATTTACCATTTTTTTTTGTTTTTCTTTCTATTCTGGACTAGGTTTTGTCCTATTTTTTACTCTCATCTACCAATATGGTCGTTTTCCACCCAAAACTGATGCTTCTCATGGCGGTAGACTGAAAAAACGTAAATCAACCTCAAGTTGGCGACGAGAGAGACGTGATTCGAGGCATGGATACATTTCCTGGAAGGGAATCACAACCTATGAAGAAGAAGCGACATCTTTGCATCGACAATTAGAAGAGAACAGTAATGTTTGATTGTTACGGTGATTCCATACGTGCGATTAAATTATAATTCAATTGAAAATGAAGGACAGAAAAGGAAAGGAAAATGTCATCTTCAACATTACCAATCAATCGTTAGATGAAATCAAGAACAACAACTTCTAATGATCCAGTTCACTTGATCAGTCTTTCTGATTATCGATCAGAAATTAACTCAATTGTGATACCTTCTTTTTTTGACTCTCTCATTTTGCTATTCAAATCACTTGTTAATCATTAATCATTATCACCAACCTATTCTTGAATACATGTTCTAATTGTTAAGCTCATCTCTCTCTCTCTCTCTCTTCCCGTGTCAATTTCATATTGAAATTTAGGCTTAATTGCTATAAAACTTTCGTTAGAAGCCAAACTTTCACTAATCACAGTAATCAAAAGGAGATAATTAGTAAATTATTAGTTATTATCAACTAGTTACTAAGTTTATGCTAATCAAAAGGAGAGGAGTAAAGATGAATCAAATCATTAATTGTTATCGTTTATCATTAATCATCAGGACTAATTACTATTAATTATCTCAATGATTAAAAAATGGAGCAGATTTATTAAGAAAGAGATGCAAAGATATGAGAATATTATATTAACCTTGACAATTAACTAACAATCTGTGCAGGTGATGAAACAGTAATTTGATTGCAACAATCAAATCAAGACGATTATCCTTTGATTACTGTTCAAACAGAAAGACACATTTAAACTGTCACATTTTCCATACAACTGTATGATAATTAATCATCATAATTTGATTGATTGATTGAACTAATTAATTGATTACTATCAACCAAGCATTAAACGTTGGTTGGTATTTTTAAATTTTCAATTTTATGGACTTGAATATCACAATCAAAATTATGATCAAAAGCCAACATGAAATCAGTAACAATCAACATTTAAAGTCTTTGACAATGGAATCATTAATTTCAATTAAGCCATCTTATCATATTGTCAATGTTATTACTTAACTAATTACTAATTGTTATTAATTTTGTACTGAACAAAATAAACGCAGAAAAATCGTAAAATCATCAGAATTGTCAAACAATCAACTAACCAAATTTTCAACTAAAAGATATTCAAATAAAATCTTACAATTGTTAATAATCTTTGGTAATTTTAAGCAAATTGATAGTTTGATGATTATTGTACTGAATCGATCACAAATCATCGTAAACTGGATCAGTTCATGGATAAGATCACACTTGTTATGTTCGATAGTTTTTTCAAATTGTTTTTCGAAGACTGCCTGATCGTAGACATGATTTAGCATCCATAAATCACGAAAAGTATGTGAATCAGTCCAACTATTATTCGCACTTGTTGTACCATTGATCGTCATTACACAGATTCATGCAAAGTATACAGCCAAAGACTTTGAGTTTGCAACCACTTTTTAAATCATCCACGAAGTCAATGATATGCAAATAAAGATAACTTTTGATATCTAATCAGTTGACCATTTCAAGACTACACCACTTAAATTAGTGGACAGACTTATCATCATATCTTTGGGTTAACTGTATCTCTCATTGATTATATTCAACTGCGTGAATGATTTAGAAAGTGGTTGCAAACTCAAAGTCTTTGGCTGTACATCGTTAACCATAGAGAATTCATTTTTCGACAAAAACTCGATATAAAAAGACATGAAGCTTGAATAGTTTAGCAGCCTTGCTCTTCACCTCCATCACCTAATGAACCTGAAAATCACCGAGCTGGTCCAAGAGGGAAAGACTGATCTGGTCTGAGAATCAGGTGAATCTGGTGCTGATGAAAATACCTGTGATAGGTGAAGGATCCACACTCAATGTTGACTTTCTAAAATCGAAACTTTCGAAGTTCTCTCTTTTTGATTAGCATAAAATTAGTAACGGTAGTTGGGTTTGATAAAGTATCATTCCTAAGAAATAAATTGCCTAGTAATTTTTTATTACATACATATTTCGCCAGTTGTTTCAAAATTGTTGTAATAACTGGGTTCGAGCATCATCTAAGCTTTCAACAGGCTCGAAGTTGAAAACATTGGTAGTTTTTGGTGCCTCTCAATACTTCATGGATACTTTTAGTTCACCCAAAAATCTCGGACATTTGTTTTGTTCTTCTGTTAATCTTGACCCATGTAAACATAAACTTGGATTACCATGTTTACGTGCAAATAACATCAGTGCTTATCAACGAGAGCAACTCGCCTTTAAGCCCATGTTGATACCTTGTTAGAGGCTCTGTTCTCGTTGCATCTTTTCAGTGTAACTATGCAGTGCTTTATCGATAACTATTGAACAATGATGAATTTTTTCTTAAATTTTATATTTGAATAGTACACATATGATCATGTCATTACTCAACTTGGTTTCAGAGATCGAAAGTAGCTTTTACTCGAGTTAAATTTATTTTTCTTAAAATTCTGTATCTTTCAAAATAATTCTGATATAAATGAAAATAACTTTATTGGAAAGTTCATAAAAAAGTGATCTAAAACTGGTCTTTTCAAGGTCTAAAATAAAGCACAGTGAAGATAATCGAAAAGAAATTGCGTTTCAAACCTATCTATTAAAATTAGTATGAGATGAATGCGACTCAAGTAAAACTTTATGAGTTTCGACCTCAATAAACAGAAACCAAAAGTTGAGAGACTTAATTTTTCTTGTTGACATGATCATGTGTGTACTATTCAAATATAAAATTTAAGAAAATCATTGTTCAATAGTTATTAAGGATTTTATGAAGAGTCTCATCTTCATAGGTTAGTTTATTCAGAGCTTCAAACTTCAAGCTTTGAACTAAAAGCGCTTAAAGATAGTGCACTCACTTACAAGCACCGCACTTATTTGCACGTAAACGCGTTAATTGTGTCAATGGTTAAAAAATGGAGCAAATTTATCAAGAAAGAGATGCAAAGATATGAGAAGATTATATTAACCTTGACAATTAACTAACAATCTGTACAGGTGATGAAACAGTAATTTGATTGCAACAATCAAATCAAGACGATTAACTGATATTATCCCTTGATTACTGTTTAAAGAGAAACACTCATTTAAACTGTCACATTTTCCTTACAATTATCATATTAATTTGATTGATTGATTGAACTATTTTTAATTGCTAACAACCATGAGCATTAATTGGTATGTTTAAATTTCAATTACTTGGACTCAAATATCACAATAACAAGCAAAATATTAATAAATTGACAAACAATCAACTAACCAAATCAAAAGCGTAATCATCAACTATATTTACAATTAAGATTAACTACTTGATTGAACAGCAAAAAAAGAAACACTTTTTCTTAATGATTAACTGATTGTCTTTGACAATTAACGAAAAACAATTTATTTGATTGTTACTATACTATTATCATCTTCATGAATTGTAATTAAAAAAACAACAACAAAACTGCTACTTAATTGTTAACCAAGTAATTTAAATTGTGTTAACCTTGAACGTGAGTGGTAAAGGTTGATGGCCGAGTTAATTGTTATCATATAAACAGTAACAATTAAATTTAATTCATTGAACAATATAAACATTTTTGAAACAGTAATTTTCACTAATATTTAGTTAATTGATGAACTCATCAATGGCCAATGATTAAGTTAACTAAATTAAATGAAATTAAAAAAAAAATTTATTTATAACTAACTAATGATGGGCTTACAATTTAATCACAATTAAGAAAGTAAATTTGGTTTCTACCATTGAATTAAAATTAAATTAAATTCATCTGCCGGTAAATTAAAGGTAAAAGTTATTGGGAGTGTGATCACAATTAAATTAAATTAATAATATACAACAACAATTAAGATGATGATGATGATGATTATTATTGCTTATGGTTAGGAGTGTTTATTATTGATGACAATTAACTAATAATCATATTGAATCAAATGAGTGCAATTAAATTTAATCAAGGTTGTGTATTAGTGGTAATGATAATGATTTAAATAAATCAACAATAATAAATAGTAACAATTAACTGATGATTATTTAAATTGGACTCTCTATTATATTAGATTTAATTTAGAAATATAATTTTAAATATTAGCCCTTTAATTGCGGTCAATTGTTAGAGGGTTTAAATTGTATTGTAAGTAAATTAACACACAATTTAATTAAATCAACAAGAATCAACGTTTTCCATATCTTATTGTTAATCATCACAATTAAGAAGCTATCAAATGAATACTAATAACTTTTACTATTAACTAAACTAATCTGTTTGATTGTTAATTGTTACCCTTTGTTATTATCATTATAAACAAAGTAAATCTAATTACTAATTACAATAATCATCTTAATCAAATGTTAATTCAGTCTGAGACAATTACAATCAAGGTTACAATTAGAAAATGAAACTTTCCCTTAATCAACCAATTTCTAGGTCAATTGAAAGTCTATTTTAAGAGACAAAAATTTAGCTGCAAGCTAAATTGTAACTGATTAACTAATCATTTGTAAAGATTAAACAATTGATTAAATTGATTAACTTTCGTAACTTACCGATTAGTTAATTATTATAAATTATAAATTCAATTAACCACCAATCCTTTTTTTTTAGATTCAATCAACTAAGTAAAGATAAACAATTAGATCAATTCAATGTTAATTATTGTAGTTATTTTTTTTTTAATTACATTCTCAATGTAAAGTTAATTGTTTACAAGCAATCAAATTTAATTGTCATTTCTGATTGAATCACAATGATTGACACAAGTTCAATGATTTATATATTTATTTACCTTGGAGGTAAATTGATTGAAACAAGTTCAACCAATACAATCTGATGAACATGAAATTATATTAATTACAATTAAAGTTATGTATTCGATAGCAATTAAGATTAAATTTAAATTTCCAATCAATTGATTAAAATGAAGAGAGAAAAAAAAAACTTTTTTTTTCTCAATTCAATTGATCATCTTATACCTTTCATGTCATTATTATTATCTAATTGCTACGAAATGATTAGTTGTATCATTATCATTGAATGATAATGATTTAAATTACATCCACTAACTATTATTATCATGATTAACCTGACTTTTTATTGATGAGCAAAAGATGAAGTTAACAATTTAATTACATTCTCATTGATCGCTGGCTTAATTGTTTACTGATTGTTACAATCTTTCACACTAATATGAGAGGCAAGTTGTAGTCAATTTAATGATAACAACAACAATTTAGCCAACAATTAATTACCAGGTTTAAGTAGGAAGTTCAATCGGAAGTTGTTAACCAAATCTTTAATTATTAACAAGTAGACTTTTAAATCGTGAGATAATCAATATCAATATGATCGTTGATTAACTTGATCATGATTAACAATTGGAAATCACATTGATTAGACTTTTGTATTAAGTTGAAAGTTAATCAAGGTTGTTAATTGTTGTTCAAAAACAACGTGCTTACAACCAAGGGAATCAGTGAAATTGTCAAAAAATCAATCAGGTAACATGATCATTATATTATAATTAAATTTAATTGTAAATAATATTAATTAGATTCAAGTGATTGTATCGTTTTTACAAAAAAAAAGAGACAAGTATTTTTCAAATGTTGTTTTTTCTGTGTAAAAACAAGAGGCAAAAAAATTGGTAGAGAAAGTTAATTGTAAGAAGATGATGATGATGAGGAAGACAAATATATTTACAAGTGATGGCAAAAGTGAGAAAGGAAAAGCGGAAAAGGGGGATAAAGAGAGAGAGAGAGAGAGAGAGAGGGAAAAGATGGAGAGATGAGGATGAAGTAAAGATTTACATAGTATCTTCATAATAGATTTTGTCATTACAATTAATTTCTTTGTGTGTGTTATATGATGTTTATATCTCTTTGTTGATGTTGTCATTGCGACTTTTTTTTTGTCGAAAAAAAAAGTTAATTATATCAATTAATTATCAAAAGAAAGCAAAAAAGATGGAGGAGGTGGATGAAGGATGAAGGGTAAAGGGAGTACAATTATTATTACAATTGGCTTGATGTTGTGAATGCTGTTGATTCAAAACTTCTTGGCAGCGAGCCTCCCTTTTTACAAGCGGGTGGAAAGTGTTCAGATTGTTTCCTTAACCAAATCGCTGGCGAGGTTGGACTCATTTCTTCCAGCGAGCTTGATGACGGGAGTCGGACACTGGATGGATCACGTGAAAATGATACATTTGACAGGGGTGAAGGTAGAGAGGAAGAGGAAAATGGTGGTGTTGTTGTTGTTGTTGATGCGGATGATGAAGTGGGCGATGTTGAAGAGGAAGATGAGCAAGATGTTGTTTGGCTTAATTCTGTGCTGTTTAATGGTCTAGGATAATGATGATGATTGTGGTGATGAGATGATGAGGATGAAGAGGAGATATCATGAGCCGAATCATCAGAATGTGAATTATCATTATTTTGATAAACTTGTTGTTGTTGTTTCTCTTCTGTTAATTGTTCCTCTTGATGAGATTGTGGTTGGGAAGAGAAATTATTTTGTTGAAGTTGTGATCGATGATGATTGTTGTAATGATGATGATGGTGGTGGTGGTGAGGGTTATTGTTATATTTTTGCTGTTGTTGACTGTTATTCTGATGGTGAGGGTGATGATGGTGATGATGATGGTATTGATTTTGATTCTGATGGGTGTGGGTTAGGTTACAACAAGGGGGTAAATCTAATTGAGGTGCATGTCGAAATGAAAGTGTATGGGTTAATAGAGCTGTTTTGGTTTTCACCATTCCGGTAAATGATTGAGCACGACGGACATTATGACCGGAAGAGGAACCAGGATGATCGGTTAAATCTAGATTACCAATTCCACCGGCTAGTGTTGATAGGATATGGTGATAATCATCTGTTGATGATGAATGAGATGATGAAGCCATGCTAAGTTCAGATGAGCCAGCTGAAAGTGGGGTTGAGGTTCGAGCGGATGAAAATGATGAATTAGATGAACTTCCAGAGCAAATGCTACCAAGACCAGAATCTTCACCAGAATTTGAATTAAAGAGACGAGATCGTTGTTCACAAGTTGACCCACAAAGACAGGGAATATATTCATCGAAAGAAGATTCAATTCCAATATGATTATTAGATCCGGTGACAGAATTTAAACCAGTATCGGTAAATGATGAGGTTGATGAAGAGGTTGATGATGATGATGAGGAAGAAGAAGATGATTGTCCCTGTCGGGGTGTTGACCGTGAATTCAATTGACGATAAGCTTTACATATACACATAATTGAATCATTATCGGAGGGTGTTGATGAAACCATTGAAGTCATACTTAATTCACTAGAACCTGAAGATAAACTAAAACCATGATTAGTTGATGATCGATCACGATTAACAATATCAGAGCAATTACTGTTTCCATTAGAACCATTGTTATTAACAATACCATTGGAACTCATGATACTACCATTGATTGAATCTCTCCTACTTAAACCGTTATTGCAAAAATAAAAGGAAACATAATCATCACCATAACCCGATTCACTAATTGATGCTCGTTTAAGATAATCATTGGCCAATTTACGAGCGGAACATCTTGAACTAGATCGACGAAGACCAGACCAATAACATCGTTCATTACCATTTCCAAGACCGTCCATATTATCACCAAGTAATAGAGATTTTTCCAGGCTTGCCAATGAGGAATTGGAGCTTGTGGTGGTTGAAAGAGTTGTCGTCGATGATGAGGTTACTATTGATGAGGGAGATATTTTTGTCATCTTATTATTTGTACTGCATATTATTGGTAAGAGAGATGATGTTGATGAAGAAGGTGATGATGAGGAAGATGAAGATGGTACAGTTAAACAGTCCATTGTTTTACTATTACATTTATAATTTTGATGAGAAACAAGAGGATGATGATGATGATTAAGATGATAACCGTCTTTGACTACATCACAGGAAGTTATTAGTAGACTATTATTGGTATTATTAGTTTGACTTGTTATTGGCTCTTCTTCCTGGAGACTTGGGGGCTTGGTAATGGTTCCCAAACTTGATCTCCTATCAATCTTAAGTGACTCCTCTCTTTTCAATAAGTTCATGGCTGTTTCATCAGTACTGGCACTTCGTGATCTTTTAGATCCATTCATCATTGTAAGGTCAAACGGTTGAATCTTTTTCAATGACTTTCTCAACTTAAAACCTTTATGAAGACTTCCACCACCACCACCATTACTAGTTGTTGAATGACTACTATCTGATGATTTACGTCTCTCTTGTTTCCTTTTCTCCAAATATTCTGGGGCTGAAGGTGTTCGCCTACCTGAGCCCACACCTCCGTAACCACTTTTACCTGAACCCGATTCTTTACCAGAACCTGATCCAGACTTTCCATTACTTCCCGTTGAACTAAAAGATGAAGGTAAACCCAATTTCATGACAATTTGCTTTGCATTGGAGGGAATCGGCATTGGATAATTTTCCAACATTAACCTTTTCAATTGTAAACACCATTCACGTTTATGATCCAGGTTACGTGATTGAAAAGTATATTGAATACGAGGACAGTCAAAAGGTATAGTTTGAAAGCAAAATGGTTCACCCTCTATACTTTCAATTACCATAAGATTGGAACACATGATATGAGCTTTATAAGAAAGTAATCCGTCTTCACGTTTCTTGGTAATTAAAAGCATCTTGTCCAAGAGAAACAAATGTCGTACAGCTTTAGCTCCAATCATCCGAAATGATCCTTCGGCAACAAGCTCACCGTATGTCGTTAAATCTTGACCCTCCCAACCATAAAGAAGCGATTGTATCTCTTGGACTCGGACAGCGTGTTCATGTTTCCTTTTCATCTCATTTATATGAGCAGCTATATTGGTCATAACGGATAAAGCTTGACGAAGATAGTAAATATCATCTTCACCACTTTCATCTAAATCATTGTCTTTAACAATATTCTGAAGTAGTAGATGATATTTCAAGATCCTTTGAACTGGCTTGAGAAGATAGGAACCCAATGGAAGACTATGTTTTAAAAATAGTTGTCTCTCTCGGAATATCTCAGCAGTTTCCTTGTTTGTCATGAGATCGGTGAGTAGAGAAACAGTTCTGGTGGAGAAACAAAAAAAGTGGAGAAAAAATAATTAATAAAACAATTAGAGGAAAAAAAAAGAAACAAAAATCTATCAGAACTTTCCACTCAATCAGGGTAATGTATTAATCAAATTAAAGTTAATTTAGTGCAAACAATTAAGTTAACCTTAAAGATTGACTCAAATGATTACAATAGTAAACACAAACACCACACACACACACACAATCAATATGAATGAAGGGTAAACTTTTTTGATTATCATTGATTTCCTTTTACAACTTTTACCACTCACAAATCAACACAAGACAAACAGATAAAATATATAATTCAATTGATTGTCTTTCTGTCTGTCTCTCTCTCTCTTTCTATATTTATATTGTGTGTATATATTGGTAATGAATAATGATTGACACAATTATTAACTATCCAATATTAATAACAAAAGCAAAAGTAATTTGATTGTATGAGGAGAAATATATTATTATTTCAATATCAAACAGTCAACATGAAAACAAATGGAAAACCTGATAATAAGAATCCTTATTAATAAATTAAAGTATTGGAGATGATCGATTTTCAATGGAATGATTAATAAATTAATTGTTGAAATTTTCTAATAACTATTAATGATGACGATGACTATGTTGATTTGTAATAAACAAACTCACAAGGGATGAGAAAGAGAAACAAACAAGAAATGGTTAAAATTCCTAATTCAATGATAATAGTGAAGAAAATGTTTCTCATCATCATCTTTATCATCGTTATCACCATGAAAATCAAGAATTCAAGAGAGAGAGAGAGAGAGAGAGAGAGAGAGAGAGAGAGAGATGATGTTACCTGTTAAAAACAAAGAATCTTCTTTGTATTCATTTCATCATCATAATTGTAATTAAATTATTTGTATTATCATGGTTAGAAAAAAGCACATCAATTAACATCTATTTATGGATTGAGTATCATGATAATACGCACACACACACTTGAGATGAATGATTTTGATTCTGAAAGGTAAAAATCAAAGAGATGATGATGATTGTGATGAAAAAATAAACAATAAACCACAATAAACAACAATAACAAGACCAATAGAAAGAAAAAGATGAGTAAATATAAACTTTTTCCTCCGCTCACCTTGGATAATTGGTACAATATTGTGTATAAACATCAAATCCTTTTGATTGTTGGATAAAACACTTTGCAATCCGACGTGGCTTAAAATCACAATCTTCCAATTGACTGAGAAATTTGGAGTTAAATTTAAATATGTCCTCAATATTACCAAATAGTTGATCAACACAAATAAAGCACTTGTTGCGTGATGATGAAGATGATGTCGATGATGCTGGTGTTGATAAAGATGATAATGAGGTTGTTGTTGTTGTCGTTGGTGGTGTTGAGCCTTGATTAGATATAAGCCTTTTGAAATAAATAAGATAACCCTTGATATTGGAAAGAGAGAGAGAGAGAGAGAGAAAAGAAAAGAAAACAATTAGAAAATTTTGCTCATTATGATGGTGAAGATTATTTAATCATAATGATGATTACCTCGATAATCTCTGATAAATCATTCACATAAGTCCTTTCGGTTTCAACTATTTCCATGATAACATGTTCAGTATAATTCATTACAATTGAATTATCATCATGATCAACATGATTGCTAAGATTATTATGGTTATTGTTGTTGTTGATGTTAATAATATTATTGTTTTTCTTATAGTTGATATTGTTAATGGTGGTGATGTTGTTATTAATGTTGATGTTGTTGTTGCTACTGCTGCTGGTGGTGGTATTGGTGGTTGGGCTTGTGGTTGTCGTGTTGTTGTCGCTTGTTGAAACATTTTCACTACCATCTCCGCCTGAATCACTGTCCTCTAGACTTTCAATACTGGCCAAATAGGATTTCTTACCACCTTCTGGACAATGAAGATGAAGTGGAAAAACGTCATCAAGATGACCATTTAAAGACATAAAGACAAAATTGTTGTTAATATTAATTATTAGCACCAGTAATTCAAACTTTTAAAGGTAAATTAGTATAGAAATACAAAAAACACAAATAATAAAAAAACAAAGAGAAAAACATAAACAAAATCTCAAATATCACATATTGTTAATCTGTTGTGATGTGAATCAGATAGTAGTCAAAATAAAACTAAATTCATTCACCAGTTTGCTAACCAGTTTTTGCTTCTCGAAAGTTACTCCATCTGTTGTTGGATTAAGAAACTCGATCAACAAAAAAGACGAAAAAAAAATTGAACAACTAAATGTTTCAATTTCTCTCTCTCATAAAAATGATAATAAAACTTGAATTAAACGAAATTTATACTTATTATATGTTTATTAGATTAGATGGAAACGATCATTAAATGTTTCCATTAATCTTGGAATATAAAAGGGAAAAGGGATTAAATTAGATTTAGGTGACAGTGGGAAAAGTTAATTCACTTTTGTTGATGTTTGTTTTTTTCGCCACAAATTATCATCCTTGGCATTCATTGGAAAGTATTTTAACATCGTCAACAATTTAAAGAGGTTTTATTTCTTTCAGATGGATTAGTGAGTCAATATATATTACTTTTTTCTTTCTTCTCTATCATCGTTATTACGGTCAAATTTTCGGATTCTCAGGAGACGCCTTTCAAAAGAATCTGTATCATCATCATGATGAGGATGCTTAAAGACTCTGATGATGATGATGAAGATGAAGAAGAGAAAAAAGCCAAAATTGTCTGAGAAAAAAAGAAGGAGTAAAAAAGATGATTGAATATCGGGTAATCATATTTTTAGATTCATTCTTATTCTAAACTTTTTCCTTTTCTTCTTTTACTACATGAAGATGAGGATGATAAACAAGGAGAAATACTCATCATCATCATCATCTCTCTTTCTCTTTCTCTTTCTTATTTTTATTAATCTGACACCGTTTTCGCCATCATCATCATCCTCATCCTCATCCTCATCTTCCTTTAACTTTACCTTCCGTTGATTATTGTTGTTAATTTACCTTTTTGTTTATCATCAACTTAAATTGTTTACTAATTTTAATCAACCATTAACTTTATTTATTTTTTTCTTACTTTACTATTATTATTGTTATATTTAATCTCATATGATGATAATTAACAAATCATGTTAATCAACAACACCACCACCAGACAATTGATTAACTGGTAATTCATCATTTGATGATGAATTTTAATCATACAATCAAACTTTAATTTTCTTATAATAATCAATGATAATCTTAATCTTTGTTTTCTTCTGTCTCATTTTGATAATTGATTACCAACAATTATCAATTCACTTAATTCAAAAGTGATACATCTTATCGGTGGGTGGTAAACAATTTAATCAACAATTTACTCACCCACCCTGATCATGTCCATTGCTTGTTAATCAACAAACAATTTAACTTTTTCTAATCATAATCAATTTACATTCACACTCATTAATTTAACCTTTTGTCTTAGGTCATTCATATGTAATAATAATGATATTTGTTATTTTATTACCAATGTTGTAATGATCAGTTGATTATCACAATTTAATGGTTAAATTAATCAATCAATCAATTTAGATTCTCATTGGTGATTAACTCTTTCGCTTAATCTATCTTAATACCTTGTTAATTTACCTTGAAAATAAAGTTACGTCAGGACGACAATCAAAATTAATCATCAATAAGATTTGAACAATTATATCTGTTTAATAATATTAATCATAATTTGATTGATTTAATGAAATAATCAAAATTTCAACAACAATTGAATGTCAATCATCATCCAACAAGTGAAACAATTTCATAGAGAAATTGATTGTAAATATTAAATTGTTTAAATGTTTATTAAATGAAATCACAATTAACTTATTGATTGTATATTAACCTTTAATTAAGAAATTAAGAAAAAAGGTTGATTATGATTATTAATAGTTAATTACTTTGAAAATAACTTTATCTTGATTAGTTACCACCCAACCAACGGGATTGATTGAATATTGAGTTTGTTAATAGTTATCAATATATTAATTGGGTCTTATCATTGATTTGATTGATTACAATTAACCAACTTAAAAACTTCAATACAACAAGAAAAAGTATAAGAAACAAAAAAAAAATGATTAACTGATTAATAAAAGGGATAAACCAAATTACCTTAATAATAAATCTTGGTCTAATTGAGATAGTAAAGAAATAATTAAATCGATGATGATTCTAATTGTTGAGAGAATTTAAAAATCGCAAGTAAATTAAAAATTCAAATCACAATCAACGCGAAATGATAATAATGATTTACAATTTATTGATTGTATCTTCCAATTGATTGAAAATGAATCAAATTGAGAACTTTCTATTATGATAACATTAAATAACTTTCCAGTTAAAAGTTAATCATCGTAATCAACTGAATTTACATCATGTCAATCTTTTAATCAAATTGTAATGATACTAAATTGTACAGTTAATTGTACAATAAATAAGATACACATATAATCAATCATATCAGCCGATGATGATAAGGTGAAAGCCAAGATTAATACAAGAATCAAAGTGATTAGGTCAAGTTTATTATAATATCATGAGAGCATCATCTTCATTATGATTATCATCATCATCATCATCATCATTTTGTCTTCCTCATCTTTTCCAGTAAGATAAACAGAATTGAACAAAAAGAGGGATAAAAGAAAGAGTGAAAAATGAAGCAAGATAATCATTAGATTATAATTCCGATGATGATAATGATGATTAACTATTAAAACTATGCTATGTAATTGACCCTCACAACTAAATGATCATCATGTTGTTGGTGATGATGATGATGATGATGAAGGTAAGTGAAAGATAAATATAAAAATGATCAGAACTTGTTTGTTAGGGATAATGATAATATTTGATGAAGTCATTTCTTCAGGTACGAACCTTGACCCTGAATAATACAAAACGATTCCAGGTAAATGAGTAACAAATCGTTAGTCCATTGAACTCATCTCATAATGATGATGATGATAATAGTTTTTTCTTCCTTTCTCTCTCTCAGGAGATGAAAAAACAAACTTTCGACATATTATTTCCCTTTCTCTCTCTCTCTCCATTCATTATAAATCTTAATCTCTTCACTTTCATCTCCATTTGTCTCATTATCTTTTACACATCTTCCTCTTTTGTCATCATCATCCTGCTGATTTATATTCAATTGATATTGTCATTCAAATCCCAATAATATTCAGGTAGTTGGTTAATTGTTTTGGACTCATCATCAATTTACCTGTTAATTGTTAGAAATTATAATCCGATTACAATATTAACAACGATTATAAATGTAACTGTTTCAAGTGTTGGTTTGATTTTCTAATTGTTTGACCATTTGATTGTTTGATTCTCATCCGATTGTTGACCTCAAATTGATTATCTTTTTACTGGCAAAATTGTTACTACTCTCAATTAACGACAAAAGAAATCAAGTTAATTGTTAGTCACATAATTGTTCATAGTGAATTTATTAATAGTAGTTTAACAGAAATTAATTTAGTTTAATGTATTGTGAGGCCATTTCCTGATTGTTGTTACCTTTTTCCCTCAAATTGTTAATTTGGTTTATCTCCAATTCTTGACCTTGATTTAACAAAACTTTTCGTAATCATTATTATATTTTAATCATTACGAACTTGTTGATAACAATTTACTGATTGTCTCTTCAATGAATTTTTATATAAATAATTTCTTGCTGATACAAAATACCCATTTAATTGTCCCCAAGGTAAAGGAAATTATAATAATAATCATCTGATGATGATGACGATCATGATGATATCAAATACTTGAGGGTTTTATCATGATTAACAATCATAATTGATTATGAGAAATTAAAGAAAAAGTTAAACACAATTAAAAATACAAACACAGCTAATGATTTATATTATTGTATTTACCTTTTGTTCACAATGAATATTCAAACAATCAAATTGTAAATTGATTAATCATTTTACTATTGTTATCAATGGAGAGTTAATCAGTTAAATTGTTGAGAAATTAAATGTTACCGTTAGCAATCAACATAACAAGATTAAAAGTTTCTCTCCTGATGATCATTTAAAAGTTATCCCATTGAATAAGATTGAAAGAGAGACCTAAGAAGTTAAATTATCCTAAGGGCATATTAATTGGGTAATTGTAAAGTTGATTAGATTTGTCCTAATTAACTTTGTTGTTGATGATGATAATCATTTACAGTAACAAATAATATCAGGTGAGTGTCTATGAAATCCAATAAAAATGTTATCAATAACGATGAATATGAAAATGATAATGAATCAGGTCAAACATTCAATTTCATGGAAGATCATTTATCAGAGATGAAGATGAAAATAATGATAACTGGAAGATAAAGAAAGAGAGAGAAAGGGGCAAAGAGAGAAATCATCTTCATCTTCTCTTTCATTTTCAATCTTTTTCTCCTCAATCTTCACACAGAATCAAAGTTACCTGTTAACCTTTTAACTCTGTTGGAGGTAAACTCACGAAAGTGTGAATCGTCTTCATCATCATCTTCATCTTCATCTTCATCACAAGAATAGTAATCAAGGTAAGAAGATGAAAATTACTTTTATATTTGTTAAAGAACAACCTGATTCAGTAAATGATAACCATGTCTAATTGTCCTTTGCCCTTGAAATACAATTTTCTATGTATGTTTCTGGCTAATTAGTTAATACAATTAAAGTAAAACTTAAAATCATCAAACAATTTAGTAATTCAAGTAGACAATAAGCTATTGTGAGGTTAATTAAAATTTCATCTTAATCATTTATCTTTCATCTTATTATAATTCTCAATCGCAGAAAAAAAAAATCTATCTCTCCATCAATAATTAACCCAAATAATTACAATTTCAACTTGATTGTTGCTGGT